GTGTTAGCCATGTCTGTTTGGATGCTCTCTTTCACTGAGCAGAAAGAGGTGGCGCCTGCAACAGGGCGGGCTTAGACAGGGGAGGGGTTATTTCCCCAAATGATCACATAAGGGGAAGGATGTTGATCATTTTGATCACACATTACCCAAGTGGAGGAACAAGGCAGTAAGAGCGCTGAAAGTTTTTTTTTTTTTCTTTATTTTAAATACACTCATGAGCTTCAGGTTATATATGACTGTTAGAAAATGTTTATGAAGGGAATTTGGCATAATATGCGATCTTTAAAATGCAATTATATTGCAAATACAATTAATTGTCCAATCTCATCCTACAGGGGATCTAAATAAGTCCAAAAAGTGCAAAAGATGTGAAGTCGTCCTTTACTACTAGGAGTGTAAATCACATCCATCATGGCGATTCGTTTCAGTATCGATTTCCTGACCCAACGGTTCAATTATTTTCGATACTCAAGAATACAGCACGATACGATTCAATTAATTGGTTCTTTTTTTTTTTTTTTACACCTTACAGGCTAGACAATGTTTCAAATTTGAAATAAATCAGTGAAAGCTGTAATATCGTTATGCATTTTATTTGAGAAACAACAGCAAATAACAGAAGTAGAAAGGTGGCACTCCACCTATTCCTATTAAAGCCTCATTCACTCAAAAATAATAATACCCCTGCGTTATAGATTCTGAAAGGCCTTGCATCAAAAAAATACTGCACAAAATCAGTGCAATGAGTGCAATTCAATACCTCGGCTCCAGACGTCCCCGCCCCCTCCACAGACGCTCCGCTGCTCCTCTCCCAAATTTTAGCTGACCGCAGACAGTGCCGCAGACAGGAGGCCGACTTGTTTTGTTTTTATGACCGAAATTACGGAAAACAACTCGCAAAGTTTGGCCCTCTAGAAGAGCGAGGTGCGCGAGAACGCTGGGGGCCTTTTTCCACCTGGATCTCCGCTCTTTTTGGCCCTCATGTCCCTCCGTCGTCGGACTAAACACGCCCCCACTTCCTCACCGCCTTGGCCGTATCTAGACCCACAGTGTGTAGCACAGACCACGCTTCAATATTGAGCATAAATCACAAATGTCTGTGTCAAGCTTACTGCAACACACTGCTGTAAGAGTATAACCAGGAAGCGAGGTAGGAGAGCAAAATAGGTTTAGCACCACCGCAGCACGGGAGGTGAATTACGCCCAGGAGCAAATGGATAAAAAGAGACCGGAAGGGAAAAAAATGAATCGATTCTCTTGCGGAGGTATCGATGCATTGTATCGTCGGCTGTTGGATCAATGCATCGATACAAAACGATTATTATTTACACCCCTATTTACTACGCTGCTGAATCATTAGCAAAAAGCGATATACTGTTTTGAATTGAACAGTATCTGAATTCTGAAAATATTTTTCAAACATCCAGAAAACTGTCAGAAAAATCTTTGAAATTGTTTTGAAAACTCTGATAAAAAAAAAAAAAAAACTACTTTATAAATATGTCGCAGGGGTTTGTTGTTGTTGTTTTTCTGCAGTCAGCTTCAGATAAAGATAAAGCAACACAGTACATAAACCTAAATAGGACAAGACCTAATATACAATAAAGGTTAATCATACTGGTTTAATCACACTCCTTTTTTTTATATATATAGAGATAGATAGATTGATAATATTAAATGTATTTGTACAAACAAGTTTGCATTGCTAATAACAGAAGTTTTCAGAGAGGAAGTTGTGGTGACTTTAGGACAGTGGGACAAAACCCACATGAAAGTCAAAACAGTGTGTGCTGTTAAAGGTGGTTCCCCTTTTTTCTTTTTATAGTAAATTCTTTGTAGACATCCAGGGTGCTTTTAGCCTCCCCTGATATATTATGTTATATTGGTTTTCTTTACTACAAACATGGAGGTTCAGCAGATTGTAGCTGAAATGAGGTTTAGGAGGAAGAACTTATGGCATGCAAGTTTCCATAGTCTGCATCCAATATTTTATCTGATCAAAACATTTATATTTTAAAACCTCTTTAAAAAGGATGTTTCTCCTGAATGTTGGACTCTGCCAAAAATACTATTAAAAAACCATGTGTGGGGTCAATTCCTTAGCTAAGACTAAATGCTTTGTACTTAAAGATATATAGTCTTGTTTTGCAGTTAAAGTAGGAATGAATCCCCTGAATCTCTAGTTATTGTCATATCATCCCTTCTTTTTTCTGTATCCATAACCGATAAGCAGTGACAGACACACACAGCATACCAAGGAATTCATTAGCCCCTCTTTTCTAACATTTTCTGTATAGATTGTGGTTTTAGTTATTATTTTGGCAAAAGTCCATTCCCACAGTCTCAGGGCGCCGGCGTTAGCTATGGTCCTGATATTCTTAAAATATTTACAGCTGAAATATTTTATTTTAAACATAAAGGAACTAAAGCTTTTAATTTCTACTGAAATTTTAACCTTTTTCTTGCTGCTGATTTTCGATTATTTTTCTACCCAATAAGATTCATTACCCACTAATATTAGCCAGAAACCATAGCAGTTATTCCATGTGGTTCTTTTTTAGGGACTGCGTCTTATAGACTACCTCAATCATTAGATGGTGATTAAAAACTGACATAATTTTCATTGACTCCTGGATAAGAGTTGAAATGTTTTCAGAAAAACTGAGTGAAAGTTTGGTTGGCTCCAATTTATGCCTGTTTTGTGGTTGTCATTAACCGAATGACTGGGAATTTGCGCAGGCTGTTTCTTAACTTTCTTTTTCTGTATATGATGCGCTTATTTTAGTAGGATAAGAGTTAGCCACATATCACAATGAAAAGAAAACTTTCTAACTTTCTCTGAAAGTCAGAAGCTTTTATGGCTGTTTTAGTTTGATAAGCAGCTCTCATTGGTCTCATTGGGCAGGTCAGATTTCAAGCCTGGTCTGACACAGGTTTTTTTTTTTTTTTTTTTTTGTGGAAAAAATTAATCTTAATCTTACAGTGGAAAAATTGTCACGACTAGTAGCATACTTTGGAAGTTGGGAGAAAGAAGAACATGTAAAAAAAAAATGCATTAGAGCAATTATAAACGAACTTGACCAGGCTTAAATATATGAATTCTGAGAATATAATAAAAAAAAATTTATAAAACAGTGTTTCGGGTTATGTATAAATATTATTACGCTTATTTATTTTGCAGAAGATCATTTACAATAGTATTATGCAGACTGACAGCAGCAAAAAAATGTTTTGGTCATTATTTAATAACTTTATTCCCCATGGTCATTTTAGAGTAATATATTTCAGTCTGATTGTGCATAATAAATGATCATTCAAGCATGAAAACTAAGCATGGACCATACTTAAAGCACATTAGATGTTGAAAATGAAACCTAAATACATTGGGCTGGTACTTATGCAAATTATGCAGCCTATTCCTCATGTAGCTTTGCTTTCTGCAAGGTTGACATGCCGTGCAGGAGCTGCTAGTTTCATTCTGACAGCAGATACACTTTCAATAATCGGGGACCTGTCAGTAGAGATGCAGCTACCAGGACCACATAGCTTCGGTTTGAGTTTGTTGTCAAACAGATGCAGAACACTCAAACTGCCGTGTCTTTCGGTGGTAGCTTTTTCTGTCATGATGTTATTTTCTGGTTTGTTTTTATTAAAGAAGCAACACACTCCTCTCTTGTCATGAATCTTTTATTTTAGTCTTTTCAATCATAGGGATTTTGAGAGATATTTAAAACAAATGAGCAGTTCAGGGTCTCGTTGATCTTGGATTTGTGGGTTTCTCAGTTTCTGATGCCTTTTCTACAAATGGCTTATTCATGAAGTTAGCTTGAGGTAACTCCTTGTTCCTCTTGTCACTTTTGGTTGTTCTTTACTCTTTCATTTCTTTTACGATCAGGGATTCTGTGCAGTGAATCCTGGACAGATGAAAAAGGGCCGCTTTTACGCTGGAGCTGTTTAGGCCGCTTTAAACAGACTAGAATTCATTTCCGTAGATGGGTTGGTATGCTTCGTTTGGGCAATTCTGGAAGAATGCTTCAACTCTTCAGAGAACTCTCTGATCACTTGGAAAACGGTGGCGTTGTTCATAATATTAGGCATAGTGATGCGTCGCATACCTATGATTTCCAGATGTACATTTATGTGATTTGCTCAGAATCTCTTTAACCCTAGTAGCATATAATACTTCACATTTAATGCATAGAGGATCTTCAAACAAATTTAACAATATCAGATATTTAGCTTTATTCATATCCATGAACATTTCAGCTGAAACATTGCTCTCACTAGTAGCTGCTCCTCATGCATTCGTCCTATTTAAAGAGAGCAGTCTGAATAGGAACTGGGTTCTTAGAAAGAAACTGACCTCAGCCGATTGGTTCTCTTTTAGGGCAGCACAGAAGATCAAATTTCTATATCGGTTTTAATTTCTGCTCCAAACAATCATAGAACCAATGTCATCAACATTTACAAATTACAGCGCAGACAAATAGATCTTTATGAATAAATAAGTCAAAGCTGTAGCAGCTCTGTTTTAATAGGTTTCTTTGATATTTTCTATTTTTCTTTGGAAATGTGGAGTTTATTTTCCATGCTCTTACACAAAACCAGTACAACAGTAATATACACCTGATCAACAGCAAATGTGTGTGGTGGATTGATTTATAATTTCACTGAACTCGGATCCAGAACCGCACAGCATTCTGGGGGATGTAGGCAGAAGAAAGGATTTAGCCTCACAGCCAAACGAATCAACAAATCTTTTTCCCCTGCTCCTTAATTCTATAGGTAAAAATGTATTAATCAATAATTATCAACTGATTTTTTTACCCATATCACACAGCTTAATTTTTGTTTCTTTTAAAAAAATTTTAAAAAACCCAAAAAGATAAAAGCTCTCCCATCTGTGCGTCGTATTTTCTTTAAATGGCTTTTTAGACCCTAGTTGTATTGTGTTTTTTTGTGTGTGTTTTTGAGACTGAATGTTCTTTTCTTTATCTCAGGAGCTGGAGAATCCGGAAAGAGCACCATTGTGAAACAAATGAGGATCCTTCATGTCAACGGCTTTAATGCAGAGTGAGTATGATTAACCTTGAAGTCAGTTTACATGAATCTACTTCTTCTTTTTCTGTAAAGTAACAGAATACCATAAAAAGAAATGAATAACCAAATGGTTTATCAGAGATGTAACCTCAGTTCTCTGTATTGTTTCTAAACAAATGAAAGTTGCAGCCTCACAAAATGAGCCTAGCTCTGCTGAAGTTAACTATTTATACATGTTTCATATCCACAAAATACATAAAGGTCTCTTCTAGCAGTGGCCGGTATCACAATTTGATCTACTTTATATATCTAGATTTTATCCATCTGGCTGATTGGCATTCTGTAATACTCCCCATCTTCACACCGACACCTTCACTTTATGCCTGGTGACCTAAGGCTCGGATGCAGCTGTAAGGGTTTCAGCTCTGTTTCTAATGCTACGTTCAGACCGGACGCTGCAAAAGCAGCAAAATCGTGTCTGCTGCTTCATTTTTGCTGATTGTACCAGTTAGTTCTGACGCGCGGCTGAAGCAGCTTTGCTGCTCTGGCTGCGCGGTGCAAAAGTGGCTCTGACGCGCGTTGGGCGGAGCTTCACTATTCTTTCTCTGCCTTGCAGCTATATTTGCTGTGATCAGTGGGAATAAAGTAGTTTTAATATGTTTTTAAGTGAGAAAGTCTACCTGAAAACTTCATCAGTGCAGTCAGTTCATCCAGATTACAATCCTGCCTCCCAATGTTTTTTCTGTCGGAGCCGCTCAGACCCCCACATACCGGCGGTGCGCCGACAGAAGGAATTCCTTCATCAGCAGCCTCTGGCCGGGTCGCCTCCTCGCGGTTTACCGCGGCGGCTGGTAGGTGTTTTTCATCTAAATAATCCGATCTGCAGGCACCAGAATAATAAAAGCGAACATATTCTGCCGGCAGATGTATATATTTTAAGTAAATTATGCGTTAATAAACTGTTTAAGAGGAGTAATCAGAGCGGTCTGTGTCATCAGCGCTGTGTCTCTCTCCCTGCCAGCTCACAGATCAGCTTCTCTGATTGGTTGACGCGGCGCGTCGAGCAGCAAAAATTTAATTTTTCCATCTCGAGCAGCAGCGCGTTTGCGGCGCGTCAGATGCTTAAACGCGCCCGACGCGCTGCTTCAGCTGCTCAGAAGCGCTGCGCCTGCTGCTCAAAACGCGCCGCGGGACCTTTTGCTGCGCCTTGACGCGCGTCAACCATTGACTTTGCATGTAAACTCGCTGCTTCTGTCGCGCCAGCTGCCCCCGGTGTGAACGCAGCATAATGATTGCTGTTTAAACTGAGTAACAATCCGTATTGTTAAAAAAAAAAAAAGACAACTAGCCTGAAATTCCCCCATGAAAAGGCTGAAAGATTTCTTTCCACTGATTTGATCTTTCCTTCTCTTCAAGGCTTGGACACAATACACCACTTTGTCTATTTTCCCTTTTTTTTTTCTTTTTTTTCTCTTTTTTTTATTTACCACTTAAGGAAGCTGATCGCCCTTTTCTCCTCTTTTTTTTTTATTGTTTGTTTCAGGATCACATTCTTCAGTTTTTCTTATTTTAGTGAGCTGAAAAGGAATGTGAGGTTTTTGCGTGTCAGTGACTAAGCTTAGGTTGGTCTGGTGGATGTCATGTATTGGCCGGGACAGAAGCATCTTTGCAAGGTTAGACTAGAAAATCAGCAGCTTAGGCAGAGTAGAGCATATGACCCAGTGTGTGACTCCACAACACTGAACAGTTTGTGTGTGTTTGTGTATAAGACTGTTTTATAAAAATAGTACATCTCTGTCCATGTTCTGTGTAAAAATCGGTGTCTTTATGTTGGACAAGCTCGGCTACAACGAAACTTGGACATCTGACAATAGATAATGTTTTCTGCATGGCTAAAATAGAAAATAAACTGGAGCACCTTCATGTAAGTTTGATGATGCGTGAGAGTTGGATTGCATGGGTCAACTGTGTAGCATAAAGAAAAAGACCAAAACAGCAGATACTGATGGGTGATCACATGACTGCCATAGTAATAGGTTTTAATTAGCAGAGATCCCCCAACGCCATATTAACATGGCTGATTTAGGACCTGAAATGTTTAGGGGTTGCTAACAGTGCAGGATTTGGGATGAATGGAGGGAGTGTAGTGATAGGCTCTAACCTCAAGATTTGCAATTTCATTATTTTCAGTTGACACATTGGAAAATTCAAAGAAGTGGATTAAATGCAGTTACTACGGGATGTTTATTGATATTATAAATCACACCTTTTTATATAACCTGTGTCCTGAAGTAGCCTGTTTTTAAATTTGTATATATTGTTTCTAAGATGTTCTTGATTGTGGGATTGCTGTGACATGCAGTGACAGTTATATAGTTACCAATGAACAACTTCTAAAAATTAATGAAGCAGGTTTTCAATTATCAATTTTATCGTTATCATGACTGTACCACAATATGTGACAATATGTTCTGGTAATATCGCCCAGCCCTAGCTATGAGTAATTGTTGAGCTCCAAAGGAAATCATTGATAGATATATTGTTTTTAATTAAAATTACAAAGTCAGGCAACCAGGAAGTATTTTCCACACAGCACTAAGCTTCCCTCTGTTGTTGAACCTACATATTTTGACACAACTTCCGTCTAAAATGCAAGAATTTATTCACAAAACCAAAATGCTAGACAAGAAACTCGTTAACTAAGCTAGTAACATTCAGCTAGACTGCCCATTAAAAAGTGAAGGAATAAAGAAGGCTTATAATGGTTAATAATAAAACTGAAACATAATAACCAAAGAAAGTGATGCAGTAAAATCACACATCAGTGTTTGAGTTATGTTATTGAACCATGGTTAGTTGTCATAAACTAGAAGAGAGGCCAATTTAGCTGCTGCTAAGTTTTGAAATAACCAGCTCACAACACAAAGCCGAAAGAAAACACTACTTTAAAAATAAGTTTTACTTAAATAAAAATAACATTTCTTAATTTGGTGTTAATGAGGCACAGGAAGTGATAACAAGATAAGTAATAAACAGCATGTTTAATTAAAACTAGGTGCTTATTAATAGGTAAGTTAAATAATTTAAATGTTCTTTAAAGGTAATTTTTCACAAAGTGCTGTTTTTATTATAATGATATAAAAACCTCCTGTTTTTTATCTGTTGATGTTTGAGGAAAAGTGCAACAGGTTGAATATCGGGCAAATTAAAGGGATACAGATGATGACATCTTGCAGTCTAACTGTAAACCAGACAAAAACTGTTCGGTTGAAAAACGGATGTCAAAAACCCTATGATGATCAAATGTTGGAAGAACTGAGCTACAGGCAGTATGATGATCAGGTTTTGCTGCTGATAGCGGGGAGTATGCTTCTGCAGCTGATCAGACAAATATGATTGCAGCTGGATGGCAACACCATACAAACCAATCCTAAAACGTCTAATAAAAAATAAAACAAGGAGCAGAGACACCGAGGCCTACAGCCTCACACTCAATACTGCACAGTTTACACACACACACACAGTCATGTGATTTCTAATGACTATCGGGTTGAAAACGTAAACAAGGCCGCCTCAATCTCCCTTCTAACCCGATAAAATTCACCCCTCCCTCCTCCTTTCAGCGCCCCCCTCTGTTTATCAGTGCACAGTGACCTCACAGGTGGCTTGTCTTAGAAAATTTAAATATTTTTTTTTTCCTCCAATAAAACTGATGACAGCGAAACTGGAAACAAAATGTTGAATGTCTGGTATGTGAGCGTGAGCAGAGAGGGCTGCAGCCTTATTACCAGTTAGTGTCACTTTAGGCTTAATCGTGGAGATTTATTGGTTTTTATGTTGTTGTTTTTGTTCAGCTTCTATAAAGAGTCTGAAATTATTTTATCTTTCAGGTTAAATACACAATCTTTTCTTTACTGTTTTTAGTTTCTTTATAGGATGTTATAGTTTCACTGGTTTTGCTTTTATATTTTCTGTTTATGTCCACCTCCTTTCTGTAAATGGATCCGACCTTAACAGTACATGGAGCCATCATAAATACAATACCCTGTTGTCTTGGCAGGCTCAAGGTGAAAGACGGACAAACTGGCCCACTGGTCTCCTTTTATTAGAAACATTTCTATCACACCGAGTCCCAAACGTCTCGTACACACAGCTATCATTCACATTGCACAGACATAATTTCTGAACCACGCGTGGCGATGAAGGTCTGTTTAGCCTTCCAGATCAAAAACAAACTCTTTGCCATGCTGTAGTGGGATCTGTCAGCTCCTTCTTCCCAATGTTTTTCTTTTTTTATGCTTTTGCTCAAATTCTCTTGATTTTAAAGTTCAACAGATCAGTTTTTCTTGTCAGTATTCCAACCAATTTAGGTTTTACACAAACAATTTTAGTTGGGAGTCTTCTGTAGAGGGTGCAGCATGTTTAGTGTTAGTAGAGATACAGTGAATTGTTTGCAATAGTAAAAGAAAATAATTTGCAAATGTTAGAGGCATATGTGACATACTCATAAAAGAACTAGAAGTAGAACTTATAGAAAAAATCTATTGTATTACTGTTTATTTTTATAACAAATAGGAACACTGGTGCAAGAAGCAGATGTTGGCTGGTTTGTTGAGCTGTTTATATGCTACAAAATTCATGGGATGAATGGTTTTCATTTTGAATTGGCTTTAATTTGTGAATTGGTTCATATTTTTTAATATCCAGTAAAAATTTAGAAATTGAATCAATTTGAATCACTTTACTTTTGAGTCTCAGTTTTTTTCTTCATGATCCATTAAATTTCTTTGAGTCTTAAGCATCTTTCGCACTGAATTTAGCGGGTTAACAAGGGTTTTTCAAACACGGGTCACTATGTTAATAATTGGCATGTGGCTCCCTTCCCTTTGGCGAAAAGCTGAGTCTGACCCCGTCTGGCAAGCTGTGTGGCCCCCACCCCCCACCTTTGCGTGTCCTGCGACACCATCACTCTGGGTTATGATGTCATCAATTTGACAGAAATCAGGAAAGTAAACAATGGAGCAGCAGAGAATGGAGCCTCTCACCAGTGCTGCCCCATGTTTATCGAATGCAAGCAGAGTTGTTTTCGCTTGTTATATCAGACATGACTGGCGCGATGTTGTGATGTACACTATATTGCCAAAAGTATTTGCTCACCTGCCTTGACTCACATATGAGCTTAAGTGACATCCCGTTCCTAATCCATAGGGTTCAATATGACGTCGGTCCACCCTTTGCAGCTAGAACAGCTTCAACTCTTCTGGGAAGGCTGTCCACAAGGTTTAGGAGTGTGTTTATGGGAATTTTTGACCATTCTTCCAGAAGCGCATTTGTGAGGTCGCACACTGATGTTGGACGAGAAGGCCTGGCTCTCAGTCTCCGCTCTAATTCATCCCAAAGGTGTTCTATCGGGTTGAGGTCAGGACTCTGTGCAGGCCAGTCAAGTTCATCCACACCAGACTCTGTCATCCATGTCTTTATGGACCTTGCTTTGTGCACTGGTGCACAGTCATGTTGGAAGAGGAAGGGGCCAGCTCCAAACTGTTCCCACAAAGTTGGGAGCATGGAATTGTCCAAAATGTCTTGGTATGCTGAAGCATTCAGAGTTCCTTTCACTGGAACTAAGGGGCCAAGCCCAGCTCCTGAAAAACAACCTCACACCATAATCCCCCCTCCACCAAACTTTACACTTGGCACAATGCAGTCAGACAAGTACCGTTCTCCTGGCAACCGCCAAACCCAGACCCGTCCATCAGATTGCCAGATGGAGAAGCGCGATTCGTCACTCCAGAGAACGCGTCTCCACTGCTCTAGAGTCCAGTGGCGGCGTGCTTTACACCACCGCATCCGACGCTTTGCATTGCACTTGGTGATGTATGGCTTGGATGCAGCTGCTCGACCATGGAAACCCATTCCATGAAGCTCTCTGCGCACTGTTCTTGAGCTAATCTGAAGGCCACATGAAGTTTGGAGGTCTGTAGTGATTGACTCTGCAGAAAGTTGGCGACCTCTTCGCACTATGCGCGTCAGCATCCGCTGACCCCGCTCCGTCAGTTTACGTGGCCTACCTCTTCGTGGCTGAGTTGCTGTCGTTCCCAAACACTTCCATTTTCTTATAATACAGCTGACAGTTGACTGTGGAATATTTAGGAGCGAGGAAATTTCACGACTGGATTTGTTGCACAGGTGGCATCCTATCACAGTTCCACGCTGGAATTCACTGAGCTCCTGAGAGCGACCCATTCTTTCACAAATGTTTGTAAAAACAGTCTGCATGCCTAGGTGCTTGAATTTATACACCTGTGGCCATGGAAGTGATTGGAACACCTGATTCCAATAATTTGGATGGGTGAGCAAATACTTTTGGCAATATAGTGTATGTTAATTGCACTCAGTGGGGTCTCTTAATGGGTCGACACGGGTCTGTTGTTCCCAGATCAGAGACTATTTATTTTAACCCAGGTCGCTTGCCGTGTCATTTGACATGGGTCAGTGAGCCGTTCCCACTAAAAGCCAATTGTTTGTGGGTTTAAATGTGTTTTTTGTTCCAGTGGGAAAGAGGTAATAGCTGAAAATATTAATTGAATAGCATTTATTTTTATCCAATATGGAGGGTCCAACATTTAACATTTTGCAGTTCGTTTCTTTTTTGATGTAATGTTTCTATTTTTTTTTTGTTTGTTTCAGGGAAAAGAAACAGAAAATTCAGGACATTAAGAACAACATTAAAGAGGCTATTGAGGTATGTATTTGGTTGAAATTCGCTGAAGACGGTTAGTAGCATTAACTAAAGTCGTCTTGTCTCCTATGTGTAAAAATCTTCATAATCTGATGTTTTCTTTCTTGTTTTCACTATGGATTTGTTTGTGGTTTCAACAGACCATTGTAACAGCTATGAGCACACTTACACCACCAGTGCAGCTGGCCTGTCCGGAAAACCAGTACAGGATTGACTATGTCCTCAACCTCATCAACCAGAAAGACTTCGACTTTCCATCAGTGAGTATACTAGCGCCTGCTACCGTCGTGTATCAGTTGTGTTGATAATCAAAGATGTCTCATGGGAAAATGGAGCTGCAGTTTGCCAGTGTGTAAACAGAGAGGCATCAATCTGGGGATTTGTTGACAGATTGTTTGGGATTCTATCAAATCTTTTACCAAAAATGTAGCTTTAACTGCTTTTTATTTCCTCTTTTATAATTATAGCACATAAAGGTATAACAATAGCATTCAAATGAATTTTGTTTTCATCTTTATGCCATAAGCTATTAATTTTTATGGCAGGAATAGAGATGACATCATACCCTGTGTTTGACAGCAGTCGGTGGAAAAAAAGGCTTTACTGATGTTATATGGGTAGTAGCATTAATATAAGCGGTTAGAGATAAATCAAACAAATTTTGCTTTGGTCAGCCTTCCTGTTGTTTGCTAAAAGTCCCACTCTTTCTATTGCAGCTTTAAAGAACTCTGGTATCTTTAAACATGTCAGTTTGTCTTCTTTTTTTTTCTCATTTCTAGGTTCTTGCTTTCATTAGTTTGGCCCCCACTGATACCTGCTGCCAACAAAAACTGTTGCTGCTAAATTATATTAGTGAAGTTTTTAGTTTGTTTGTTTTTTAGACCCAGTCCTTCAGTGCTGCAATCCTGCAATTTCAAAATGCATCTATCTGACTTACCTGAACTAGATGAATAGCTCAATTCCAGGCCTTTGCAGGGCTGAATGAAATGCTGATGAGGGAATTCAGGTTATTTGTTGCTGGTTTGTTGGAGAAGTGATTGATCTACAAGATAATATGGCTTAGCAGCCTTGTTTACCTAGTCACCTCTCTGGAGGAATCGAACTGAAACATTCCAGTTAAATGCTATTTTTTTTTTTTACAATTCTAATTCAATGGCAGCTTTAACCATTTAACTTGCAACTTTATCAATTTTTTGTTTATAAGGAACGGGCACGTGACGTCACACGTTGCGCGGCAGCCATATTGAAAGCTGGTCAGCCCATTGTTTACACTTCGACTTCGCGCCTGTAAGGACTTGCTTTCTTCTGCTAGTAGTTTGCTTAGTTTTTTGCCGTTTCATTTTACCTCTGCTGTCGTTATGGTCACCCGTTGCTGTGTCGTAGGGTGTAGTAGCACAAGCTGTGACTGGATGGGGAAAAAAAATCCCAAATGGATTGTCTTTTTACCGTTTTCCAACCTGGAGGCGTCTCAATGGAAAACAAATGTCCTCCATAACAAAGAGTCGCCGGCTAGCATGGGTCGCTGCTGTAAGACGGCCAAATATAACTTTCAACTCAATCCCAGTGTCCATGAGAGTGTGTTCCCGGCATTTTCATTCTGGTAAGTTACAGAACATACTTACCTTGGCTCTGATGACTGTGTTCTCATTCGGTTTGATTACTTCCATGTCGTGAACTTTTCCATCTGTCAGCTGTTTGTAAGCCTCTAGCGACTTGTAGCAGCGAAATTCTTCATGCGTGCAGGCACTGACGCCACACACTAGATAGGAAAATATGTCCTCCCTCGCAAACGGCGGTAGAAATTCTTCCCCAACGCACCAGTCCTTGCTTGCTACTTCGTAGGGATCAAGTCCGTTTATGAAGCCCATCTTTTGCAGAAAACGGTCCCTGGCTTCCCTCTGCAGTGTTTCTCGGTATATTCCGCATCCTTTCTTCGCTTTTAACATCACTGTTTACTCGTCTTTGTGCTTTCTCTGTGCTGTTTTAGGTCTTTGTTTACCGTAGCAACTAGCTGTCAATATGGCGGCGTACCCAGAATGCAACGCGCTGTGCCCGTCCCCTATTTTGTTGGTGGCTGCAGGAATTGGCTCTAAAGTTCTGTTTGACATCATCTTTGCTCACATCAGTAAATCTGTCCTTCGGAAGCCTTAGGTATTACCAGCTGTGTTTTTGTTTCAGCAGTAGTCCCAGTTTACCTGACAGTCCCAGAACACAGGTGTTGAGGCGGGGCAGTCTGCCACCGCTGCTGAGGTGTTCCCCACAGGTAGCCTCTACAGTGTTGCCATTAACTTAATATCGACTCTAGAGACTGAACCACAGACATAATCCTGAATCCAGGGCCACCTTTGGGGCCAAACTTAATTAAATTTTCAGTCTCACCTTTGGGGGGATGTTGTTTTTAATGCAGTTGTTGAGCCATTTGCTCAGCTGTCACCAGAACGCTGTGTTCACAGGAGGGATGTGTCTGCAAACCTTATTGTTATCAAACCTTCATTTTTATAGACTTTAAATACTGGAAATGTGGGTTACCTGGAATTTGTTTGCCACCTTTCTGCAGAGTAGCCTTGTTGCTTTCATGCACTTTTCATGCCCTGTCTTGTTTGTTGATATAAGTTTAGTTTTTGTTTAAAACATTCATTCTTTCAAGTAGTCATAAGGTTTTTTTATTTACTGTAGAAGTCCATTACGGACAGGCTGAGAAGAAAATACAGTTTTAGTTTATTCTAGTTCCAAGATGTTTTGGGAAGGCGTGTTTTCTGATAAAGGATTAATTAAGTGGGTACACTTTATTTGGTGTAAAATAAAAATATACAATATCACTGAAGTGGAGCTGCATAACATTACAAAAATTATACATTTCATATTACAGTTGAGAATAACAGGAATATTGTGATAATTATTTTACTACATCAGGTTACTACATCAGGTATGGATGAAGGGCGATGTAAGTCAGTCAGTCCATGTCTCTATTGTTGACGGCCTGTTTCAAACTTGATTATTTACTTGACAAATCATTGTGGCGCTCTGTTAATTAAGTTGATTTATTTACGCACCTTTTTACACAAAAATGTCACGGAAAGGACACAAATGAAATTGCTTCCTATATCTTTTTTAAGTAACATTTTTAATGACTTTCATTTAATTTCATAGCTTTTCAGTCAGATGGAATTCCAGGCTTTTTATAGGCCATTTCTTTTTTATTATTTTTTTATTTTTTTTAACCCATTATTTAGAGATGGATGTAGCTTTGTCTTTGGATTCTCAACATGCTGAAGAACCCAGGGTGAGCAAGAAGATGAGTGTGATGGATCCTCCCTGCGTTCACAACCAACAAACTTCCTAGCAGACATGACGCCGAATGTCCTGCAACTGCAAAGCCTCTTTCCTTTTTTTTTCTTCCTTCTTTTTCTTTCTTCTTTTTTTTGACGGGCAATAAATGGCAGCTAGGTTAATGCCGTGCCAAAGAAATCTTTTTGTAGGGCGCCTCCAGGTGCATTGCTGCTCCCCTCAGGACACTGGCTTGTGCATCATTTCATGGGCATTACGCTGCTAGGCATAAGTTAGGCTGATGTTGGATATACGCTCTGGACTTGTTATGACTATGCTATATATATATATATATATATATATATATATATATATATATATATATATATATATGCCCAAAATTGAAAAAAAAATGCATAGAAAGTTCAGCATGTGCCAGCATTTTAGGAGATTCTGGGACGTTTGGTATATGCTGTCTAAATTGGTGACAGAGCCCTGTACTGCTGGTATTAAGTGATGCTAGTTGTACTCTCGACTTACAGAAAGCACACCTTCTGAAAATGTCCTATTTTGTCTCTTTATTCTACAGAATGTTTCCCATAATGTCTTGGGTGTTATAAAGATTTTTTGGGACAAATGTCTGATACTGTTCTTTTTGGTCAGGAGGGATTTTTGGCATTGGAACTCTCTTTTGAAAGCCTTTTCTACCCAGTCTTCTCCTCTTTTGGTTGAATTTATAAGTACTGACCTTTACTGAGGCAAATGAGGCCTGCAATGCCTTAGACAATATGCTGAGTTCTTCTCGTGATGAATTTTTGTTGTGCTCTAGAAGTGACTTCAGAAGCCTGGCCACCCTTTGGAGGGTTCTCAACTGTTCCTTGTTTACTCTATTAATGGTTAATAGGTTTTAATGCAGTATACAGAGTATTGGAAAATCCTCTATGACCCTTTCCAACCTGATGGATATGGATGGTTCATTTTCAGCTGTTCTTGAAATTCTTTAAATCAGGTCAGAATATGTTTCAGTTTAGATCTTTTGGTCTATTTCAATTCATCTTAGGCTCTTATGTGATTTATTTATTTTCAAGGTATCCAAAACTGCTTAATGTTTCTCTCTTTGATTGTTTTTGTTACGGTATTTAATGTTAATGGTATTCAATAAGGTAATAAAGAAAATAATTCATTAATATGGGAGAATCTCTCTATCAGTGTGCCTCAAAACTAACTCAAATGAGTCGGGTTAACCAGTTGGTTTATGAGTTTAATGGGATGAAGGCACAAAGCTTTTGCTCTGATCCTTAGTGATATATTGCCCATAGGCTGATGATCTTTTTTTGCATATTGCAAACTTGTGTTTAACCACAGAATGCCCCTCTGCTTCCCCTTCTCCTGCTCTTAGATCGAGCTGTTGGGAAGCAATTATTTATCACCATTCATCATCGGTCGTCAGTTGGCTTTACCCGTTTGGTTCGTTGACTTGTTTTTGACGAGCGCTGCATAGTTTCCACATTACAAAACAGGATGGCGAAAGTGTGTTTTGCATGTCACTGGAATTTGTATCGACGGTTGTGTGTAGGCGTGCAAAGAGAGCTGTGTATTTGTTAGTTCCAGTTGTAGGGTAACATCACCCCATCAAGTCCAATGTATTCAGTTATGCCGTTTCTCAATTCACTACAACATGAGTACGGACTCATGTCCTCGCCAAGTATGTTCTTGAGAAGAACACAGGAAAGTGGACTTGGTGAGAATGGGAACATGCAGCATTAATATGGGCCAATCGAGTAGAAGCGTACTCATGACATCACGAGTAAGCTGTATTTCACCTCCTGTTATTAAGAGTCTCTAGATAATAATAAATTATTACTTTTTTTTTATTTAGTGGGGAAATAATTATTAATACAGTCAGATAAACACAAACCAAATGGACATTTTGCCAAATAAAACAAAAAAATCGCCATCAGATCCAGCGGTCCTTCACACACTGCTATGCTGAGAGAGGGCTGCTGCAGACGGGCTGCGGGTAGCCCTGGCTGTCGTTAGCCTCGGACCTCCACTGGTTCCAGCGGTCCTCTCTACTTCGGAAATAATTTTTTTAATTACACATTCAATCAGTAAATGGACCACATAGTGAAGCTTTAAAGTATAATATTCTCGCCTCAAATTATCTTAAAACATACTTTTATTGAAAAACAGCAACAAAAAAGATAGCTTTTAACTTCCAGTGGAGCGCTCCATTGAAAGCTGCTGCTGCCGCCGCAGTGCATGCTGGGACAGCTGTCAATCTCAAGAACGGACAAGTCTGCTCTGATGCATACTTGATAAAGAGGGCGGGGCTAGAACAACATCCGAGGACTCTTGTCTGTTCTCGGCCTGCTGTTTTTGTGAATTGGAACAGTACTAGGGCTGAGGTTGATGACCTTTGACGAGCACATGAGAACGCACAAGTACACAATATTGAGAAATGGCCTTAGTCTTGGTGGAGTGGTGAAGCTATGGAAGGAAATGTTTAGATTTGATCAGAGTTCCGCTTGGTGCAAAGGGATTGGTCAGTATGTGAAGAGGTGGGATTATGTGGCACCATGGATGCATGGTGTGCATCAGATTATGCATTTAGAAGGAATTTAGCTTCAGGTAGGGCCTCTAATCCGGATCTGATCATGTGGAAGTGTGTACCTGATTTTCATATTAGGCAAAATATCTTTAATGATCAGAAAATATGCATATTTTATTTTTTCTAGGGTATCTGTACTGTGAAAACTGTGCTAAAACATTTTGAATTGAACTTTATTGATCTTTAATTGGAGAAATATACCTCTGCATTTAACCCATCCCCTTTGAGAGCAGTCGGCTGCGATCGCAGCAGTGTGGGGTTAAGGGTCATGGTCATGCTCAGAGACCGAGAGTGGCAGTGGCTAAGTGGCTCGAACTCAGAACCTCAGGATTCCAAGCTTTATGCCCCTACCTACTAGGCCATCACTCCCACGTAGATGACTGTGTGTTTTAGAGACTGGCAGGGCAATTAATATGATTTACAATTTGACAAATCTAGCGAGGTTCAATCCTTATTTCTCAGTCTCCACTTTCTCATCTGTTATTTTAATTCTTCCATCACTGCCTGTGACTTGTGTTGTCGGCAGGCCTTCATCTATGTCCAAACAGCTGAATAAACTGTATTATTGCCCCTGGAGGAGAAAGGCTATTAGAACATTAGCAATGTTAATTCTGAATCCACCAATAATTACCAACTTATGATTTCAGTGTATTTTCTTTTTGACTTTTTAACAAATGCTTTTCTTCAAAACGAAAACCTTAGTTGCTAAACAGAAAAACACTCAAACAGAAAACAGAGCTGGTATTTTACTTTTGAATTTGCCATTTTCTTCATATGAATTTCATTGAAGACTCTACAGTTTAACACCGCTGCTTTAGTTGGAAGCCACTTCCTGATGTGTTCTTCATTTTGGAATCAAAAAATAATACAAATACAATACTAATTACCCTCCGATTAAGGCTGTAAGGTTTACTGAGATTCTTTCAATCAGCAGCTCCTTCACTCGCTCTCTGGATTTCTGTCAGATTTGTCAACTACTTTCCTCTACACCCCCATTACTAGATTTTATAAGGTGTGTTTAATATGTGGGGGGAATTGCCTTATATAACATTTACATAATGACTCTTTTCAGGGGCAGATTGAGACTCTGCTACGGCGTTAACGTCTTCTAGCATGTTTTATTGGGATTTTAACCTCTTTAATATCGGTCATTAAGTGTTTCCTTAGGTTTTGTGTTTTGTTTTTTCAAAGAAATTGTGTGATTAGAGATCTAATCTTTTCTAATGTAATTATTTTCTCTTACAGACGCATATTTTGAATTTGTGATGTAATGCCTTTTTTCCCCAAGAGGAAATGATACAGGAACTGGACTTTAGTTTGCTTTATTCTTGCAGATGTAGCACTCTCATAAATTACTAAAGTTTTTGACATACTTGGTGTATTTATAACAAAAAAAACCACAGTTAAACCATCGAATCGTTTAACCTCATTTGAATTAAACTAAGAAGTTTGTCTCCCATTGGTAAAGTAGAATGTTGGCGTTTTGTTTTTATTTAGGGGTTGAATCCTTCGGAAGGCCAAGAAAACTGAATTAAAAAAGTTTCCTATATGGAAAAAGAACATTTGCAAAGCATTGATGAAAATTTGATTTCCTTTCTTCCTCAATGAGAAATTGTGTTGAGGTATTAAAAAACACCTCAGATTAACAGATTAACAGATTATCGATTTATGTATACAGTTCAGATGAATTATATCAAAGCTTTAACAGATTAACTTTAATGAAATAATTCAGACACATTGATTAAATAATTTCCTGTCTAAACTCTGCAGATAATCTCTGATCAATGATTTTGCAGAATTCATTCCTGGATGAGCAGAAAGCGACAATCACCTGCATCCAGTTTATGGCTCAAGATAATCTCTGTCATCCTCACTCCAACACGTCAGTTAGCCTAAAAATGAGGAGGGTCAACTCATTTAAAAAAGGATAATTTGTGTTAAGAGCTAAAGAAGTATTGTTTCATAAGGAAATAAAAAAACAAGTAATTTCACTCCTTCCCTTTTTTTGTTGTTGAATATTTTCATTTAGTAACTTAATTCACTCAATGGAAGATAGGTGTTTTTAACCCTTTATTTCTGTTACCAAAAATGATAATAATGAAAGTCAGATGTTTAAGATTAGAATATGACATCAAACCAATAAAAAAAAAGAAATTTTAATACAGAAATGCGGGCTAAATGCCTGCTTAAAGGTTATTTAAAAAGGTACATTTCATGCAACATAATGTATTTTAGTTTATTAAACATGAACATATGTAGATGATGCAGCATATATTCTAGTTGGTTTTGCAGTTATATTGTTGATGGTCTCAGTTTCTTGTTGCTCATCCAGTGCTAAACAAAAAACAAAAAAAAGCAATGTGCTTGTTTGATGCTTTTTTTTCAGTAAGTCCAAGAGTTGTAAGGTGTTTTATTTACCCTCCACCACTATTTACCCTCCCGGGCTTGCACACGGGTGTCGCCCAGGCACAACGTACATGTCGTGTGGTGTCAACAAAGACGCTGTGCACCCGCTGATCTCAGTCACACGTCATGGACAACAGACAACCTTGTCACTTTTTCTGTCTCCTTTCATATCTGTCAAATTTGGACTAAAAAGTAAACATGAAGCTCTGCCATAACATGACACTCTAAAACGGGAAGCTTTTCTGTCTTCGATGTAGATGACCCATCTATTAGTGAGCTTGGATTAAGCCAACGTAAAACTCACCAACTTCATTTTCAAAGGGATTTGATCAATTTTCAGTGGAGCAGGTCGTCCAAGTAAATCTGCTCTACGGGTGCAAATAAACATTTTAAATTCTCATGTAGTGTTTTTTTTTTTTTTTTCTCTCCCCAGGAGTTTTACGACAACGCAAAGAAGTTGTGGCAGGATGATGGGGTCCGTGCGTGCTTCGAGAGATCCAATGAGTATCAGCTAATCGACTGTGCACAATAGTGAGTAGAAACTTTGAGCAGAAATCTAGTTTTTATGTTTTACTGATCTGGACTCCCAAAAAGAAGTGCTGAACCCTTAACTTGTTTTAAATCAAAATTAAAACATGGAGTAACCTCTAAATATTAAAGTTCTGTGTAAAATTTTGTTCTTATCAATCATTTTTTTATGTAATGTTACTTTATTTAAAAAAAAAAAATTTGTTTTGTTCTTTTTATGTACAGCACTTTGAATGGTCTTTCTACTGAAATCTGCTCTGTGCATAAACAAGTTTTGCCTTCAAACTGTGGCACCAATAACTGTTGACACTACTGCAGTATATAAATTAAAATGTAAAATCCTTTTAACATGCAGAGATTAAAAAAAAAAAAAAAAAAAAAAAGGAAACTTCACAGTTTTAACTGATGACTCAACATAAAGATTCTCAAGGTTTTAATTTACAGAAACAAAAATGTATTTTCTTTTTTTACAAAATATTGGCGGTGCAGAAAATTGATTCTTGATTTTTGGCATCTTTCCGTATCCAATAGCTTTAAGGTTCATCCTTAAGTCATTTATCACTGAAATACAACCTGAATGAATATTAATAATTAAAGAAAGTCTAAAGTTCGATAAAGGTATCTTCAAGTTAAGCTATTCTAAAGAAAAGGAGAGGACTTTATAATTCTGGTTTGTCACATATAAGTTCAGCCTGCCTGCCTCACCTGGACTGGATTGTTTGCTTTTTTAGGTCTTTATTACTGATGGATTTTACTACAAATGATTTAAATATATGAAGCTCTGACACAAGTGTGATCAAGTTTTTTTTCTAATGTTTAGATGTTTCTTCCAGTTATCAGACATGATCTGAAGTAACGGGTATTTTCCAAGCCCTTCTACAAAGTATAGATACGCTTGGGAGGAGATGAAGGGACAGGACTGCACACAGTTGCTCTAATTGTTTCTGTGTCTGTTTTGCTGTAATTAGCTTCACGAAATTAAATTGATTATGAAGATGAATTATCATAAGATGCTAAAAATATATTCGATAAAATGTAAGAAATTATTAAAAGATGTCAGATTATGAGAATTTAATAAGTCAGAATAACTCAGATTGACCTCCTACTGGTATCTCATATTTAATGGAGTTATCAGCACATGTTTGCTTTGAGGTTAAAAAAAAGAAAAAGAAAAAAAAAAAGAAATACATTTCTAAAAACAAATTTGTCAGATATATCAGATATGAATGGTTCCGTGTTTGCACGGAACTGCCTCCTGTTGATCTCAAAGCCGTATTTTCAGAAAAGACAAACAACAAAAGTGGCTGGAAAATTAGGAATTCGGGACATGGCTGCAGCCTGTCGACAGGAAAGATGACGGAGGAATTTGTTGTGGTTTTCTATATATACATACAGCCATGGGTACTTGTTGATGGCATTAAAATTATTTCTAAGAGCATTAAAAATCATTAAATCAGAGTCACTCATTCCTGTATAAACTATAAACCCTGTAACATATGAGGGTTTTTTACTATTCCGAAAATAAATGTCTTCCTACCCCACAAACTTTTCATCACTCATGTCAAACTTCCGTGTTTTTCATTAGGATTTGAAATGACCCTCAGAACTTCATAATGATGATGATGATTTTAAATAGAAGGCGTTGCAACCAGATGGTTAGTTACTGAAGATTTTGATTAGATGTGTTTCTTATAGCTCAAGACTCTCAGGCACTTTAGTAATAGATTTCTATTAGGGGCAATGTTTTATTGCCCACATCGACAATCATGCTCATCTAACTGTCGAATATCCACAGCTGTCTGTAAACTATTGATTTAGTGATTTTTAAATGATTCTTTTAGAATAGTGGTTTGCAGAGATTGCTTGCTCACTTTAACCCAACTCAGCCGTTTTGATTTTAACGACTAATCTAATCACGGAGACCAGACTCCCTGTGCTGACTCACTACTTCAGTCGGTTACCGTAAAGAGAGTAAAATTATCCCATTTAATGTGAGAGTGAGTCAAGTTGTGACGCATCTTGGAATCAATTACTGTGGCTAATCTTGAGCTAAATAAACGGCGGATTAAAAAACCTGAAATAACTTGGTCTGTCATAAAGCTGCTGTGAGTTATTGCTGCACCTTCATTTTTCTGAGCTTAAACCTAAGATCGTATTTCATAAATTTATTTTCTCTAACAGCTGTAGAGGCTTGATGCATCTCAGAGGAATCTGAGTTTTGTATTTTCTTTGTCTTACCATAGAAATACTTCAAGTGAACCAAAATAGACTTTCTTTCTATTTTATAAGCTAGTTATGAAAGGTTCTGTAATTTGCTGTTCCTCTCTGAGCTTTTGACCAGTGTCAAATCCTATGTTGGGACAGCTGTGACCCTGCTTTGCACAGTTAGTGGTGTGCCGTGTCGCTCTTTATTTTTTTTACATGGAGCTTAAAGATCATTAGTAGTATCTAATGGAAACTTTATTAAAAGTCAAATTTCTGGATCACGACTAATCCCATGTATGCTGACAGCAGAACAAAACAGTCATCCATGTTTCTGGAGCAGAAGGAGCTTGATACGTGATTCAACTGACTACAAATGTAAATCTGGAGGTGTTAAAAAACAGGATGGGTTAAATACAAAAGACAAGTTCGGTTTTAATCTATAGTTGCAATGTAAACAGGGGCTGATTTACCCATAATCCATTCCAGGCCAACCACTTCCCTTCAGTTTTCACCTAATATCTGGAATCTCTTTGTGTGTAATTTAATCTGACGATGGGACCAGATGTCCTGCCAAGGCCTCAGAGGTTAGTTGGAGAACATTAAGAACAAACTGCTTGATAAAGACCAAGAAACATAAAAGGCGAACAACAACTGTGTTACAGTTAAAATCAGAGTTATACAATGTTATTAAAAAATGTCAGAAAAAAATGGTTTATTATTCAGAAATATCAACACTGGGAAACTACAAAGACCTAAGCTTTCATCTAAAGCAACAGGCTGGGGAGGGGGGACATTAGTCAGAGAAGCAGCTAGAAGGCTTTTTGTTTCCTCTAGAGCAGCAGGAGGCAAAATCCTTAAACAGACATTTACTTCAGCTTGAAATAATGAATCGGATTAATGAACTATTAAAATAGTTATTAAGTAGTTAGATAATTGACAAGCCATTGAGAAGAGTATACAGACATTTGGTTAAAAAAATAAACAAATCTGAGCAAAAATGGGGTTCAAGCTGTATAAAAATGTCTAAGAAAAACAAACAATGCTTTTAAGATGAAAATTCATGGTCGGTAAAAATGCTCTGAATGGAAAATACATTTTAATAAATTTCCTTGCTGCTGATTATTTCCCTTTAGTTGTTCAGCAATGGAAATCTGATTCTCCTGATGTAGCAGAGTGGTATAACGGCAGCAGATTTTTTTGTTTTGAAGCAAACATGGCTGAGACTGAGTCATCCACAGATAAGAGGATGTTTCCCAGAGGGGGGGCGGTGTTTAAGAAGGATACCTTTGCTGCTGAGTTCAAGACCCCCAGCTTACCACCTCAACTGCCTCTTAGAGGCGATAAATTCATCTTCACTTTAAGATGCATCATATTCCTGCATTATACCACATAAAAATAAGAATTTTATTGGAATAAATTCCCCCATGCCTCCCCCCTCATGAGATAGTACAGTCCTTAGTTTTGTTCCCTCCCATTTTTCAAAAACACAAACTGATCCCCATCCTGCTCTTATTTTCCTGTTGCTCCTCCTCCACCTTCAGTCTCTTCATTCGTCTGTCTTTTTTTTCTGGAGCAGCACCAGCAGCATGAGATTGGGAGCTGATAGACTATTAATAGCTCCTGTAGTTGGGTCTCCATGGGTATAGCGCTGCAAGCCAGGGTGGCAGGGAGCTATTTTTTAAATCTGCTCCATATTGTCAGTCAAAGACAACTGAAATTTCATTCTGCCTTTCCTCCTACCACAGCCCTTTTTCCAAAATCCATATTTTTCATTTATTTACCGTCCTTATCCAATGCTGCAGAAGCTCCTGTATCGGAACCCATGATCAACCTAACAGAAGTTGGATTCAGTCAGGAGCACACGGATATTAGCCGAGCAAATTGATTGCTTACCTCTTAAAGTTTCTTTTAAAACAACATTAATACTGTAAAAGGCGACTTGAAACACTGAAAGGTTTGCAGAACCAAAATCGATCAAATGAACTAGACTGGTTCAAGCCTCCACGCCTTCTTTGCCGTCATGTTCAGCTGACCCTAAGGATGACTTCTGACTATTTATTACTGTTTTACCATATTTTCCAGACTATAAGCTGCTACTTTTTCCCACCCTTTGAACCATGTAGCTTAGGTAAAGATGCAGCATTTCTGTGTAGTTTTCTTTAATGGCCAGAGGGTGAAAGTTAAAGTTGGAAACAAAAGGGGAGTGTCACTACCCGATCCGCACTGGAAGCACAATCCGTATCATCGGCTCATTTGTGTATGTGCAAGCAGATATTTATCCAGGTCGTCATAAATGAAATGATCATGGTACTAAAAGTACTTCTATCCTTAAATCACTAAAGAACGCTAATGCTAATCTTTAAAACATTTTTTATTACTGTTCTGAGAAAATTTGATGCTTTTTAAATTTTCTATGTTAAACTGCCTTTCTGACTTCGTCGGACATGCTCAGAGTAGTCCGGCAAAATATGATTGAACCATGTTTATCTGCATTTTAGTTGTTTCTTTCTTTAGGTTAAGCACTATATAACATAAGGTTAACATGAAAGGAAAAAAGAAAACTCAAAAAGATTAGATTTATATTTAAACCCAAAGCCAAAAAAGTAATCTCCCGGTTATACCGTAGGATCTAATTTCCAGCAGAGAGAAGTGATATAACACTTACAGGTTTGGTGGGGACACTTCAGTAGATATCAGCCGCTTATAGCTCGTTGTGGCTTATACGTGTACATTTCCAGTTTTTAAAGAAAACTTTGTGGGTGTGGCTTATAGTGGTTGTGCTCTATAGTCCAGAAAATACTGTATTAATTTAGATTAAATGACTAATCCAGAACACAAGTGTGACATATGTTTTTTGTCAGGCCAAACGACTGACCAACAGTGACATCTACTAAATGGCATCTAATACACGTCACTGTCTGGATTTCCTTCACCTTATAATCCACCTGCTTCCCTTAAACACAAAAAACTTAAAAGATAACATACATGCCATTAAAAAAATTGGAGTTAACTAAATTTTGATCAGAATCATGATCGTGGGCCATAAATAACAAATATCCTTTAAATCTCTAGATTTTTATCAAAAACAGCCTGAAATGTAGTTTTTAACAGGTGTGTTTTTTTTTTTTTTTACATTTTTTCCCCATGTAATTCATCCAAATACATACAATTAAGAGTATTTGAAAGACTTTATCAAAGTTGAAATTCTAAAGGGATTTTAAAACAAAGTAGTACATATACTTAAAGCCTGTTTTTTGGTAGGATGTTGGACAAAAAGCTGTAGACCAAAAAAGTGTAGCAGTCACAGAGATTCAACAGTTTAACTTCAGACATTTTAAAGACTTTCATTAAAAAAAATACAATGAAATGGATATCCCAAGCAGTGTTGGGAAAGTTCTCTTTCTACGTGAACTAGTTCAAAGTTCAGTTCACGCATTTTAAAATGAACTAGTTCAGTTCATAGTTCACAATTCCAAAAAACGAACTAGTTCATAGTTTTTTTTTTTTTTTTCATATATTGCTCAATTACACCATAGCCTACTGTAGAACCACAGACGGCAATTATTTTATCAGTTGTAACTCTGAAACTGTGCGTCAGATTTCCTCTTCATATCCAGTTTTGAATCCTTATCCAACCAGGGTTTACATTAGCATTGAGGGGACAGCATTTCCCCATTGTTGCTTTAATGCTCTGTTGCTGTCCATTCACTTCACACTAGTAGCAGCTGCAGCTTTCACCCCTACAGTATATTCTCAAAAACATCAGGAAAAATGTGCTGCTTGAATTGTCTTTTTTATGAGTAGTTATTAAAAGAAAAATAGGAAAGTAGTCTTTAAGGTGCAAATGTTTTTTTTTTTATTTTAATATTTTTTTCCATTTGAAATTCCATTTCAATACATACTAAAAAGGAATCCTGGAAAATTATACCAGGCAGGTTTAACAAACAAGTTACATGGATAGTAAAACCCTCAAGAACAGGGGTCTTCTATGTTTTCCAGACCAAGGACCCCCAAACTGATGGCGAGATGGAGCGGGGACCCCCTAACTATATATATTGTATGAAATTGTGTCCTATAGTCACTCTATTACAGATGGAGTAATGTAAAGAAATTAATTTCTCCCTGGGATTATTAAAGTTTTTCTGATTCTGATTCCTGGTTGTTGTGAAGGAAACGGTGCCCAGCTTGAAAGAGCTCCTGTGTGTCGCTGAATGTGTGTATTGATGACTGAAAGACATCTTCTGCCTCCATTTATCTGTTTACTACAGTGTGTTGATTTCATGTTAATGAGTATTTAAAGACATTTCAATTAGTGGGGGAAAAAAATGCAGGGGGGGAATATAAAAATATCAACTAACCATGCAGACCCTCATGCAGTACCTCCGTAGACCCCCTAGGGGTCGCGGATCCCCTGTTGAAGACCTCCGCTCAAGAAGATTTTACTAACACAAACTGAGGGACCAGGCTGAGGTAGGAATTTAAGGTTACTGAAGTGCGGATTTTTTTTACTGAAAGCCGGCGGGCAAACTTGTTGCCATCATCCTCACCGACCACCTGGTCATAAACCTGTTTTAAGTCGCCTCCGTGCTGCTTTGGCTTCCACGCTGCATTTTGTTTTGATGACGCACGCGGCTGTAGGCTACGACGCTGGTAGCTGCTGTTGCCAGATTGGGTGTTTTTCCAGCTACATATTAAGGCCTGTTTACGGTGTGATTTAGCTGGGGTTTCGCCTGGAGGGCTTTATAGAAATCTGGCAACCTATTGAACGGAGTTGAACTGAGAGAGCGTGCCGTTCACAGACACCAGAATGAACGAGTTCACAATAACGTTCATCAGGCAATAATGCAGTACGTTCAGTTCACGTTCGCCCAAAATATGAACGAGTTCATGAACTTTCGTTCAATGAACGCGTTCAGGCACAACACTGATCCCAAGTATATTGCCTACCTTACATAAAGATTAACTGCAGTTTTCATCAATGCATAAATGACACTATAAGATATAGTCATTTTCAAATATCTAAAATCAAATCATGCAGAATTATTTACCCCAGGATTAAGATAAATTTCATCTCATGATCTGCCATATTTTCATGTCTAAACATTTGAGCTTGAAGTTAAGTCAGAACATGCTTTCTCAGTATAAATAAATTTGTTTTTTCTGTTTTCAGCTTTCTGGACAAGATCGACATTGTGAAACAGAGTGATTATTCCCCAACGGATCAGGTGGGTTAATATTTACACTTCCAGGGATTCCAAGCTAGGGCAGCTATCTAACTTAAATCTGTCAGTTTAGTCAAATTATATAGCACCATTCAACAAATCACTTCTTATGGTAAGTTGTAAAAGAAGCAGATCAGCCCAATCATAAAGACAGATTGACATTCAGTTTGGTCTGTGTTAAAATACACAGCTGTCATGGTAGGTTTATAGTGATAAAAAATTAAAAAACATTACTGTTATGAACCAGTAATCGGTGAGAAAGTTGGTTACATGAGATTAAGTTTGCACCAATCGCCTGTAATAAGTGTCCATGAACCGACATTGGAATCAAAGGAATCGTTTTTGACAGGAAGGAACCATCCAGGTTTGTCAAACTCAAGTCCTCAAGGCCAGGTAGGCCTGGTCCAAGACCCCTGAATCAGATTTCCTTCAAGGAGTGTTAAAGCATCTCAAAGCTGCATGACAGCACGCCCCACAGACTGGTGTTTGACAGACTGTCTGTGGGACCGAGTGTGGGTAGGAGAAGCAAAATAGTGGTTCTGGCCTTGAAGAACTTTCTATGTTCAAGAAAAAGCAAACATGAAAACATTGCATCTTGTTCACATAGAGATATAAACAGAGGCAGCGGGCCTGGTGTAACTTCTACTGAAATGGGAAATGGATGAACATCTAGTGTGAGAGCAAAGTGCTCTGTTAGGAACATAAGGGAACAATCAGAAAATGATTAAGGGTTCCTTGTAGATAATTTTTTTGTTAGAATATATTTTTGTACAACATTAAAAGGCGGTTTAAAGTTCCATAAAAGTGCTGTTGTCTGTTTTTATTGTAGTTTTTGTTAACTTCCTGTTTATTGCTTTGGGCACCATAGTTTTTTTACAAATCAGTCAATAAAGTCAGTTTATGTATCATTTGGGCTAAAAAAAAAAACAAATTCCAGTGTTTAGGTTAACATCCCTTACAGATTTTGGTTTGTTTTTTTTTTTTCAGGATTTGCTTCGGTGCCGAGTTTTGACTTCAGGGATCTTTGAAACGAGATTCCAAGTAGACAAAGTCAATTTCCAGTAAGTAAAAGTATATGTAGCTCTGGGTTTGTTTTGTAATGAAGCTTTGTTAGATTACAACAGTGAACATCGGGACATAAACACAGAAAATAATCAACCAATAAACACTAAGACAGCCTTCTCCACTTGGTGGCAGTGTTGCACCTGTTTTTAAAGCCCAGATGTTCTTGTTTGATCCTCACAGCATGTTTGATGTTGGAGGTCAGAGAGATGAACGCAGGAAATGGATTCAGTGCTTTAATGGTAAACTTTTCTCCCTTCTCTCAGCTTTATTTTCTCCGTGCTGGTGTGTGATTGTGACCGTTGGTTTGCTCTCCACAGATGTGACGGCCATCATCTTTGTGGTGGCCAGTAGCAGCTACAACATGGTGATCAGAGAGGACAATCAGACCAACCGATTACAGGAGGCCCTCAACCTCTTCAAGAACATCTGGAACAACAGGTAGAGATGGTTGGCACCAGCACATCTGTACCCACTGCGGACTTTAGAGAAATGAGACAAAGATCACAAGCTGTCACAGGACAGCTGTTTGACCTTAGTATTTTTCTCTAGATAATAATTTTGCGTCTTTGGTTTCAGGTGGCTGCGGACCATTTCTGTCATTTTGTTCCTAAATAAACAAGACCTGCTGGCAGAGAAAGTTCTAGCAGGGAAATCTAAAATTGAGGAATACTTCCCTGAATTTGCTCGCTACACCACACCTGATGATGGTAAGTGGTCAGATATCTGAATCTCTGAGATCACCTGTGTTATTTTTGTGTGTAGATTTTTATCTAGGTGCGTTCCTTTGATTTGTTAGATCAGAGCATCGGTTTTCCAACTCCTCATTTTATTTTTTACGTTACTGACATAATAAACAGATCAATACAAACTTACTGATAATCGTCAAGTCATTACTTTGTTACTTTGGCACCTAAATTCTCCAAGATCAGGCTTTTTAAACTGGCTCCAATTTAGATGCTAAAGCATTGACATTCAACAGATATCAGATTATGCTCTGTACCTTAAATAACATACAGTTGGGTTTAGATTTCAAAGGTTCATTATTAAAGTTGGTATGGTTGCCAAAGAGTTAAAAGGCGCAGAACAAGAAACAATTAAAACAAGTACCTGAATTTCTTGCTCTGTTTCTTGACAGGAAAGTTTTTCAAACTGTCAGGAGAAAAAAAGTGAATTTGGATTTGGGAATGTAAAAGATTTTGCATGAAAGAAAATGCATAGAAGTTTAGTTTGGAGCTTAAAGATATTGTGGAGGATTTTGTCAGATTTTTTAAATGACCCACCCTCTTCAAAAAAAAAAAAAAATGCACATGCATACTCTACCCGCTCCCGAGACGGAACGCCTATTAAACGTGTGCGAGAGCATGCACAAGGCCATCTCTCCTCGTGCACTCTTTGTTTTAAAGGCATACTATACAACATTTTCAGTTAATTAATGTGTTCCATAACGTTTTGGATGATTAAATGAGTAATTTCAGGTCGAACAAAGTTTTTCTAGGCCGCCCTGGTGGTCTGTAGGGGAAATACCGTACTTGCAATTGCAGGAGCCCTCGGCCCGCACCCACAGGCTCAGAAGTCTCGTGCATCGCGAGAGTCGGTCTTGCTTTACGGCGGGAACTTGGCTAACTACAATCTTTGTTATTTAGACACATGCATAACAAATAATGTATGAAAACATGCTAAATTTTCAAACTCGAAAATTGGAACAAATAGTCACTTACCGCAGTAGACATGGTGATTCTTGCGTTCGCCTGTCTGCTAAGCTCAAAACAGCTTGACGCAAAAACCAGGAGAACAGCTGAGCATATTTACGACAGTGCACTATCACTTTCGCCCTCTGGGGGGATTCTCGCTGGAAAATCAATACCGGTTGCATAGTATACCTTTAAAGTTGCTGTTTGCATCACTCATACAAGCTTACTTTACAAAAGAAGATTTGCAATTTTTCCACTATGTCAGACTCGCCACCGGTAAGTGAAAATTGGGATGAGCACGTAGGACGGCCTTACGTAAACATATCACCAGAATGACTGACAATTAGGAGGACCACTTATTTTGAGCATCCACCCTGAAAAGAAAATCCTCCATTATACCTTTAACATTAATGTTTACTACAGTTCAGATACGTTCAAACCAAACCCAAATTTCACAGCTGGAGAGAAGGATTCTCATGTTATTTCTATGAGAGGGCGGATCTTGAGCGAAGCAAAGCGGAGTGAAGCTGTCAAGGCGAAGGTGGCAAATTTAGTTGAAGGTGGCGACTTTTGATTTCTGTCTCGCCTGCAAATGAAGTAGAAAAATCGGAAATTTTGTTTACATTTATCTCACGAAATCCAGTCAGGGACCGGATCTTAGACAGGCCTTTTTTTTTTTTTTTTTTTTAAAGATGTAGATAATATTTGTTTACAAAGGCTGAAGCGGGAATGCTCTTAAGAAGATTGAAGGCAGCTTTTAAAAAAAAAACAGTTTTAATTTTGCTCTTTTTAGGGCTTTTTTGTCATCTTACTTCCTGAGCAGTCAGATGCCTTCTGTCCCCACTTCCACCGGTGTCTTCGCTGATCCTTATCGGCACTCCTTTCATCTCCCAAAGTTAGCCTCTGGAACCTAGTTCCAGCCAGTCGTAGCTTCTCTTAACTCTGCCTCCCTGGCCAGCGTCTCTGATATACCACTGTTCTACTCCAGGCAGTCGTAATCTCTACTCCATCTTCAGTTTTCTGTCTTCCCAGTGGACTCATTGGTCTGCCGCTGTGCTCCTCTGTTCCTCCACAGTTAGCTACTAAAGCTAGTCCCAGCCAGCTGCAGTCTTTCCCCACAGGTGATGTTTCCCCAGCGGGCTTCTCCACTGTGGTTCCATAGTTCCATTGCGTGACACAGCATACAGCCTGCTCCGGGTTCCGTTTTTTCTTTACCAGTGTTCTTGCACGGATTTCCCGCTGCTCCTGTTTGAGCTTCAGAATGCTGTCTCACCTTACCTCTGTTGTCTGGGTGATTCGTCCCCCTATGCGGGACAGTAGGGCCCTGAACCAGGTCACGGATAGGCAGAAGTACCCCTGAAAGGGACCCTAGATAACTTTCGCCGGCCAGGTGAATTTCAAGGCGAGCAAAAGCAGACAAACCAGGCACCATTTTTGCAAGTTTCACTTTCTATATGAACAAACATGTAGCGTGAAACAAAGCAGATATTCTTCCTTTAACAACCTGTTTCACATACCCCCAAAGCTTCGTCATTCCTTAGATAATCTGTTTTATCTCTTGGTCTGACAGCGACACCGGAACCTGGAGAGAATCCTCGTGTTACAAGAGCAAAGTACTTCATTAGAGACGAGTTCTTGGTAAGTTCATCGAGTTTAGAAGCCACCACAAAGATGATGGCCGTCACATCTGTGGAGAGCAAAGAATCCCTCAACTTTGTTTTCTTCCTGTTCTTTCTACAGAGGATCAGCACAGCAAGCGCAGATGGGAGGCACTACTGTTACCCTCACTTCACCTGCGCTGTCGACACGGAAAACATCCGCAGGGTCTTCAACGACTGTCGAGACATCATCCAGCGGATGCACCTGCGGCAGTACGAGCTGTTGTGATGGGACTTCCTCTAAAAAAAAAAAAAAGACTACAGAAAAAGATGCTGAACACTGGGTCTCTGAACTCCCCTCTTCCACGGATGTGTGCTAGTGCCTGCAGCAAAGAAAAGGCCAAAGTACACACACTTACACACATCCTAAACCCAGAGCTACCCCTGATGCAACGTCCCCATGTGATGAGGGATTTGATGAAGGGGTTTCTGTGAATGAAAAGAGAATGAAAATAAAGACTTGAGATCTCCACCTTCAGCCATATTCCAAGCTCCTCACCTTTCTGACATCAAGTATTGTCCTCCATCACCCATCTGACAGCGGCCCAGGCCTGACTGAGTTTCCCAGCTTAGAGATTTTGTTACATTTGTGTTGATGAAAAAAACCAAGAGAGCTAAAAACAGAGAACTGTTGACTTACTGCAAAAAGACAAATGTGTCACCATAGATGAGCAGAACACTGTATCTAAATAAATAAGGAGAATGACAGAATAAAAACAACCAACACACAAGTACTGTGCTCAGGATCTGACTTGAACCATCTACATCAAACCTTCTGGTCACTCAGACGTCTTTGAGTCCAGCGCATGGAGTCTGCTCTCTGCCACGAACAGCGGGATCCTCCCATCCGCCTTCAGGCTGCTCAGCTTGTTGAGGTCCCAGCTGATTTATCATCAGAGAGACTTTGACGGATCGAGTTCAGACTAGCGGACCTTTGTGGGGTGTTGATGGGTGGGTTGTTGGTGAAGTGGCTGCATTGACTCCTGAGCTGTTAAGCCACCCAACTCTGCCTCATCCGACGGCAGTGGAGCCAAACTAAGGAAAATGTATTCAGTAAAAAAAAAAAATCTAAAAATGCCAACTTTTGTGGAATCAAAGACCAGACTGCGTCATCCAGTAGTAGAGTACCGTATAAATTAACAAGAACTCATCCTGTTTTACTGTCTCCACAGCTGTTTTTTTTTCTGTGTAGACTTTGTGCCATTGTGCCCTGTGTGCCCATTATTGCTGTTTTGCTTACTCTCCATCCTCACTCCCTTCCAACCACACCTTTATTTCTTGCTCTCTGCCTCCTCCCATCAGCATCCTCAGCTATGTGTTTTTGTTTCAAACGAGAATGAGATGTTAAAACCCAGAACTTTAGAGAAACAGACACCAACCAGAATCCCTCCCTTTTTTCTTCTTTATGTATCTGTGTGGTTCAGCAACCCTCCCTCCCTCCCATCATTCCTCCCTTGACCTCCTGCTGCTTTGTCTGTATGTCTTTACTTTACTGCTGAACTATTATTCTTGTACAGACTGTAAAATGTAGTATTTTGTACTTTATTGAAGAAAAAAAAGAATTAACTTTTAGAAGATCCCTGTGCCTTGATCACGACTGTACGTGTGTAATGAGCTAAAGTGGGTGTCATACTGCGCTGTATAGCTTGGCCAATCCTCCTGACTCCTCACCATCCTCCCTAACTTCCTCTCTGTCCATGTTTTCCCTTCTCAGAGATGATGGGGGGAAAAACCACCTGTAGCTTTTTTTGTTTTCTTTTTTTTCCCTCCTTCACTCCTTCCCACCCTACCCCTTTTCTCTCGTTATGATTTCAATGTCTATTTTTGGATCCATATACCCCAAAAAGATAGATATAAGAAATGTATATGGGTTTAAAAAAAGTATTTTATTAGAATCAAATGAACCTTGACAAATTGTACACTTGATAGTGTGCGTATTGCTATAACTTAAATCCTTTCAACTGAAATTGTGTTCAGGTTTCTTTTGTATTTCTTCTTCTGCAAAGCAATTTTTTTTCTCCATAAGATGCAAAGGAGGAACGCTTAAAGAAGAGATGTTTGTACTGAAAAAAGGCAATCAAGAATAAGCCAGAAATTATCACAAAATAAATCGATTTAATTTATTCTTACCAAGCTGACAACCTGTATAGCATCCTCACCCTTATATTTTATTTATCTAACATGGAGCTCTAGAAGTAATGTGTTTTTTATTTTGGGTCCAAAATAAAACTTGCCCTGCGATGGACTGGCGACATGTCTAGGGTGTAACCCGCCTCATGCCCGTAGACGGCTGGAGAGTGGGATAAGCGTGACGGAAAATGGATGGAACGGTCCAAAATCTTGGGGCCTCTCCTAAAAATACAGGCAACAGGAAAATTCCCACCTTTCACAAAGATTTTTTTTTGTTTTTTTAAGTTTCCTCTTATCCATTAGTTTTTATAAGTTAGGAGGGATGTTTTAAATCCACAACCAAAGAAACATTCTGTTTACTAAACACTTTCTCTCCAGATCCACAGTCTGATATCAGCAAACAGTTTCCACACTTTAAAAAAAACGAGCTAGAAATAAGTTAAAATGTCTTAAATTACCGTAAGTGTATTTACCCTTAATGTGGGTAGGTAAATGAGATAGTTTGCTAATAGAATGAGTATTTTTACTCCTAAAATAAGACAATGCAATTGTGGTTTCTTATTCTAACTCTAAATTGTCTTGTTGCATTGTCAAAATGTCTCTTATCTCGTCAATTCAACAACAAATGCACTTATTTGAAGAAAAAATGACTTCTAGATTTAGATTTTTTCCAGTGCAAAATATGTCTCTGATCAGAAGTCTTCCGCTTGTGGACAACAACACTGTGAAAATACAGCTGCTTTAGAAACAGAATCTTTAGTCCCAATAATAACTCTTAGAAAACAGTATTTATAAAGTGTTTGACAGTGGCTTCCATGTTTTTGTTTTTTTGTTTCTTGCTGCCATAAACCTGAAATCCAACATTTAAACTCATTCTAAACACTTTCTTGAACAATAGCATCATTAATTTGCTGACTAATATTTGAACCATTTCATTGGGGGAAAAGTGCAGATGGTGAAAAAGATTAACTCTAAAAAAAATTAACCCAAACAGAGCGATTCATCGTTTTGATGATAGTGGTTTAAACTTAGAACATTTCTCAGAACACTTTGACCAAATAAAACTGACATTTGGGGATTTTTCACATAGAAATCGGGGATGCTGTGGTTTCCAGTCACAGGGAAGACTATTGAAGTGACACACCAGAAAGGTGAGCCACAAAATGTCTGGTTTATGTCTGAAAATTTTGCATTTTCACTTGGAAATTAAATGCCCAGAGTCAGGATGAGGAGCCAAGATGCTTGAAGTCCAATGTGAGGTCTCCGTAGACGATGTTTTGGATTTTAATCTACTAAGTTTAATAAAGACCAAACTCTGCATTTTTCAGGAAGTGCTGAGAGCACTTCATCCTTCAAATAGCTGAGAAGCCTAATGGAGATTCTCTGTTTCATTTTAAGCAGGACTTTGTACAAACAGGGTTTAATGAGCAGCAAACTGACCAGACTTAAACCCCAAAGAGAACGTGTGGAACATTAATTGCAGATACTGTGCAATAAATGGGCATATTTCTGTACATAACGTTTTTATTAGTATTAAGTAAATATTCAGATTTTTTAACTGTTTATTGTAATAACTAAAGTTCATTAGAATAATCACTGATGTTAACCAAAGTGTAAAAAACAAATATCACGGTGTACTTTTCAATTTAATAACAAATTAAATCCATCCTGATGCAAAAAGGGTTGTGTATCTTTATCTCAAGCAGCTGAAGCAAAAAGGTAAATTATCTAATTTCATAGGATCCAAATAAACACAGCTGCTCTAATACAGATAGATCAGATAATCAGATTTACCTCCAGCTACAAGAATCAAATTATTGATTGTATCACTTATGTTTTTTCATCTTTTTATCAAATCTAGTACAACCTCAATGCCTACCTTTTCAAATATCACAGAGTCCTAATCTCAACATGATATGGTTCAAACATGGAGGGAATTTGGGTGTGAAGCAGTTTTTAGATTAAATCGAGAAAAAAAAAAAAAGTATTTCTATGAAGATACTCACAGAAATATGAGAGATGTTCTTGATTTATTCGTATCTGTAAGGTGTTTCCTTTCACATTAAATTGTATCCTCTCCCCTCACTGTTGATTGCGTAGGCATCACATCTGCCACACTGCTGCTGGAGTACTGCACTAAGATCCATTCTTCGCAGTGGAAAGCAACGCATCTTAACTGGAGTCCTCTACAAAAAGTTATAAGCATTTATGCCGGGAATAATATCACAGCTTAAACCATTTTTCTTTAACTGGGACCAAAAAGACCTCAAGAAATGTTATTGTCAAAAGTCTAGCAAAAGATGATTCACATCCCTGGAATAAACAACCATATACACATGCAGACTCAAGGGCAGATTTAGAGAGAGTACCCGAAGAGAACATATTTATAATTTGGGATTCCAACACAGGCCCTTTTTATGCCGCTATTAAGCCTCTATAGTAGCCAAATAACACTGTTTCACCAAAAGTGCTTAAAATAAACACTTTTGAAAATAAGTATGAATAAATTAGCTAATATTATTTGGTTGAGAGAGTGAATTATTATTTTTTGTCAAAAAATGGCAAACTCTTGTTTCTGTGCGAACTGGTCTCTAACAGTGTTTGTTATTATATACCTATATACATTTATATTTAGATTCAGACATCAAGGGGTTAAGATAAAGATTTAGGATTGAGGGGTGCACACTGAAGGCCTATGAAGAAGATACACTGCCCGCCACTGTCTTACAATATCATTACAGACAATTTTGCATAAATACCTGGTAGATTTGGATGTAAATATATTACAAAAAAGACAATTTTTAACTTCCAAACCTACCCATTGTGGGACAATAAAGGATATTACAAAGGAAAAATAAATTTTAAATAGAAGAAATATTTTATGGCCAACACATTCATGGTGCTAACTTGACATCAGCCAACAATTACTGACTCTCACCATGAGAGGAAGCCACCAAAGGTTTTAAATAAAGAAGCTGAGTGTTCTCCAGGCATATTAACAGAAAGTTGTCTGGAAGGAAAACCTGTGTTCAAAAAGTACATGTTGAAGGGCTATCCACAGCCTTGAGGGGGTCGGAAAACAAATCCGATTTAAGAGTTTGGGGAGGATTCTCACCTGCATCTGTAGTCCTTGCTTATAGAGCCATGCAGATCAATCCAGGGCATAGATTATACCTGCAGCCTTCCTTTAATCTGAAGTTGTTATCAGAGCAAAATAGAAAAGGACTTAACTTTTCTACACTGGTTCAATGGACAGTTGAGAGGCACATACTGTAATTAAATGTCTACCAAACAACCATGTCATCTATGGCTGTTGGTCCACTGCATTTTATCAAATATTAAGTAAATCCAGGTGTCCACCAGGAAATTATAGAGCATTTTATGTTTAAAGGTGATATAAACATGGCTTCCAAAATTATTATGTCGGATTTAATGACCAAGATTTGAATAATATTTATTGTCATTATAAAACCACACAATTTTGCTAAGACCCAAAACGTAGTAGGCACACATACTTATATAGTATAAAATACACGGAAGATAGGTGGAAAAAATTGAAACAAAAATTATAATTTTCAAAAGTCCTTAAAAGAAAAATATGTAGTATCTAGCAATGTTACAAACCAGTCTGTGGTCTGATGGCAGGGATGGTAGACCTACATTAGAAAATATGAAACCCTTTTATCATCCTTGTAACGATCCAACTCTCTGGGAAACAGTTTGATCTGCTTTAGTATTATTTAATAATTATTGCTTTTAAAATATATATATATATATATATATATACATATATATATATATATATATATATATATATATATATATATATATATATATATATATATATATATGAGTTTCCGTTTTCTAAAAAGAAATGCTGAGAACATCCCATTTCACTTATTTGCGCTACTTGTAAATATTGCAGGCCGTTTTGACATTTATTAGAGGCGCTGTCCTCTCTATTGTTCCATTTGTTGATCGCTAAAATAAGATTGTTCCTAGTAATTTTAGATATCTGAAATGTTTTTTTAGATGTGAGGAATGTTATTTTAGATATCTGAAATGTTCATTTTGACTAGGAACAAATGCATTTGAGACGTCTGGAATGTATATTCATTCAAACCAGTAAATGTCAAAACAACCTGCCATATCGGCCGGCTGATTTCCTGCTAGCGTAATCCTTCGTGACGTCATCGCGTTACTTCGACTCTTTCCTCTCCACTGCTAGCTGTTAGCTTCCCAACAGCTGTCGGTGGCCCTCAGTGAGCAAAGCCTGTCAATCTTAACGGCTCTGATTCCTTTAGAGGACCGCCGTTTTACTTACTCCAGGAACCAGCTGTTTTTCTTTTCTTAGGGTTTCCTACCGTGTTATACGGTTGTCGTTGCTCTTGCCGTCACGATAGACAGAAGTCCTGGGACATGGCCAGAGCAGAACAAGTGCTGGTGCTAGAGCCGCCACAGGAACTCAAATTCAGAGGTACGCTGGAGCCGAGGGCAGGGCCGAAGCTGGGCAGCTAGCTCTATTCGCTAGCCGCAAGCTGTGTGCCCTTTTAATGTGCTGTTTCTCATTTTATCTATTTAAAGGAATGGATATAACCTACTGGAACGAGTATTTAGCTAAATAGAGATTAAACATTTTACCGGGTAGCGTTTAGTTTGTCTTACAGGCTAGGAACATTGCTAGCTGTCATTGCAGCGTCAGGACAGGCCATCCATACCATTACTACAGTTGTCTTATCTGCTTCCTTTACTTTGGCTTTCATTTTCGGGATATATTGAATACCCTTAAGTTAGCTAATGTATAGCGGGATTCCTTAGGTTGTGTTTTGTGGTTTGACTTGTCAACCCAAGTCTGGCAAATAGTAGCTTTTCTAGCATTTTCTACAGTTTGTCATTGCTTAGCCTAATTACCATGCCCAGTGATCTAAGCTTGAAGCTAAGACTCAGAGCTTTATCGTTCAAAATGAACCGATTTGCTGCATTTAAAACAGACTGATTATGAAATTAGATTTAGCATGTTTTTAGTACTAATCTCCTTTCCCCCCTTATTCAATCTGAGGGGTTTTATGTTGTAGTACATATGAACTGGCTGCAGGAATAGCTTTGTAGGAATAGTTCAAGAGGGGGTGTGATCCCTGATTGATTATTGCAGCTCCTATAAAGCTAAGAGGAGCCAACAGAGGATGCACACATCACTGTTAAGGCAGTGATGAGCCGCCTTAAACAGAGGACATAGTCAGGTTCTTGGTAAGAGATTAGCTTTAATATTAAGCAACATTAAAAGCAAGTAGAAAGCAACAGTCTCTTAACTCCATCCTTGTGTGTTTTATGCTTCATTTAGCTTGCAGTTAAGGCTGGGGCATTTAAATATTAATGATGTTACAGCAGTTAAGTTTGATTTTTTTTAAATCCTCAGTATTGCATTTGATGAGATAAATTGCATAAAAATGTGCAGTTTCTTTGACATTTTTTGCCAGTTTTGAATAGTAAAAAAAAAAACAAAGGTGCTTTGTAGATTGATCTCATTTGTGTATCAAAATATATGTTACTACCAACTGCTCTTCATTTGTCAGATCATATTACAAGCTAGTGAGGGATGCATTATAGTCTGAAAAAAATGGGAGTTCTTAGTTTTGATTTTTCTAATGGATCAGGCTTAAAGATGTTAAATTTCCTATCTGAATGATCAATATCTATGTCTGGGTAATTGATCAGTGCATCTCCAGCATAAGGCTCTTTCTCTGGACTCTCATTATTGCAAATGCACAAGTGTTGTGCAAACTCTTTCGTAAGAGTTCTTGAATATTCAAATGTTTCTCCTTCAGTCTTTATATGAAGTTTATCACAACAGTTAAATATCATAATTATAATTTCAGTGACAGACTGTTAGCAGAAACCCCTCATTGGCCTATTTTTGTGACCTCTGCAGGCCCTTTTAAAGATGTTGTCACCGCCACACTGAAGCTCACTAACCCATCAGACAGAAATGTCTGTTTCAAAGTTAAGACAACTGCACCTCGCAGATACTGTGTGCGTCCGAACAGTGGCATCATCGACGCTGGAACTTCCATAAATGTTTCTGGTTTGTAAAAAATATTTGGTTACAATGAATTTTAGCCTTCTAATGTCAGTGTTCTTTTTTTTTTCTATGATGCCTTTATCTGATTTACAGTAAACAACCATTTGCTATCTAAAAAAAGTCTTTAATAGGATCTGATGAGGTTAAATGAATTGATCATCTTAACCTACAACAGTGACAAAACATTTCATATTTTTACTTGTTGTGCTAGAAAACCTCATTCCCAAATATTCAAAACCTAGTTTTAATCCTTTTGTCCGTAGCCATTTTCCATTTAATGCGTTTAATGATAAAGTGTAGAATTCACCACAAAGTTCAACAATGTCAGTCTTATATTTCTTATTTAAAAATGGTCTTCATTGATTCACACTCCTAATCAAAATTTTAAGAGATAGCTACAAGTTCACCTGCTACAAGTTTACTTCTTCCAGGGCACTAAGTTGTGCATCTGAGTTCCCCCACTCTCTTTCTGTACTGTTTACCAGGTCTGCTTTAAGGTGGATTATTTTGAAGCCATTCCAATGCAGATATTGCTGTTGGTTATTTAGTTATAATAGCCTTAATTTGGGCCAAAGAGTGTCCCTATGTCTTGATGGACAACTGATTGGATCCTGTGGCTCAGTGCCAGTGAACATGTTTTTGGATCTGCCCCTTGATTTAGTTCCACGCCCCTTCTGAAGAATGTTAAACTGTCCAACCTCAGCACCATAGTGTGAGACACCAAGGTTGGGAGTTTGGACGAATCTATCGATGATAGACTCGGCCCTGCAGTAACTTTTTTTTTTTTGGTGTGCTTCGTTTTTTGGACCTACGGGTTAAGATGCAGCCCGAAAAAACAACCATAAAGAAAACTCAACACTGTTTTTAATGGCACACACAAACTCCTTCAACTGCAGTATTTTCCCCTCTGCCACCATGCAGCAGCCGAACAAGAGAGAGGCTGTTTGTGTTTACAGGCTGCTCCATCTTGATTTTGACACAACAAATACAAAATTAAACAAGAAAAGGAAAATTCTTTCCTTCAGTGAAGCTGTGCGCTTTCAATTTTGCGCATTCAGACAAACAAATGAATAATGATAAAAAACTGTCTCATAACATTGTCAGAGGAACTGGAGAAGAGTAAACTATATATTTTTGACAAGAAAACAAGCATGTTTTCCCTATTAGGTTTTAGCAGTATGCGCAGGTTGTTAGCAATGATATCAGCGGCGCAGACGACGCACTCTGAAGGGGTGCTTGTCTTTGCCCACAAAGTCACCTGCAAGTATACATCATCCATCACCATTTGTTGGACTGACGAACAGTGGCTGGGAAATTGTAACATATTGCCCATCCTTATGAGACACCATGATTTTACAGGCCCTGTGAGAGCACAGTGCAAAACAATATTTTCTGAATAGTCTGGTTCAGTTTTATTTCTAATAAATTGTTCAAATGTTTTTTTTCCCCTTGCTCTAATTTCTTCTTTTGTCATCCTACTGCTCTACTTAAAGTTGCTCCCTCTTAAGAGACAGCGCTAAATGAAAACAATTGCAATTTTTGTAGCAGGTCTTAAGATTTTAATCAGGAGTTTACCTTCAGACTTTATTGGGATTGCAGGTATTTTTGTCTCAACTTCAGTCAGGGCTTTGACCATTAATAGGTATTTTTATGTTTTTTCGTTTCTTCTAAGGAATGTAACTCAGGTCTATGAATTATTCAGACATAAAACAGCTACATTGATAAAAACCAATGCTATCTACACATAAGAAATGAGAGAGAATCTTTTTTTAAATTCAGTCTTTCAGTTCATCCTCCTATAATTTTCTTTTGGCCTCATTTTTCTTTATATTTTTCTATATTTATGAGAGTCTAACACAGCTTGACCCATGCATGGTATTTATCACCATGTTGTATGTTTGGAAACCATTTGCGCTTTAGACATGTGTATATGTTGAAGACAATAAGCACTTTTGAATCTTCTCCTTCCTTTCCCTTCACAGTTATGCTACAGCCATTTGAGTATGACCCCAATGAGAAGAGTAAACATAAATTCATGGTGCAGTCCATTCTGGCTCCCAGAGACATGACTGACATGGAAGGAGTTGTGAGTATCAAATTAGGAAGTTTGGGGGCAAAGTTGCTGGGGTTAACCCATTAAATGAGGATTTATTTATGTTATTGGCTTAAAGGAGTAATAAGTAAGACATTTTCTGTTAAATGAACAAAAATCATTAATTATCACCCATAAACGATCGACAAAGCTAATTCAATTTGAACACATTTGAATATCTCTTAAGGAACACAACTCAGCAGTAATTAAGTTGATCAGTTCTGTGTGATGTTATCTATAATTCAGGACCTGTATGAATGGTGGAAGCCTGACTGAATCTTTACTGAATTCTGTTCGTTTCTGTGTACAGTGGAAAGAGGCAAGGCCTGAGGAGCTGATGGATTCAAAGCTAAGGTGTACATTTGAGATGCCTCTAGAAAATGACAAAGCTGTAAGTAGAAGTTACTTTTGTCTCACTGCGTCATTTTTTTGCCTTCAGACGTTACACTGGGAGCTTTTAGAGCACGTCTCACATTCAGTAGTCACTAAACAATGCATCATTGAGAAATGAGTTTTTCCTCATATGTTTAGTATTGTTTCAGTGTCCTGTCATCAGCAACAAGTTCTGTCATTCATTACATGATGTTTGTATTCATCCATGTTTGTTCCTGGATCTCACTCCCTGCCATGTTGGCATGTTTTCTTTTTCCTTTTTGCATTTCTCCTTCCTCCTCCACTGTCATTCCACCTACCCCACCCACCCACTCTCTCCACAGCATGAGAGTGAAAGCAACAAAACTGTGTCTTCCTCTACCTCTGTTAAGACCGAGCACCATGTGGCGCCTAAGTCCTCCAGCGCCTCACTGGATGACGGGGAGGTGAAGAAGATCATGGAGGAGTGCAAGCAGCTGCAGATGGAGGTGCAGAGGCTACGAGAAGAAAACAAACAAATCCGGGTGAGAAGCCCTAAAGCAGCGGTTTTGAAAAAGTTCATCTCCCCCTGCTTCGTTTTTTTTTTCATACTTCCTTCTGTCCTTCCTTTTTCTATACCCTCCCTGCTTTCCTTTTTGTCCTTGTTTACTTCCTTGTTTCCTTCCTGCTTTCCATTTTTCTTTCCGTTCTTCCAAATGTTATTTCTTCTGTCCTTAGTTATACAGGTGCTGGTCATAAAATTAGAATATCATGAAAAAGTAGATTGATTTCAGTAATTCCATTTAAAAAGTGAAACTTGTATATTATATTCATACATTACATACAAACTCATATATTTCAGATGTTTATTTTGTTTAATTTTGATGATTACAAATGACAACAAATGAAAATCTCAAATTCATCATATCAGAAAATTAGAATATTACTGAAGACCAATAAAAACAAAGGATTTATAGAAATGTTGGCCAACTGAAAAGTATGAACATGAAAAGTATGAGCATGTACAGCACTCAGTATTTAGTTGGGCCTCCTTTGGCCTGTATTACTGCAGCAATGCGGCGTGGCATGGAGTCGATCAGTCTGTGGCACTGCTCAGGTGTTATGATAGCCCAGGTTGCTCTAATAGTGGCTTTTAGCTCTTCTGAATTGTTGGGTCTGGTGTATTGCATCTTCTTCTTCACAATACCCCATAGATTTTCTATGGGGTTAAGGTCAGGAGAGTTTGCTGGCCAATTAAGAACAGGGATACCATGGTCCTTCAACCAGGTACTGGTAGCTTTGGCACTGTGTGCAGGTGCCAAGTCCTGTTGGAAAATGAAATCTGCATCTCCAAAAAGTTGGTCAGCTGCAGGAAGCATGAAGTGCTCTAAAACTTCCTGGTATGTGGCTGCGTTGACCCTGGACCTCAGAAAACACAATGGACCAACACCAGCAGATGACATGGCACCCCAAACCATCACTGACTGTGGAAACTTTACACTGGACTTCAAGCAACGTGGATGAAGTGCCTCTCTTCTTTTCCTCCAGACTCTGGGACCTTGATTTCCAAAGGAAATGCAAAATTTACTTTCATCAGAGAACATGACTTTGGACCACTCACCAGCAGTCCAGTCCTGTTTCTCTTTAGCCCAGGCAAGACGCTTCTGACGCTGTCTGTGGTTCAAGAGTGGCTTGACACAAGGAATGCGACAGCAGAAACCCATGTCTTTCATACGTCTGTGTGTGGTGGTTCTTGAAGCACTCACTCCAGCTGCAGTCCACTCTTTGTGAATCTCCCCCACATTTTTGAAGGGGTTTTGTTTCACAATCCTCTCCAGGGTGCGGTTATCTCTCTTGCTTGTACACTTTTTTCGACCACATCTTTTCCTTCCCTTCGCCTCTCTATTAATGTGCTTGGACACTGAGCTCTGTGAACAGCCAGCCTCTTTAGCGATGACCTTTTGTGTCTTGCCCTCCTTGTGCAAGGTGTCGATGGTCGTCTTTTGGACAACTGTCAAGTCAGCAGTCTTCCCCATGATTGTGTAGCCTATAGAACTAGACTGAAAGACCATTTAAAGGCTTTTGCAGGTGGTTTGAGTTAATTAGCTGATTAGAGTGTGGCACCAGGGGCCATCAATTTTGAACCTTTTCACAATATTCAAATTTTCTGATATGATGAATTTGAGATTTTCATTTGTTGTCATTTGTAATCATCAAAATTAAACAAAATAAACATCTGAAATATATGAGTTTGTATGTAATGTATGAATATAATATACAAGTTTCACTTTTTAAATGGAATTACTGAAATCAATCTACTTTTTCATGATATTCTAATTTTATGACCAGCACCTGTACTGTCCTTTCATCCTTTTTATTTTTTTCCCCTTTCCACTAAAAGCAACTCGGAGCAATTCACTACGGATAAATTCACTTTTTCGATGTTTTTGTTGGATCTGTTACTATTTCTAGCCCCTGCTTGGTTTTGGTTTCAACCACTCTTGAATCGCAATGAAACTGTCCTTCACTTATCGTTTAGAGGACGCTGTCACTAGCCGCAGCTTATTTTATGAACTAACATTTTAAACCCTTAAATAGGGTCAGAAATTAACACTCGCCAAATCCAAAAGACTTTTCAATTAGGCCAGTTAATGCCAGAGTACCCGCAAGGCCAGTAAATATTTGGACCACAGACACGTCCTTTCCTCTATTATTTTGGTGTGTCCTTTACAGAGAGCACACCCCCAATACCCCGTCCTTTAACAAAAGCTCCACCGCTATGTAGACTTTGGCTGAGCCTTCTAAAAGGCAACATGCAGAAGAGGAGAGAAGGTTTATTGAATAATGGCACTTTTTGGAAGACTGTGTTTTGTAAGACTGGCTTATTTATAACAGCGATGCTAAGCTACTGAACTACTCAGTGTTTAGAAAATACTCAAATGAGAACAGGAACGATTAATTTGTCGTAGGCTGTCAGTCTATGAAATTGGACAGCGTCTGTGAACACAAACGCAGGAAATGCAGCATTCACTGAATGCCCATATCTGAGGCCACTGTCAGGGCGCTGATGGTTTCATCAACACAAACACACAAAGATAAAAATTTTGGTCGGCACTGCCCTTGCCATTTAAAGAGAGGCTACGCTTTTATTTATGGATATTATAACAAATAAAAATAATTTGCTGTTTTTTTATGCTTTTATTTATGGCCACTATGAAATAAAAATATTTAGCATTTGCCCCTTTTTGAATGAAATTTAATGGAATTCTAAATTACAACTTTAGTTCATAAAACTACATTATCTTTTACCGTAATATTGTTTGCATTTCCTATAATACCTTAGTGAAATAACATGTTCCTTAAAAATATATGAGAGCAAATTATTTTAAGTCCGGCAGGTAAATAATTGGATCTTCCTCTCCAACTTGCCGGTGAGTCAAAAAGTAAATTTCGGATCCTGCCCTTATATCATTTAATGCTGACCTTATTGGGATGTAAGCGCTATCATTACAAGCTAGCAGTTGGTAGCTTTCATCATTCTATTAGATCTCTCCTGTACATATCTAGATCGCTTCATTTAGCTGCCTACAGTCTTCCTGAGTCTGATGATAAGCATAAACGGAGCAGGCTGTTGTTGTGACGTCTCTATAAACAACATTACGTTATAGCAGTGTTGTTATGACAGATTAATAGAAATAGAAAATGAATCAATCTAAAGTAAACTCACCCGACCTGAACGGATAAATTAGCAATAGAAAAGAGGCATTTCTTCCTTTCTTGCCAGTGTCCTTCAATCTGTTCTCTGTTCCTTCTTCAGGTAGTTCCTGCTTTCCCTCCTCTCTCTTTTTTTTTTCTTTTAGTCCTCCATCCTTCAGTCATCCCTCTTTCATGTGTCCTTGCTCATGCCCTTTTACCTTTCTTGTGCCTCTCCTTCCATTTGTTTGTTTCCTATCCACTTTTGGCTCATAATTAGCATTTGTGTTTTATATGTCACAATATCTGCAGTAAAACACATTTAAGTGGATAAAGTTATGGCTACGTTTAACGTTAGTAATAGTCAAATAATTCGCCACCCTTAATGTTGGTCTTAATTTTTAAACAGAGGTGTCTTGGAAGCTTCATCTTAACCAACTTAAAATATACAGAATTGTTATAATGCTGCTTTTTTCTGCTAGATAAAGGATTGGCATGTGACAAGTGTTTGTTCAGAAAGCGCCTTTGATGGGTTTTGCTTCCTTGCTTCAGGAGGACGACGGCCTGCGGAAGAGGAAGCTTATAACAGTGCCTAGTCCTCACTCCAAGAACATGGCTAACTCGATGATGACGAGGGAGGAAGGCCTGAGCACCCGCGTCCTTGCATTGTGCTTGCTCTTCTTTGTGATCGGAGCCATCATCGGGAAGCTGGTTCTTTAGAGACGCAGACAGAGCACAGCGACCGACGGAAGGATGGACACCGTGTTTTAAAGGGCACGTAGCGATGACGGCAACGGAGATCAATGTCTTCTGGGTTTTCTGTTCATCTGTTTGCTTTTTTTTCCTTATAATTTAAAAGCTATTAGCCGGGGGTTTATTGTTCTTCAACAACAACTATTGTACAATGATGATTTAAAAGACAGCTGAGTGAAAAGCTCTAAATTTCTACTGTTAAAAAAGGCGTTCATCAGGCAGTAAGGATGGCTTGAGTAAACACTGGTGAACTGGCAACATTTGAGATATTTTGGTGTAGATTCAGACCCATGTTAATCTTTACTTAGAATGCAAATAAAATGCCAAAAATCCAGTTAGTTTTGATGATTCCCATGATGGATGCTTCTGTTGTTGGCAGCACATTGATCGTCTTCAGAGCTTAGCGTTGGTTAATGCTGCCTAATTGGGCAGATCTATTTACTTTCCTAATCGATTTGTTTCTGAGCGTTGATAAAATAAGTCAAAGCCAATTTCCTGCTTCCTCTGCCTCAACTAGTACTGTGAAACGCCAGCACTCTGGCAGGGATATGATTCATCTCCGTTCCCCATGGTGTATGTTTCAATAATGTTGATAGGCTGCACTCTTAATGGAGCTAAGTTGTAATACCAGGCTGTTTATGTCCGTCTGCTTTCTAATCCGTCTGCAGTACCGACCGTCGTCACAGCATCTTATTGCCACGCTGCTTTTAAATAATCTAGTTTAAATACTGAAATTCATACTGGTTAAACTGGATCCCTTCTCACTGCTGGTCGTACAGCAGGAGCGGCAGGTTTTGCAGCAGTTCATGAAAATGTTTCTTTTTTCTTTGAATCGAAATACCATGCATGTGTCCTTAGTAACCATCGCTGAAGGATAAATTTAAGAGAAACTGATCAGGTGACTTGTGGCATCTTTTTTGCTGGGTTTTATCACGATGAAGGTATCTGACACTGAGGTGTTTTTATTCATGACGATCCTTTTTCTAATGCGAGTTTAATCATATTGTACAGAAGGTCTGACTACTTTAAAGGGAGTGTTAAAAACCACCGTGTGTCTAAGGAGAGTGAAAGGTAAACAAAGGAGGGCAGGCCCAAGTTAAACCACAAAGCTTAGTGTTTTTTGTCACACATCTGGCTTTTTTTGTTGTCTTTTGTACTCGAGTCTTGTTGTTCTTCACTGCTTCTGATCTTTTTTTTTTTTCCGTCCATCTTTGCTTCCTAAAGGATCTTCCCCAACTTTTGCACCGGTGGCAGTAGGAGGTGTGTGGAAATGGCTTAACGCTGGCTGAATGTTTAGTCTTTCATTGATTCTCTAAGCTCCTCCCTCGCTTGTCTTTGCCGCTTTTATCTCGTCTCTTCCACTAATTACTGATGATCTAACGGAACAGAAAAGCAAAATTAATCATTGAAAGACTTTTTTTTTTTCTCCTGAATGCAAACTCCATGTATTGTCTTCTAAAGAGTGACGTGAAAAACTATATATGTATAAAAATATAAATATATGTATACTGTATGTATGAGCCGGTAGATGCTGTGTGTGTGTGGATGTTTTAAAGTGGTGGTGCTGCAGTTTCCTGTTTCTAGCAGGAAAAATGGGGACGTTTATTTGAAAAAAACAAAAAAAAAATCAAATCTCTTCAATCAAATTAAGATTTTTGGGCCACTAATAAAGTTCTGACTCAATAAAGGGTTATGATGAATAAAATGAGATGCAGGGTGATCTATTAAGGAAATAAAGCTGTATTTTAAAGTATCTATTAACTGATATGAAGAATCTGACTTTAGACTGAAAGAGTGAAAAACCAAAGCAGCTGCAGACCAGATGTTAAATCTATAGGAAATCAGTTTAGAAAATCTCTTTTTGTCCACTATATGTTAATACCAGTCATCAAAGCCCCCCCTTTTTTTTTTGGCTTTTGCTCCTATGTTATTTTAAAAATAAGTAATTTTTATAACCCTATACCACAACCTGCATGAATTAAACTGGTTTACAACTGCTGTTATTTATTCTAAGGGTGTGAAATTCTTCACGCAAAGCAAACAAAGCCTGTCTTTTCGAAAAGGGACCATGTTAAGTCTTGGTTTTAACTGCTTTACTCTTTTTGATTTACCATTTTAGTTTCTCATCCACCGCTGTTGCTCACAGGCTTACTGCTATATTTATCTTAAAGCAGACGCCTTTATAAACCACTTTTTGTTTCAGAAAACGGGAGAAATGCGTGTCTTTCGTTGCCTGAAGCAGATGGGGTGTGGCTGTGCAGAGACATTTGGGGGCGTTTATGAGAACTGACCTGTTCATACGCACTACATTAAAGGAAAAGGTGAAGGTATATATATGCTTTAGACCTCTCCCGCACTGGTACAGTCTCAGCAGTGTAATCACATAGTCATTGGATACTCTTTTGTATGTACATATGAACACGCAAACGTAGTAAAACGAGTAATTGAACAGCCATGATGGGTCATGTAGCATCACAATAAATTACGATACATAACCTTCCCCCAAACTGGTTGTTACTTCTGTATGTTTTCCTTAAAGTTTCAGTCTGTGAGACGTCAACTTAAATATAGTCATCATTCGAACAGAAACATTTTTATTGCTTTAAGTGTCCCTCCATGTTCTTTTTTTGCTTTTTATCTCTTAAAGATTCAGATAAACAGATTAAAATAACACATCAATAACCTGAGTAAATTCTAAAAAGCTGTTTAGCTTGTTTTTAATTGGAGAAAAATGAGCAATCCACCAGAACCTGCCTCTGGGAAAGTCATTTCACCTTTAAACTATAAATAACTGGTTGTGCCACCTTTAAGGGAATGACTGACTTCATCTGGGAATTAGTCTTTACTATCTCTATAAAATGTCTTCAAACCTCTATTGATTCTATTTCTGTGCTTTTGACCTTATGGTGTATTTTGGTTCGTTGTCCTCCGCCATAACCCAGGTTTGCCTCATGGATGGACTAATTATTGGATGTTCTTAATGGGGAATTTTCTGCTCCATCAGAGTTCATAGCTCCATCACTGACAGCAGGCCCAGACCGGCACAGGCTTGACTGTTGGAGTAACTTTTTGTTTTTTCTGACATAGAGTGAAGTTTATAACAGAATCAATAAAATGACACCAGTCAAGAGGTTTTCATTTTGATAAAAAAAAAAAAAAAACTTCTCTAAAATCTTGAAAATCAGGGTATTTTTTTCTGTCAGCCTTTGTCTTCTTTGTTTAATAGAGCAGAAATGCTTCTAGTCTGATAAATCCCGATTTTTTTTTTATTATTATTTAAAGCTATGTTTAACAATGACTTGAACTAGTTCTTCATTCTTTAGATGAGTTGAACCCGTTTTTTCCCATGAGAAGTAAACTTTTAGTTAACATCAGTAGATATAGTTTTTGTATTGAAACTGACTTTTATATTAGAGATAACCTATCTGCTCCAAAATATGTTTCCCAATAAAACAAACTAAACATGGTTATACGTTTATATGTATGTGTACCTTTAGGGTTAGTGATGATTTAATCTTTAGGATTTTTTTAAGTTTCCCGTAATGTTGCTTTTATTCATTAAATCTTCAGTTAATTGCCACAGATCATCCTATTTGCTTGAAAAGCATATTCCCTTAAAACAAACTAAAATATAATAACTGTTGGATGGTTTTGGTACACAGTGATCTTGTTGTTTTAAAGGATTATGTAAAACATATTTGACTTAAAGTATATTGCTGTAGAGAAGACTACGTTTTCTCTTTTTCACAGACATTTACCCTCCAAATGGTCCTCTTTTGCATTTTGACAAAATCTTACTGTTAAGGTAAATTAATGAAGAGAAAGCAGGTCTACAAAACAGAACTAACCTCTAAAAAAAAAAAAAATTTAAAAAATGTATCCACTGGACTTTGTTTCCAAGTTTGAAGACGTTTCGCCTCGCATTCAGGAAGCTTTTTCAATTCAAAATATTAGGAATAGCGTTGAGTTTGAGGATTTATACAGTAGCCAAACAAAGCCTTGTTTTTGTTTTGAAAACATGCAAATTAGAGCGGATCCGTTCCAATCTGCATTTTCTTTTTTTGGAACGACAATGACCTGGATGACTGAGAGTCTTCACCAGCATACAGAACCAGGAAATCTTCCCTTCAAGGCACAGAGGAGGGAGCACCATGATTTGGAGTGATGGAATTTCCCTTAAGATGTGAGTCCTAAAACTTAAACCTGAAGGAAGGTGTGTAGTTTAACCAAGCAGGGGAGGAGGCTCATTTAACCTTGGTATGATGTTAAAAAAAATAACCCAAGTTTATTTTGCATTCCAATAAATTTGACTTCCTCAGCTTTAAACGTTAGTCATGCTGGCAGAAGTATATACGTGCAAAAGCATAATCATTTTATCTCTGATCTTTTTACTGTCAGTGAAATAAACACATTTGTCACAAGTATCAATTTATTAGCAGTAGGCTTTTAAAAAAACATTTGTGCGTCACAAAGTGCTTCTTGTCTAACCATGCTACTGATATCAGGAAACACAGGGCCACCTTCTTTATGGAGAATCTGCAGAAATCAAGTGATTGTTCTGCCAACACTCTGCTTCTTCACACTCCTTTAAAAAGGAGTATGAAGAAAGTTTCTTTTTTTGAGTGAAAGAAATACCACTTATAGTTTGTTTGCAAGCCATGTGGAGGACATAGCCTCATGTAAAGGAAAGGTAATGAGATAATGGTAATGAGATTAAACTGAACATTTATGGTCTACGTTTGTTTGCCAAAATACTTATGAGCAATGCTGGAAGAATACGATTTAGGAGCTGAAATGAAAAAATAATGCAAGTGTATTTGGCATTTACTTAATCATATTTAGTTACTATAACACAATTGTTTCCTGTTAGCAGGGATGGACATAAACCAATTGTGTTAAATTAGCTTAACATAATTGAGTAAATGCTAAAAGCAGTTGCATTATTTTTTTCATCGTGAGGTGGAAATTCACCTTCCATATATATATATATATATATATATATATATATATATATATATATATATATATATATATATATATATATATATATATATAATTGTGTTTTTACTTTTCATTTATGTTTTTGTTTGTTGTTGTTTATGACTTTATTCCCGTAATATTATGATTTTCATCTGGTAATATCCCTTTATTTTCTTAATATTACGAATTTACAACGTTATCTCTTTATTATCGTAATGCAATGACTTTATTCTCTGAATTCTATCAATTTTTCTCATTATATTACAACCTGTCAAAAACAATAAAAATGTTTCGTCTGGCTCTAATACTCCATAATTTCGAGCATCGAATGAGCAATAAATAAATAAATATACTTTAAATAGTTTTGCAATGTGCTGAATGCAGGTTTGTGGTTTTAGCAGTTGCGTTAATAGTCCAGCAGAGGGAGACAAAGAGACAATAGGCGACGCCCACTACTGTTGTCTAGCAACAAACGTCGTCGGGCCTTATCCAGGAAGTAAAAAAACATCAACAATCCTTCCAGGTTGGGCGAAGTATCGGGTAGCCTTTAGCTGGGTGGCCTTTCAGGAGCCTGCGTTTCTCCTAAGCTCTGTTTTATTTTTTCGCATTTTTAAGCGAGAGCTCCTTTGTAGCCCAGACATGTCGTTGTTCGGCAAGATATTTGGAGGAGGAGGAAAAGGGGGAAAGGGACCGAGTCCACAGGAGGCGATCCAGAAACTCCGTGAAACGGAGGAGATGCTAACGAAGAAACAGGAATTTTTAGAGAAAAAAATCGAACAGGAGCTGCAGATTGCCAAGAAAAACGGCACAAAAAACAAAAGAGGTGAGAAATAAAGTGGGTCTGTTTCCCCTAGTGTCTTATCTTCGGTGGTCAGAGGTCAGGTCAGCCACCAACCAACCAAACGTTAGCCAGCGCATTAGCATGATGGGCTAACTTTCCGAGCTGTTGGCAGGCTCCATCCTCTATGGGCGACACCCAGGGAAGCTGCTTAAATCACACACTTATAAATATATATTTTTACTCATTTTAATTCCAAGTAAATTATTTTTGGCACATTAACGTCTGTTTAACGTGTTTCTCAGCATTTATCTAGCATGATCTTTGCGATGATCTGAGGATTGGATACTTAGAAGCCGGAAGAAATAATTAAAGGTCCTCCTTTACTGATTGTTTGCCAAGATAGCAACACAAAGTGTGAGGATAAAGGTTAGGAGCTGTCAGAGAGGTGGGCGTGTTTCCACCTGAGTCTAATGCTAAAGGCTCTTTAATTTTTACTAAGTTAATCCCACAAAAATCTGACAGATTTGTTATAAATTAGTAGTAATGTTTGTGTCATTATGTACCATATTTTCATATCTTCTAAGATGAAAAATCAGTAAAACAAATTAGAAGTGCAACGATAAGACTTTTTTGTGGGTGATCAGATGATCCCATTCCTGTTTATGTTTCTGACCTGAATCGTTATTCCAAGAAGTTCCTTCTTAGTTTTTAATGCTTTTATCAGACTGGATAGCAAATATGCTCCTTTTAGCATTTAAAGTTAATCTAGAGAAAACATCTTTCTGATCAATTGGTTCTGAATTTGAACTGAACTGAATAAAATTTTATAATTATATATATATATATATATATATATATATATATATATATATATATATAATAGAGCTGAAACGATTAATTTCATTAATCGATTATTGACATATCCATCCATCCAGCAGGGTGGATGCAGGGTCGTGGGGGGTGCTGGTTTCTATCTCCAGCTGTCTACGGGCGAGAGGTCGCCAGACCATAGCAGGGCAACATTGATCTGATGATTAAATTAGTAATCGATTAATCGTTAACTGAAGTTTAGAGACTCTAAAACATGCCTTTAGCTGACAGAGTAACATACTTGGAGCAGTAATTGTATCAAAATTGTAAAAAAAAAAAAAATATGAACATTTTGCATTAAGGATAAAAAAAGAGTAATTTGATAGTCAATATGCTCAATCCACAACAACTAAAGTGTAAAAGTTTAGTTACACCTGCTTTGATTTGGTAAAAAATGTGCTTTGTGGAACCTTTGAATATCCAATTATTATTATTAGAAAAAATTTTCTGCAGATTAATGGATCTGTAAAGTAATCGTTTGTTGCAGCCCTAAAAAAAAAAGAAAAATAATAATATATATCATGACACCTGACCTGACAGTGGAAAGAGCTATAGCATTGGAGGGTTTGTAGTGAATGAAGTGGAAATGCGCTGTGTCAGCATTACGTTCAGCATTTGGCCTCCATGTTAATTATTTGCGGCTCCAACTTAACAATGGTTGACACACTGACTCAGCCCAGGGTGACGTATGAATGTCATAATGGTGCTCTGTGTGTTTGACTTATGTGGCTGAGAACATAATATTCTCCAGTTTGTCCTTTTTTTTCTTTTTTTTTTACAACACCTTGCTCATCTTAGTAACAGCCATCTTTGTAAGATCCAGAGTCATCCAGGTTAGGTTAATCCTAAGAGTTTGGGTCTGAAGGTAACTTGTAGAGCTTGGTCTCCAGGAACGGGCTGGGGTGAGATTCTTATGACAGTGTTGAAGGAAAACACCACAGCTCTGCTGTATTTACACAACAAATTAAAACAAAAATGATGACATGAAGTCCATTACACTGGTTTTAAAACCTGCACTGTAGCAAAAATCTTAATTGCGTAACAGATATGGCTTTCTTGTTGCCTAGTGTACTTTGAAAATCGTTATTTATCATTAAAAACGGAGTAAGTTGCTATCCTTTAGCTTTCACCCAAGACTGTAATTGGATATATATTGCAAAATGGTCACTTGTTTTTACTTCTCTTTATAAATAGGGATATTTCAGCCCATTGATCACCGGTGTGCAATAACAGATGCAGGAAGGGAGAAAAGATACATTGCTAAGCATCTTCCCACAGTCAGACTCTTAGAAAATATTTTAACACATAATTCTAAGAAATGGGCCTAATCAGGTTATAGGTTTAAGACATCCCAAGTAGAACAACGATGTTTGATGTATGAAGCATCTAATGATGTCATCATCCTGATGAGCTCTGGTGTTGTTGACTCACCTGATCATTAGAAATCCACCAAAATCAGAGTAAATACCAGAACATCTCTCACCCTGTGCACTAAACTAAAATCAGCACACAATTCTATTTAATTGATCATTACAAATTATTTATAAAAAAGACAGTATGTGAGGTGGAGAAGCACAGAAAACCAGGGGTTGTGTGAAACGGTCACTGGGGCTCAATCCACCATCTTGAAAATGTAGAGAGAGGCCATGGCGGTGAGGAAGACTTCCTAAATTAACAGGCTCTACAAAGAAGTAATGGATGCATCCATTAGTAGATGTGCTCTCTCCTGAATGAAGATCCTATAACTTTAGGGAGATATTTACTGAATTATTACTGCAAGCAAAGAACACTTTTTATAAAAATTTCAGAGGTATTTTACTGTTTTCTCAGATTAGATTTTTTTTTTTAACTTTTTTAAATTTAATTGGTCAATTTTTTCTTATCAGATTGAGTTTTACGAATTTCTTTTGTTTCACGTTATATTTCACAGACCACATTCTGTTTACTTCTGGGGGCGGGCTTTTCACTGGGTTGAGGCGCAGAGATGCATTTCTATTGGTCAGCATGGATGTTGGCGACAACATTAATAGTGAAGAGAATGTGAACCGCGAAATGCAATTTAAAAAGTCAAAATCTTTATAAAATCTGAAAAAAAGAAGAAAAATTGAAGAAATAAAGTTATAAAATTGAAAAAATAAAATCTAAGAAAATAGCAAAGTTTCTCTCTAAACCTTTTATTAGTTATAACAAAGTTCAACGTTTTATTTATGAATTTTATTTTATTTCCATGTAAAAAAAAGTTTCATTTCTTGCAACAATATTCAAACAAAATGTCCTCCATATAGAAAATGCACCAGTGAAAATAGAAAAGCCTAAAGAAATAATCATTTGGCACCATGTTGAAAAATATTTAATAATATTTGTCTATTTGTTGGAGGAAACAGATCATTGTCTTCTCTTAAAATGGTGCTTTTCAAAGAAGAAGACTAAAAGAGAGGTTTCCCTCGCCTTAATTTCATGACAAAAATACTTTGCCTGCATTTTAAAGGTGAGCTTATATCATTTTGGTTAGATTTGACTTCAGGTAGGCAGTTATTGTTTATTTTTTATTTTTTATTATTATTAACCAAGCTTATATGATGTACAACGAGTAAAACTAACAGAAAATAAGAAGGTATATATAATAGAAAATAATGACTACTTGTCAGTTTTTTATAAAACAACAAAACCACAAATAAAAAAATATAAATGTAACTTTTTTACAATTCTGAGACTTGTGAATTTATATTTTGTATGTAATCCAATAACTTTGCTCCCTCTAGGGTATGAATGTGGTGAAAGGAAGGCCTAATTCCTCAAAAAGGGAAACACAGGAAGGCGTTATATCCAAGGAAATTATAAATAAGACAGGAAATATATCTGCAATCAGAGGAAATTAATGAAAAATTTAAAAGGAAGTATAGGTGTTAAAATAAAATAATCCTTTAAGTTTGCTGTTTACAGCAGCTGCTTTCTTACAGATCCTTATCAGTGGTGGCAAGATTTTTTTTAAGGTGTATTTTGTCTTATATTCCAAAATTGTTAAGAAGCAATATGATTATTTCATTTCAAGTATTTGACTAATCAGATGCATAACTGTTTCATTAAATGTCTTATTTAAGTTATAAAAGCAAAACTCCACTGGGGATGAATAATTCCCAACAAAAGGTAATAATTTGCAAATGAACCTTCATCCTGATGCCTCATCCTCTTCTTTTTTTGCTCCCAGCCGCCCTGCAGGCTTTGAAAAGAAAGAAGAGGTACGAGAAACAGCTGGCCCAGATCGATGGCACGCTGTCCACCATCGAGTTCCAGAGGGAGGCACTGGAAAACGCCAACACCAACACGGAGGTGCTGAAGAACATGGGCTTTGCTGCCAAGGCCATGAAGTCTGCCCATGAGAATATGTGAGAGAAGCCCTCAACATCATAAAATGACTTTAATCCTGTTGAGTTTTGCTCTTTTTTTATATTCGTTTAAATAATTTTCTCCTCTTGTCATCGTTTCAGGGACATTGACAAAGTGGACGACCTCATGCAAGACATTACGGAGCAGCAGGAGCTGGCTCAGGAAATCTCTGACGCCATTTCTAAACCCGTTGGCTTTGGAGAAGAGTTTGATGAGGTGAGTCCAACCCTGGAAAGATGTGAGCCGTTAAACCAAGTCAGTTAATCTGGTAAACCAGAACTCTTGGTCAGCTTTTTGCTTCGGGTTGAGCTCAATCTCCTTTCATACAACTGTTACAGTTTGACTTTTAATCTAAATGTCTTCATTCATAGAGTAATTCCACATAGCCAGCCGTATTCTGTGCACAGGGCGACCCTAAGAAAATCCTCTTATGGTTTTACTAGTGTGACCAAAAGAATCCTGATTTAGTTCTGATTCAGATTTCCCTCTTTCAAAATCAGGTTTAGCCACCAAAACATGAGATCCTTCCCAGTGTTTTCATTTCTATCTTAGCCGTGTGTAGAGTTGGTTTTAATCTTTGTTGTTGATCCGTCTCTCTGTAAGGATGAGCTGCTGGCAGAGCTGGATGAGCTGGAACAAGAGGAGCTGGACAAAAACCTGCTGGAGATCGGAGGACCAGAGAACGTCCCCCTCCCCAACGTGCCTTCTACTTCATTACCTTCCAGACCTGGTGAGTTTGCTTTTCCACGACGGAGTATTAGGGCCAGGCTAGAGATTTTTATTTTTTATTTTATTTTATTTCGAGAATAAAGTTGTAGATTTACCAGAATGAAGTCATCATACCACAACCTGTTTCAGAAAGAAAGCTTTGAACTTCCGATCTGTCGGCTGACCAGCGCTGCTTTGACATACTGCCCAATTTGATACTGGTGTGCTAAAAGATTTCCTTATTTTTCGAACCTCTGGCAAAGTATTACTTCACATGATGCTGGACATTCCTCATTTTAGGGAAGAAAGTGCTTCTAGTTGTCATAAAACTCAACTTTATTCTGGTAATATTATGACTTTATTCTCTTAACTTTATGACTCTATTCTCATAATATTATGACTCTATTCTTGTAATGTTACAACTTTATTCTCTGTATTTTCTGACTATTCTCATAATGTTACAACTTTATTCTCGTAATGTTACGACTTTATTCTTGTAATGTTACGACTTTAATCTTGTTGCGTTTTTAATCTTGTAATGTTAAGACTTTATTCTCGCAATGTTAAAACCTTAATTCTTGTAATGTTACTGCTTTATTCTTGTAATATTACGACTTTATTGCCGTAATGTTAAAACCTAATTCTCATAATGTTACGACTTTATTCTTGTAATGTTACAACCTTAATTCTCTTAATGTTACGTCCTTAATTCTTGTAATACTACGACTTCATTCTCTTAAATTTATGACTCTATTCTCGTAATGTTAAAACCTTAATTCTTGTAATGTTACAACCTTAATTCTCCGTAATTTTATGAATTAATTCTCGTAATGTTTCAACTTTATTCTCGAAATAAAAAAAAATTATAGCCTGGCCCTACTACAGTGTCATACTTTTCACATTTTCTTTTTTTTTTCATTTTTTTGGAAGGTTCATTTTTTTTGGAAGGTTCCAGCATTTCTCTGGTTTTGAACCCAAATGAGAAAATTGTGCCACTTTAAAGGACTAATAATCTAACCTTTCTCAACTTGTATTTATTTCTACTTGCACTGAGTCGTATTTTAAGGAACTGCCCTAGATACTGATTGTTGAGGGGGGAGGGTTGTGTATGCATGCCATGATATGTATATATTGTTTCTTTCTCTTTTGGTGTGTTCCATTAAAATCCCCATAAAGTTGCAAACAGAGCTAATTTTCGCCTCCTGACTCTTATGTCTTTTTTAAAATTTCTTTTCACCTACTAGCCAAGAAAGAAGAAGACGAGGACGACATGGAGGACCTGCAGCGCTGGGCGGAGGCCATGTAAACGCAGCATCCCTTCACATCACACCTGCATCTGAGCGATGAAAGAGGAAGGAGCAACATATGGAATGAACTGATTGGATGTTGAGTGTTTCTTTTTTGTGTGTCTGAGGAGAGCTGACATTGTGTAACACTACAAAATAGGAAACAATGCTGTACTTTTTTCCTCCCTTCTTATTTTCTTTTGTTATCACCCCAAAAAAATGGAACTTTGAGACCCATTGCCTCTCATTGCTAACTTATGAGGGTCTCAGAGTCACCTAGACATTTTTTATCCTTGATTTTTAAACCAACCCATAAATGGTCCCCAAAGCAGGCAGGATCATTTCAATAGAAGTAGCGTTTGTTTCAAGCGACGTGCTGCAGAGATCTGATGATGTTTAGAACATCAGAATTTTCACTAAAGCTAAATCCTTAAGGTTCTTGCTCCAAAATATGTATTTGTCTTGTTGATTACCTAAATGTTTTTGTTGTTTTTTTTTTTTCCTTAATTCCTTTATTTACCTTTATTTGTTTCCTAATTGCTCTTTAACCAGAAGCATGCAGAGGGTGAGGATTCTGCAGATTCTGCGTGTGTTTGCAAAAAGCATAACCTCATATTTTGTGTGAAGCTGCAGGGCTCTGACCTTTCTCTTTACCTCCTGTCATTCATTTTAGCCTCAGAAGGCATCCTCACCAGTGATTCTTGTTATTTGGTGTAAATATCTCAACTGTATCTCTTTTTCATATGAAGTTTTCGAGAGGTTCGGGCTGAATTCGTGCAAAGCATGCAGACATGGGAAGTCACAATACAGATCACTCCGCACGGCTTTTGAAGGGAGAAGCTTAACCCAACAACTCTCATCCTACTCTCTCTGTCCTTATAAGGGTTTTGTTTCAGATTGTATATTGTTAAAAATAATAATAGTTATAATAAACTTTTGTCACAACTTATGAGTTGCATCCAGATGGAAATGGGGATTTCAGATTTCCTATCTGCAATCCACAACAGCTGCAGTTTGGAGACGAAAGGATTCATTTTTGAAGTCACATGTTTTTTTTTTGTTTTTTTTTCATTAAATAGAAAAGAAAATTCAAGGAGAGATGGAGAAAGCATGTCTGCATTTCTATGTTTTATTTATCCAGATGAGAATATTATTTGCAGAATCATTAAAAGTTTACAGATCCTTTACTGTTGTGGAAGCTTTATCTTTATCAAGTGTTTATTGACACTTTTTTATTCTTATTCTCCATCTTTGCAGATGGAGATTATGGCTGTAAATGAGCAACATTAAACAGTTAATAACCCAACTTTAAATGATTTTGAATATACAGATCACTTAAAGCTCTTTACATTTTAAGTCACATTAATTCACCCTTCAATAACAATGAATATTTTTTGTGTGCAACCAGTGAATGTACAATCAACATCTTTATACTAAATACTTGTCGTAGATTATCTGCTTCCTGTCTTTAATATCATTGATAACTGTTTTTTTTTTTCTTTTTTAAACGATTTTTTCAAGCTTTTCAAACCAACCTTTGCAGAAAAGTAACATTGGGGCCTTTTTACCCATAACATGGTTTTGTCACCACATTTGAATCACAAGTAGGTCGATTTAATCGATTTTGAATCGATTCCTTTACATTTTTGCAAAATCAATGTCTAGGGAATGAGATCGATTATTTTTAGAGTGACACGCATTCAAATGAGCAGGAAAGATGGAGTCAAGATGACTTCAAGCCAGACAGCTGCAAATATAGCCAATAGGTTAACTGAAGACATTAACAAATGGGGGCTGACCAGCAAACACCCTGTAGTTGTTACAGACATCGCTGCAAATATGGTTTGTGCAGTGGAGATAATGAAGCTCATGCATGTCTGCTGTGTCCCCGCTGTGTCACGTCTGCTTGCTTGAGTGAGGCTTCACTTTTCACAAACAAGTTTGCATTTTTGATACAGTTTTGTGCACATCTCAAGTTTAAATTGTCCGATTTACAAGTTTGCACTTTGTGTTTGATATGACAGGAAAAAATAAAATACATGAGTATTTTGAAACACAGTTGAACCACTTTCATTGTTGTAAAAACAGATTGAATCGCGATTAATCGATTTAGAACTGTATGAATCAAAATCGAATCGATTAGGACTTTGGCGAAAATACCCAGCCCTAATCACAAGTAGGTCTGGACTTTGATTAAATCACTGAACTAGTTTTGCTGGTTTGCTTTGATCACTTCCTCCAGCATTGTAAACCAGTTTGATAGATGCGCTGTTGGCTTAAACTTTTGTCATTAAAATTCTTTTAAAGAGCTAAAGTTATTGCTTTATACCATTCAGGTTTTTTTTTTCTTTTTGGTTTGTTTTTGTCTGTAATTTGGGGGCAGAAATAAAGTTTCTTTCAACATGAAGCAACCACAGTTTAGCTCAGTGTGTTTATATTGGTCCTGCAAAGACCAGTATAAGATCACAGTGGATAAGTGCAGGAAAAGATCTGGAATAAAAAAAATACTGGTTAAAATTATTAAAAATCGGCTATTTTCGGGTATAAATAATAAAATTCACAATGGGTATATAAATAGGCTTTGAATATGACAACCTGCAAAAATTGAGGAATGGATGGACAAATGCAGAGCTTTTAATTAAAGGAATGGTTAATACAGTCTGGAAAAGCCAATATGTTCCATCTGTAAATTGATATGTCATCCTGCCCTTAAATCCCGTTGAGTTTATTTATTTTAAGAAAAAAAAAACATGCCACAGCAGAGCATAGACCTTGAAACAATCAAATCCCATGTTTCTATGGTTCCTGTGCAACGTTTTGATCTTGAACGCTCCCCATCCCCAAGGTTTTGTCGTGACGTCAGGGTTTGGCGACTTCACGCATGCGCGTAGTTGACCAGCGCTGATGCAAGAAATATCTTGGCGCAGACGTGTGGTAGTGATCGTAGAAGAAGAACCGTTGACTGAATTTTCTTCTATTTCAAGCCGCAAACATGTCAGGAGACGAGGTAAGAAATTCCGGGCTGTTCGGCGTTTTATCCGTGTCGGAGTGGTACCGCCTGGGGAGTTGGATGGATGATTTCTCGGTCCCTAATGATGACTTTGGGCCTTGGGAGTGCAGCTCCCCTCCCTGTCCGTGGCAGCTCTCACATGGCTGTTTCTACCGGGCTAACAGCGGCCCGACCAACCACACACACTGTTAATATTTATTAAAAATAAATTAAATGGGCAGCTGAACCGAGGTTTATCGCACCGTGGAGATGATTGTTATAGACTGTAGCTCGTAATTCCGTCTTGTCTTCATCGTTGGATTCTTCAAACCAAACCGTTAATGTTAGCTAAGCAGAAACGGCGATGCTAACGGCTCATTTCGATCAACTATACAAATGTAGCTTATTAAGCAATCACTGTATTATTAATACTAATATCATCCTTTGAAAATGTTTCATTCATAAAGCTAAATTCCTTAAAATTTATGTATTTCATAATAGGTTACTGTTGTATCTCATAGCTTAGTGTATGCTAACTGAAGAATATGATATAAAAGCTTAGCTCCAGCCTTGTATTTATTTCAGATTAATTTTAATATATATTTCCTTTGTGATGGTATATATGATTGCATCCTTTATACACTTTAATATTTGTTTTATGCCCTTTTGTTAGTAAATTAACCAAATGTTGCTTTTCTAGCTGTTTTCTGAATGAAATAACAAAACAAATGCACCTTGTTTTCATGTCTGATGGCAATCTAATATAATTAAAATAAAACCTTTATTGATGCCAGTACTGTGATGCACTTAAAAAATAAAAAATCACATAATTGAATTTGTTTTTAGAAAGTTTTTTCAGAGGAAAAAAAAAATGGAAAACTGCAGTGCATCCAAGGATTCTTCCATCCTTCTGTCTCAATAATTGTCCTGACATTTTCCATCCATCCATCTGGGTCCACTCATTCACTTGTTACTCTGTTGGAACATTCATCCATTCAACTCCCACATAAATCCTCCCACCTGTCAGCAGACTCTCAGTTTATCTCTTATTCCACAAACTGTCCCAACTTCCTCCTTTTACTCCGCTTCCTGCCTTGTGTTTTTTGCTGTTTCAGTAATTCAAGACTGATCCTATCAGAAAAATCTGCCTTTTATTAATACTTTAAGGGTCAAAAGAACTTTCAATAAAATTAAAGTCTGGAGTATTCAGGAAATTGAAATCAAAAATATATAACCTACAAAGCTTGAACATTCTTTGAAATCTTTTTTGAATTTATGTTTTGGTTTCCTGTCTCTTTTTAGATGATTTTCGATCCCAACATGACTAAGAAGAAGAAAAAGAAGAAGAAGCCCTTCATGCTGGATGAGGAAGGAGGTGAGGGGGTAGGAGGAGAAGAAGCAAAAGAGGTGGAAGCCAAGGAGGCAGAGCCAGAGATTGGAGAAGACAAGGAGGTGGATTTCGATGAAGATGAAGGAAGAAAAAAGGGTGAGACCGAGAGTCATTTAACGTTTCCCTTGGTTTTATTTTTATTGCACATGTGGCTGGATTTTTAACTGTTTGTTTGTCTTTGTAGAACTGTCCGATGATTTGAATGATCTCAACTTCTTCAACCAAAAGAAAAAGAAGAAGAAGAAACCAAAAGTTTTTGGGAATGATGTAGAAGAAGGATTAAAGGTCAGTCATCAATAAACTCCTTTTTCACTTCTGTCTGCACAATTATTCCATTTATTTTTTCCTTTGCACTCCTGCTAAATGACTCTAATCACACCAGGAACTGAAAATCGAGGGAGAGCCCACCGAGGAGCTCGAGGAGGACAGCCTAGATTTGAAGCTCCCTAAGAAGAAGAAGTCAAAGAAAGTCGACTTTGACGAGGGAGAGTCCTTGGAAAAAGATGATGGTAGAAATCCTAAAGACCTTCCTTAAGTAGTAAAAGCAGGCGGCCTTTTGTTACAAGGTTTTTATACTATGTTTGCAGCTCAGGAGGATGATGAGGGTAAGAACAACGATGGGATTTCGTTCATTTCCCCTACTGGACCAGCGTGGGCGGGCACTGAAAGAGACTACACGTATGATGAGGTAGGACCGAGCAGAAAATAACAGAGCCTAGTACTGTAGTTGCACTGTGGTTTTTACGATTATCTCAAGGCCAAGCAGCGGAAGTTCATACTGCCTTTTCTAGAATCTGATTCAGTCCAGATAAAACTGCTACATTCTAACACTGCCATCATATAGCCATTGTGATTTCATTGTCGGATATATTTGATCATTTAATGCAGGTGATTGCATCAGTCCCTCCCTTCCTAGAAAATATGTTCTAACTGTGATTAGTGAGAAGAAATCTCCAGTAAAGCCAGGCTCAGTATTAATGACTGTCTGCTGCAGTCGCCAAGGAAAACCAAACAAGACGTGGTTTGAGACGTTTGCGTAGTGATGAATTTCAAATAGTTTTTTGTGTGTAGCATTATCTCACTGTAGGAAAAGGTAGTTTCTACGTGGAAAACACCACATGAGCAAACAACATCTGCTTTATCAAGCTCTTTATTGGAAGGAAAGCTTAAAACTGAAGTGCTAAATTAGGGGTGATTTAATGGAATAGTAGTGTGTGTATATGAAATTAATAACTTCTCTTTCAGCACTGCTTGTAATTGACGCACCTTTAAACACTAAAGCACATGACTAGACAGGAAAAAAACAAACTTGATAGCTGCTGTAGTTTTTTTTTTTTTTTTTCTACTCGCTCCAACAATAAAAAAAAAGTAGGAAAAGAGGCTCTGAGCCAAAGAAATATTCTATTTGGCGGTGAAACAAGGAGATTACACATAGCCAATGTCAGCATTATGACCAATTCTTGTGATATTTGTGGAGGATATTATCAGCAGTGTTGGGCAAGCTACTTGTCCAGTGTAGTGAGCTAAGCTATCAGTTACTCAACAATAAATTAAGCTTCACTACACAAAAGCTACCACCTAAAGAATTATAGCAAGCTAAGTTACACTAATATGTTAACAGTAGCTTAACTACATCAGAAGCTACTTAACGTTGTACCAACCTAATATCAATTCAAAATGAGTCTGATGCAATGGTTAAAATATTTATTAAAGATCAGCCAATGACATAACACAGTGTAAACATTGCTTTATGATCAGCATATTAAAATAAAAACTAAAGTAATTACTAGTAGACAAACTAGTAAACAATCTGCTGTTTTTAGAACCAAATTAAAGGTACTGTGTAGTGTTCTACACACCGAGACATGGCTATGAGTTTGCATTCAATGGACATCTCTAGGGAAAACAAAACCCTACAAAAGACCTCAATTAAACAGTTGATTCAAGTAACAAACAAAACTGTTTACAAAAGAAGGTGAAAAAATAAAGAAGCTAATTAAGAGATACATATATTTGTGTCTCACCATATAATTTAATTTCTACCTACATATTTATTCATTGTATTTTTGGAGGCAATTAATTGAATGCTTATTTATTTATTTATTGAGCATTTATTTATTTATGTATTTATTTTATATACGGTAGAGCTGTTCCTCCATAAAAAATCTTATCTGTGCACAGCCTAAAACAGATTTATGTAAACATCCTGTCAGGTAAACTAGGCCATGAAAATACAATATGGAAGTTTCACTACTGCTCTCTAATTAGAGTATCTTAGTGGCACATAGATATGGGAGAATTATCCTGCCATAATGCAAGAGCACATAACTTCAATTAGAGAAAAGAATTTCATCTTCTTGCTCTCAAAACTTATAATGCTCACACTCAAAACATGCGCTCTCTCTCAAATATTTTCTCTTCTTTCTCAAATCTTTGTTTCTTCTCTCAGATTTAATCCTTCTTGCACAGATATTTTCTCCTCTCGCTTGCCTCCTTCTCTTCGCGCACAAACCGCGCTCTGTTACGCTCGCAAACCCGTAGGCTCTGCTTGCGGATTTGTTTTGCTCTCTCAGACTGCAGTTGGATCGTTGCCTAGCAACCTTTCCAGCCAATAGAACGACGGCCTCGGAAAGGGTGCGCTTGTTTAACCCTACTGAGTGTGCCTGTGCTACTACGCCACTTATAAGAGCGTCAGCTGAAACTGCTATTTACAGTAGTTTTGTGGCTGATTGTTGTTTAGAAATAGAAAACCTGGTTTCATTTCTTAGTTTTGCCCTGGATTTTGTAGCGTTTGTGGACGCTACGTCGCTACTTGATCAAAACAATAACGTCGCTACAGGAACGTTACTTGATAAATAAAGCAGCGACGCTACGGTCAAGCTACTGGAAAATGTAGTTAAACTAATAGCTTCGCTACATGTAGCGGCGCTACTGCCCATCACTGATTATCAGCTTATGTTGTTTTCATCGCAGCTCCTAAACAGAGTTTTCAACATCATGAGGGAAAAAAATCCAGACATGGTGGCTGGAGAGAAGAGGAAATTTGTAATGAAGCCCCCTCAGGTGGTCCGAGTGGGAACCAAGAAAACGTCCTTTGTCAACTTCACAGATATCTGCAAACTGTGAGTCATGACAACCGGCCTTGGTATATTCTGCCCATGACCCTCGTTGAGGAAAATCACCCCCTGTTCCTCTTTGTTCCTCACAGGTTGCATCGTCAGCCTAAACATCTTCTCGCTTTTCTGCTGGCTGAGCTGGGAACCAGGTAGAAAATTTTTTTTGTTGTTGTAAATGTGAATACACCTTTGCCAGTGTGTGAGTGTGTGCATTTCATTGATTGTTCCTTTTTTGTCTCTTATTACAGCGGCTCTATAGATGGAAATAACCAACTTGTGATCAAAGGCAGATTTCAACAGAAACAGATAGAAAACGTGTTGAGAAGATATATCAGTAAGTTGGAAAGATTTATATTCACTTTTTGCCCTACTAGGAGTTCATATTTATAAATGTGAACCAGAAGGATTGCATTTAATGTATAAATGCTGTCTGAGCTCAGATTAGCTGAAGAAAGTATAAAATATTCAACCTGTAGTGAAAAGTAATCCAAATAATTTATCAAAATAGGGGGTTGTATGTAAAAGTGTGGAAGGAGTGGGCTCTAATAGAGCAAGGTTTGATTCATTTTAAAATGTCCTTTGATTCTGTTCCTAACAACATATTTAGAAAATAAAGTTGAACATTTAAAAGCAGAAGGAGCAGCAGTACTTGGTAAATACCCTGAACAGTATTCCAGTCCTTCCAGTATTTTCAAACTTTTACCTGTTTAAGCTCAAATTTGCAAATGAAGATGTTGGGCATTGGATTGTGGGTATTGTAGTCGTAAGATTGTCTTGCCACATGCATTTGTTTTCCAGGTTATTTTTTCCAGACTGTCCTAAGGTTGTTTTTTCTTTTTCTCCTTCTTTCCTGCAGAGGAATACGTGACGTGTCACACCTGCCGCTCCCCAGAGACCATCCTGCAGAAGGACACTCGTCTTTACTTTCTGCAGTGTGAGACGTGCCACTCCCGCTGCTCTGTCGCTAGCATCAAGACTGGCTTCCAGGCTGTGACGGGCAAGAGAGCGCAGCTCCGCGCCAAAGCCAACTAAAGGCCAAGAAACCTGGCCCTCGCCCCATCCCTCTCCCTATGACCTCCTTTTCCCAGAAGCTGGGGTCCAAACGGCCTTGATGATTTGCATAAAGAACTCTCTGAATCGAACTGTGGGAGTTTGGCTGTTTAGTTTTCATTGCCTGTACAGGTAGGAGGGGAGGGAGAGATTATACAAAAGCAACAGATAGGTTCAGGTGCTGTAAAGCAGGTGATGTTCACCAGAAAACACCACTGGATTGAGTGCATTTGTTTCGTTTACCCTATGAACCCTTTGCCACTTAGAACTTTTTCCATTTGCTGTGCTTTCTGGATTTAAGAAAAGCTTGATTGACCACAGCTTGAATTCTTTTTTTCTTCTCCCACTTCACACACAGAGATGAAGACAATAGATTAACACCACAGCCGGTCAAGTTGTGTTAAACTTGGCTGATCCACCTCCAGAGTGTTGCCTCTTCTGATGTCCATCTATATTCTTCACTGGGGCTAAACTAAATGCTATAGCAGTTTTAATTTTGGCCCAAATCACAAAACTATTTAGGTTTCTATGCAGCTTACTGATAAAGATCTTATTGACAGGGCTGTTATTAATGTTTTAAGCCAAATTAGTGACGAAGAAGTCTGACCACATTGATTTATAGTAAAATATAAATATTTGAAAACTTTTGGACAAACAGAAGCTAGGGTGAATATGACTGCTCTGTTGAAGGAGGAATCTATACAGTCAGAGTACTTTTGTTGTGTTGAGGATTTCTAAAGATTAAATCAATATGTTTTTATTAGTTTGATTTGAACAATTTAAAATTAAAATTGTCAAAAGCTGGTTTAATTTGGTTTATAACAACAACAAAAAAAAAAAAAAACTTCCTGGTTTAATTCTTGCTGGTTGGTATTTACTGAAAAGGTAACGAGATTTACTCTATAATCTACCCAGAACATGGAGTCGGTTCATGTGCAGCAGGCCACATGTCGGTTCTGCTTTTGTAGGAGCCTGTTGTGGGTTTGGTCGGACCAGTTATTTTAAAACCGGGTTTTTACGTAAATAAAATGTTTTCTCTCTCTCTCCATTACCTTTTCTTGTGTCAAATTTTATTTTCAAAGGCAGTGAGATCCCAAAGAGCAATATCCTAGACTAAATGTCAAGATTATCTCAATGACATTTTATTATCAGAAATAAATGGTATGGAATTTGAAATATGAGGTAAAAAAAATAAATAAAATCCATAATTTGTATTAACCACTTCAGTAATTTGGAGCATTACTGGCCTTTTGGGATTTTAATCTCTACCAACTTTGCACATAAGAGTTCTGAGATTTGGATCTGCTCTAAGCAAATGTATTTTTCCTCTCAATTTTCCCACAAATATACATGCTCTTTTCAAAGTTTTTTTTTTTTTTTTTTTTGATTGGAAAATATGGTTATTTAAAAATTGCACCTTAATGTTTCAAAACTGCTTTTTTCAGATGGTTATGTAACATTTCCAGTTTTTACCATGCTTTCTCTATTTGTACTGAGGGTAAAAAATGCTCTTTAATTTATCATCACATTTTGTCTGGTAGGTTTTTTTTTTTTTTTTGCTTCCTTCTGGTAGAGAAATTTCTCTTAAGCTAAAATTCTAAGCAGCATGAATCGCATGTTTTCTTTGTCAGGGCATTCATTGAAATCCATCCATCAGCTCAGACTGGATTCATTCTGTCAAATCAATGCATCCCCTTAAAATCCACGTTTCTGTGATAGCGCAGCTATACCTCATCTCAATAGATTGGATTTCTATTCCATTCAAAGCTAAATTCAGATCTTTGGGTGTATAAAACCGATTACAAATTAGAAGCAGCAATGTCGGATATTAAAGATTTACAGAAATTATGCTCAATCAATGATTGGTAAACCTGCTTTTATTTTGAAGATCCCATACCGGAAGTACAGCAGTCGACCGTTACTCTTATTGGCTGGCATTGGCCTCGAGCGAAATCGTTCTTAATGGTTGTTAAAAGGTTGTGGGTGACGCAACTGGACCAACACTAGGAGCCGTTTGGAAGAACTCTCTAGAACAACATTAGGCTTGGCTAAAAATCCTAAACATGCCCCGAGTCTACATTGGCCGATTAAGTTATCAAGTTCGCGAAAAGGACCTTCAGCGTTTCTTCAGCGGATATGGAAAACTGATGGAAATAGACCTGAAAAATGGGTGAGTTTTTGCTAACTGTTTGAACATGCTATTAGCTTTGGAACCGCTGCTACGACTGACTGAAATTGTTAACGCTGTAATATCAAAGCTTCTTTTTTCAGCTTCTACATTTGGCTTTAAAACAGTAAAGCGATGATTGTTAAGGGCTAAGAGAGAGAATCGGAAACACATTTTAACCGTTTTTCGACCCCTTATAGCAAAGGTCTCATGGCCAATATGGCGGCTTTGTAGTTCCTATATTAGAGCTAGCGTGGACTAAGCTTGCCTGGCTTGATGTTTAATGCATACATGTAGCTGTTATTCATCAACATATGATTTGCTTGTCTATTTTTATAATGTTTCATCTTATTTAGCTATGGATTCGTGGAGTTTGAAGACAACCGGGACGCTGACGATGCCGTGTATGAGCTGAATGGAAAGGAGCTATGTGGAGAGCGTGTGATCGTCGAGCATGCCCGGGGCCCACGAAGAGATCGAGACGGCTACGGTGGGGGTTACTGGGGCGGAGGGCGCAGTAAGTACACTCTGGACTGGCAGATATTAATTCCCCTTTTACATCGGTGTCATGTTAAGGTGTAGATTTCAAAAGATGTTTTTAGCCTTTTAACTGTTTTTTTTTTTTTTGCACATTTGTCATCCAGCTGGCCTGAGTTAATTTCTTCAGGTTAACATTGTTGCTTTATAGCTAAAACGTTTGGATACCACCGTTTAAAGCATGCTTTTTTTATATGCATAAAGTATATTACATTCTTTTACTTAGTGTCTTTACTTTTATAAGCAATAGTTGGACTAAAAGCAATGCTTTTATTTCGCCAAACTGTTCTGTGGTCGTAATGAAATCAGTTTGTTTACTTCGTTATCTTTATGTAGCTCAAATCAGACTTTTTTTTCTAAAGATAACGAATCCATTAATAGTCGCTGACCTGTAGGTTTTTGCTCCTCCTGGTGCATTAATGGGAATGGGCAAATAACTGCAAGTCAGGCTTGGTGATGAGCTAAAATGCTCTTAAGTGTATTAGGGATTTTTTTTTCTGTTGGTAAAATCTTTCTAATATTTTATAAATTATTTATTTCACATGTAATTAAAATAAATATAGCAAATGTACATTGTTTGAGGTTAGGTTTTAACTAACATTTTTCTTAATTTGTGCATTGCTAATTTTAGCATTTATTTATATATATTTTTTTCCAATATATTAAACATTAACAAAAGTCCTTGATGTTTCAATTTGAAAGAGTCCAGCTGCGGGCTGAGGCTGAGAGTCCATTGAGGCTAAAGATGACTGGCTAAGATGACTGCCTGTCCCGTTTGGCCTTGGCTTTCACCTTACAATGTGTGTGTGACCTTTGCCCCCCTTGATCCTTGGCTGACCTTACCGGAAGCCATGATGACAGCAGCCTTTTGCCAATAGACCAGGGGTGATGGTGAGGATTGCCATTGGTTTTTATGTTGACAGCAAACATGACTGGATCGGCTGTAGTTGACAACGTACAATCTAAAGAAAATTTGTAAGTGCAAAACTGAAAAGGAAACAAAAAAGGATAGTGGGATTGACTAGCATCTGGCAAAATATCAGTTGACATACTTGTACAAATTTCACTGTACCATTTAGGCTCAATTCAGTCCACCAGCATCCTTGACCAAAGACAATGTGGAATTCTCCTCTCTCTTTGTTACAGGGTTCAGAGAACATGAAAGAACATCACTGTCCAGCTAAAATATTTCAATATGAAATATTAGTTAAAGGCATTGTTTTGCTGGAAATGGAAGCAGTGGTGTTCTTTGCAGCAGTAAACATCTTTATAATCTAAATGCTAAAGACTTAAAAGTCTTTGCAGTTCCTGTTAAATCTCTTATATGAAGTTCTCAGAAGGTAATAGGGATTGGGGGGACTCGTATTTCAATTTATTCCCCAGTTTGATCTGGCCTATTTTCATTCAGTAGTCAAGACTCGTAATTTTCTTGGCTGTTTGTATCTTGTTTGCTCTAAAAAATGTTTGCCTGTGCTATCGTCTTTAAAGGTAGTGGTTATAGCAGCAGCAGGAGCCGCTCTGGAAGAGACAAGTATGGACCTCCAGTCCGTACAGAGTACCGTCTTATTGTGGAAAACTTGTCAAGTCGCTGCAGTTGGCAGGACCTCAAGGTAAAGGATTTTTTTTTTTCTGTCTTTCATTTAAGCAACATTTAAAGATTGAAACTCTGAGCTTGTGTTTTATTTATGTTTTTTTTTTCTCTCTGTATTCTGTCTCGTTAAGGACTTCATGCGTCAGGCAGGTGAGGTGACTTATGCAGACGCCCACAAGGAACGAACCAATGAGGGGGTGATTGAGTTCCGGACCCGTTCTGACATGAAACGAGCTTTGGACAAGTTGGACGGCACAGACATCAACGGGCGCAAGATTCGGTTGGTGGAGGACAGACCGCGCAAACAAAGGTCTTACTCTGGGAGTCGCTCCAGGTTGGAATACTCATATCAATTTCTAAACCTAGAATTGATGTTTTATTAAAAGCTTCTTCTGAAAAGTCATATATTTGACTCATGTTGTCAGATCTCGAAGCCGACGCCGCTCCCGCAGCAGAAGCTCAAGGAGTCACTCCAGGTCTCACTCCAGGTCAGTTTAGAATTGAATATTAACTTGAAAGCAAACTGAGCTTCAGAATCTTTTTCTTAATTTAGGCAAATATACAAAACTTTATCCTAATTATTTGTCGTTATCGCCATCAGATCTCGTTCCCGAAGCAACAAGAGAAGGCATCGTTCTCGCTCAAGGTCTGACCGGAAGTCTCGTTCCAAGTCAGGAGAGCGGAAATCCCGTTCTGGCTCCCGCAGATCCCGTTCTGGCTCCCGCAAGTCCAAATCTCGCTCACGGTCACACAAGTCCCGTTCAGCTGACCGGAAATCTAAGTCACGTTCTAAGAGCCGCTCCAGGTCACGTTCTAAGAGCCGCTCCAAGTCACGTTCCAAGAGCCGCTCTAAAGTTAAGTCAGAGCGGGATTCTCGTAGCAGATCCAAGGAGATGGATGCTGCTGTTGACAAGAAGTCCCGCAGCCGTTCACCTTCCCCTGTGGAAAATGGCATGGAGGAGCGTGATGCCAAATCTGCTTCCCGCTCTCCATCCCCACATAAAGAAGAACGTCGCTCTAAATCCAGAGAGAAGCGTTCAGCATCCCGCTCAGTCTCCCGCTCAAGGTCTTGTTCAAGATCTAGATCAGCCTCTCAGGATTAGATGTTTGATAGTTGTTTGAGTTTTATTATAAGGCTGTAAATAATAAGCAGTGTCACATGTCTCTGCTTCCTTACTTTGTTTCCCTTCCCTCTTTAAAAGTGTGTTTTGACATGCAGATGATAAATGCTGATTATCAGGGCTGTTTTTTTGGAGTTGGTATTAAAACTTTCATCTGGGAAATATCTCATAATTGTCTTCCAGTTTAGAATTTCTCCGATCCCTTAAATTTAAACCTTTACTTTCCCCATAGAAATCTGTTTTTCTCAGAAGTGTTCACCAATCGTAAATCTGCTATCGGTACACTGGGTAGCATTCACTATAATACCCTAGATTATTATGCAAAGCAGGATATTTTGTTTTCTACCCACATTAAAAGTAGAGGAAGAATTGTCTGATATTGAAGCTTTATTATTTTTTTCTGTCTCCTGGGTAACCTTATTTTTTTTCTATCTTGCTTGTAAGAAGAATTATTCCTACATTTGAATAGCTTGCATTTTATGTGGGTTGTTAAGGATAATTTTTTATAGATTGAACATGAGCTCTGTTAATGGATGCATGTCCCCTACATGCTTAATTTATAAGTCGATTGAGGCAGTGAATAATATGTAGAAAATGCCTACATTGCAATGTTAAGTTTTCTTTGATGCTCTAAAGTCCTGTTGGGTTTTTTATTTTATCCCCAATTTTTTTTTTTTTTTTTTTTTTTTTTCCTTAAAGAGTTAAAGAACACTTCTCATGCCGAGTTTCTTTGTTTAAAGCTGGTTTCATTCACAGCTCAACTTTGATATTGTTCATTTGCCTCAGTGTGTGGATTGTTTTCTGAATGCAGCATCATTTTCTTGTCCAGATTATTTTTGCTCCTGATTAAGATAAGCTTGTTTTTATGTTCAAATAAAGATCTTAATAAAATTAATGGTGTGCTTTATTTATAAAAAAAAATGGCAGCAAAATCGACGTGACATATATCGTGCTAATTATATAAATGAAAATTGTTTTAGCAGAAGGAAAAACATCCAGCTGTGCTCTGGAAACTTACCTTAATTTAAAACTTGGCAATGAAGACTTTGACCGGTTTGCAATTGCTAGACAAACCTGAACATATTGGCTGAGGTGCTTTTAAAGATGGTGTTTCTGCTAAAGAATTAAAATCAAAGCGATCAGCTACTGTCTGGCTGCGCGCATGCGCAATCTGAGCTTCGGAGCCGCAGGGAAACAGCGCTGGTAAGCAGCTGAATGTCAGTTTCCCAAAATATGTTCAACCTTTCTACTTTAACATTTTATTTTAAAGCAGAAATAATGGGAGTTATGTTTATTTGCACGAGCCCCCTTTATGTTTGCTTTTTTATTTTTACGCACGTCCTTTTTTACGGTATGGATGCATCCAACCCAAATCCTTTTCGATCTGAAGGAGGGGAGGAAAACATATATTTTTTCAAATTATCACTGATGTTTTAAATTCTTTAAACAAGAAAGCTCTGCGGCTGCATTTTTTTTTACTACAGTGTCAAACATGCTTATGGTTGTGGGGATAAGATAATATTCATTAAATCTGCTTCTGCTGAAATTGGTAGGGAGTTTTTTTTATATATATATATATATATAATCGCAGACTTAAAAGGACTTGAAATGTTTTATCTTCTTATTTTTGGCTTATGGTTTTCTGATCCTCCGCCATTTTAACTGAAATGTTGTATTTTTGTGTATGTGTGTGTGGACTTGAAGCCCTGTGCGTAAATATTGGCGTGTCACCATTGTTGCCTTATTTTATTGGATGTAATGGATTTTTATTGGAAATTAATTTATACCGTTGCTATTTAATAAATGTGTAAAACGCAAAATTCTCTTGAGCTTGCCATATATTCTTCATTGCATAAATTCTTATCAAAGCATCCTTTCAGTTTTTTTATTATGTCTTTCGATAAATTAAGCAGATAGTATGTAAAAATAAATAAAATAGATCCCAGCCATTTATAAAGACTTTTACCTCAAAACTAACTCAATATTTGGATAAAGTCAAGAATCAAGTAACAGGGAATGATGTCAACTCTCCTTTAGAAAGTAAAGCTGGTTATAAAATGTTACCTGCTTTACTTTGCATTTTTACATTTGTGAACGCTTTATAGTGTTTGATTGTCGACAGACTGACCAAAACACGGTTTGAAGAGGTTTTTAAATCAAAAATCTGAAAAGTGTCTTGAATTTGTCTCAGCCCCCCCCATTTCCTCCAATACCCCTAAATAAAATCCAGTGTTATAGCTGCCTGTGGAAGGGACCTGATTAGTTAAGTTCACCTGGTTGTGATTTAATTAATTTTTCAGATCTTCTCAAAAGTAGCATTATAACAATCAGGAAATGTGGTTAGTGGATTGAAGAGAGGGTGGTGGGGAAGTTTAAGGCAGGTTATCAAACAATATCTCAGGCTTTGAGGATGTCACAGAGCTTTGTCCAATCCATCACTAAATTCCTGAAATTTGATGCTTGGAGTCTTACTTTCATTCTTACTGATCAAAAGCTAATTTGTAAAGAAGAATAGGCAAAAACTTCAGTAAGTAAATGTACAGCTCTTATGTTTGCCTCTAAAAACCTTGCAGCTGTTATTGTAGGGAAATGTCCTCCTGCACATTATTGTTGATGCAAATGGAGACAAACTATTTCAAATGTGTTAGGTGAACCATGCCTCTATACACTGTATGTCTCCCTTAGGTTGGTTTGCGATAAAATTTGAGCAATTAGAGAGATAAAAAGTTTAATTAATTGCAAAGCGCTGTGTGCTCAACAAAAACCATGGCTGCTCTTCAACCTCTCTTGGAAAGAAAAAAGGAAACCTTTGCAAGTCACTTTAAACCAGTCTCTGTTTTCTTATCAGCAGTCAGACGGTAAAGAAGAGCCCACCGATATGAGCGGCAAAGTAAACATGGAGACCCAGTCCAAAGAACCTGACGGCACACCTCCTGACCCATCGCCCTCCTCTGCTGGTGAGACCATCCTCATCTGCGACAGCGTCGCCAAGAAACCCCGAGCCCAGCCCCACGCCACCACCACCACAGCTCTCCTCCTTCAAGGTGAGCTTTGGTCTGAAGGCTGAGAAACTGACCCAGTTCCACATGCGCTAGTGTTTTATTGCAGTTAACCGAAGCTACCGAGCTCTCAGATTAAAAAATAATACAGCAGCTACCATTAGGACAAATCTAATACTAATAGATACACAGCAGCAGTCGACACCAACTTCTGTGAGGATGCTGATAAAGCTCAGATTTACGTTCATGGTGATCTCATCTTGCAAAATTTAAGATGTTTCATATTTCATATTGCAAAAATAACCCTTTAGAATGATTTAAGTCACCCAAAGGATAAAAATCGTTCATTCATCATGGTCATCAGAACTCTGTTGGATGATGGCTGGGCATCTTTTAGTGTCTGTTTACTTTTTTATCACTTTCCTTAAAAAAGTCATCTGATTTGAGTGGCTAGTTAGATCCTCCTTATTTCGTTTATTTAAAAACTCAGCTGGAATTTGTTCTTCTGTCTTTTCAGTGCAATCGTAATATGTGATTAGGAAGATTTGGTGTAAGGTGCTGTTATAAAGCATTTGTCTCCCTACAGATTTATTGCTAAAATTTTATTTTCCAATCCTCAAATTTAAGATGAACAAAGAAAATTTTAAAAGCAGTTAATCTAATTCTGAATAAAGAGGATAGAAGCTGTTCAAACTAACCTGACCTAGTGTGAAAAATGACTCTGCATTTGATAAAAATGATTTTTCCCTGGACTTTTGAAGGAAATATTCTTTGACAGAAGAACCTTTGAGTAACTTCAAGAACCGAAGTGTTCCTCTGTTCACACAAACTTATTATATATAATAGAAGAACTTGAAAAAAAACAAACAAGAAAGTTTTACATTACGTTATATAAAGTCTGGACTTAAATCCTATATAGATAGAAGCAGCCCTGTGTCACTGAACAGGACGTTCATATTTAATACCCTCCAATGTTGCAGAATTCTAACAATTCTGCTGAGAGTGGGACATTTCTCCAGTTATGTGTAAAAGACTCCATCCATCTTTGTTTGATTTAAAAAAATAATTTAAAGTGTATAATTTTATTAAGAAACCAAACGATATGGTAGACTTTTTTTTTACATCACTGCATGCAAACCTTAGAAATGGAAATCTATATTTCCTAACCGATTAGGTCTAAATTATAAGATCCTAATTTCTAGAGTTTATTTATTTAGACTATATATGTATTGTACAAATGTGTGTGTATAACTAGGATTATCTGCATAGAGAAATGCATCTTTTGGAAAGTGGATTATCTTTAAAACATTTTTTGCCAAAGCTCTATATATTCTGTCTACTTCTTTCTCTGCATTTTTATGAATGCCGTAGATTCTAATGATCTGTGTTTGAAAAATGGATGCTCTGTTTTCCGTAGCTCCTCCTGGTCACCAGAAAGTGGAACTGACTCAAGCCCTGGCAGTGGCAAACCCAGGGAAAGGCAGCAGACCAAATGAGATAGCTGGCCCCACCCTGACAGCACAGGTTGGGGGGGCTTGTAGCATCGTCCATGTCCTGGAGTGGAAGGAGGGGATGGCCATTCTGCCCAGTAGCAACCTGAAGGTGAGACCCTGCGAGATGCAAGCTGGCTCCTGTAAGATGCTCCTATGAAGTTACTATAAAATCATAATTGTTCTGGACAATTTGATGTTTAGAGATATTTAATATTTTACATTATGACTGAAAATTTTGAACCATTACTTTTTTGAGATAATAAAAACATAACTCTTTTAGACTTCTTTAAGGACGGAAGGTCTGACTTATTTTCACAAATGAGCTCCTCTGTGTTTCCCAGTTCTGTGTGAGTGATGTAGGGACTCTGAGCACACTGATAGCCCCAGGGACCACCAGCACCCCTGCTGACCCATCAGCTGGGACCTCTGGAAGAGCCATCGAGGCAGAAGGCCCTCCAGACAAACCAGGTAGATTCCCCAAAACTAGTAGAAACAGCTGCAAACAAACTTTAAAAAACCTCAATTTAAAAAAAAACATTTTCAGTTTTTTAACCAAACCAACTTAAAAATGATAATGTATAACCAATTCTCCATGCATAGCAGGAATTTAAATTTGAAAATATTTTCAGGAAGAATGGATTTTTGGCTTCACAAACAATAATGAAAGCAGAATTTAATAAATAACTAGAAGACAGTATCTGTCAATTATACTGCCATTAACCAAACTTTTACCTCCCTGTTAAGGTTTATTGACTTCCAAATGTTTATTTTAACCTTTCAAATTGTTTTACATGTTGTCAGATAAAAAATATATCTATAACGTTGGTATTTTATGCGGTAGATCCCCTTTTAGCATTTGGTAACACTGTAAGAGCTGCAGGGATCCGCAGCTCAGATGGGACAAACAAGACAACTACAAGCTGTGCAACTCCTATTTTTGCGCTTTTATTTAGAGATTTGCAGTTAGAAAGCCAATTTTGAAAGATGGTACTTTGGGATTAAATCAAGGGTCATGTTTAAAAACAAAAATTTTGCATTGACTTAAACATATCGCCCAATGATGGCAGCATGATGCTGTGGGGATGCTTTTCCTAAACAAGTAATGGATCAGATTTAAAGGGAAGACGGATGGAGGTAAATACACCGGTCCTGGAAGGATCCTTTCCACAAGCCTACAAAAGGCTGCAGATAAAAGATTTGATGGCAAGTCCAGAGCTTGACAAAATATGTGACCTCACTTAAAAATGTGATTTTTACATACCTGTATTTTCACGACCATAAGGCGCACCGTACTAAAAGGCGCACTCTCAGTTATGTGTCCCATTTCTGTATTTAACACACACATAAGGCGCACCGGACTATAGGGCGCGTTTTTTATATACAGGTACATGTCCTCTACTACCTTTAAATACCTCTACTGCGTATTTAAAAATACAGCGGGGGCAAAACTGAGTATGATTGTGCTTTATTCATGTATTTATTACAAAGTATTAATCAAACCTGGGAGCTGGCCGTGAGACAGACACATCGCAGATGACACAGCGCTGGGATCACTCCTAAATTAACTTAAAATCCTGAAACCTGCCGACGGAATATGTTCGCTTTTATTACCGGTATCCTGGTGCCTGCAGCTAAAATTATTTAGATGAAAAACACCTGCCAGCCACCGCGTGAACCCGCAGGCTGCCCGGCCTAGAGGCTGCTGATGAAGGGATTTCTACGGTCGGTGCACCGCTGGTATGTGGGGGTCTGAGCGCCTCCGACAGAAATAGATAATCTGGATGAACTGACTGCAATTATTAAGTTTTCAGGTGGACTTTCTCACTTAAAAACATATTAAAACTACTTTATTCCCACTGATCACAGCAAATATAGCTGCAAGATTTAGATTATTTAGATGAAAAAACACCTGCCAGCCACCGCGGTATACGCGGAGGAGACCCGGCCCAGAGGCTGCTGTTGAATTAATTTTTCAGGTAGAAAAATAGAGCGAGAGCAAAACTGAGTATGATTGTGCTTTATTCATGTATTTATTACAAAGTATTAATCAAACCCATCAAAGTCATCATCCTCTGTTTCTGAATTAAACAGCTGCGCTAAATTAGACATGCCAATTTCCCCTTCTTCGCTGTCAGAGTCACTTTCCGTGCAGCGCAGCTCCTCAGAAATAATGCCGGCTTTTGCGAAAGCTTGAACAACAGAGCCAGCAGACACGTTAGTCCAAGCATCTACAATCCATCCGCAAACGGTGGCGTAACTTGCCCGGCGCTGCCTTCCACTTATCCTGAAACTGTGGTCTCCGTCTGTCATCCATCGCTCCAACGCCGCTCGCAGCCTTACTTTGAACGGCCGCTTCACACCGATGTAGAGCGGTTGAAATTCCTTTGTCAGACCCCCCGGGATAACGGCGAGCACAGCGTTCATTTGATTCACCTTTTTTTTCACATCGGCTGTGAGATGGGCACGCAGCGATGGTGATGCGTGGAAAAAACCACCTGGTCTCCTCACATACACCTGCCTCAGCCACGCTTTCATCATCTCCTCATCCATCCAGCCTTTTTCATTTGCGTTAATATCATATGTCATCAAAGCGCTGTGTCTGTCTCGCTGGCAGCTCCCAGATCAGCTTCTCTGATTGGTTAATGCGGCGCGTCCAGCAGCAAAACTTCAATTTTTCCATCTCGAGCAGCAGCAGCGCGTTAAACGCTCCCGAGGCGCTGCGCCTGCTGCTCAAAACGTGCTGCAGGACCTTTTGCTGCACCTATACGCGCGTCAACCATTGACTTTGCATGTAAACTCGCTGCTTCTGCTGCACCTGCTGGGTCCGGTTCACACCGATGTCGAGCGGTTGAACAGCGAGCACAGTGTTAATTTGTTTCCCCATGTTTTTCACATCAGCTGTGAGATGGGCACGCATGGAGTTACATATTAACAGCGATGGTGATGAGTGAAAAAAAAAACACCTGGTCTCCTTACATTCAGCCACTCTTTCATCATCTCCTCAATGAGGTGGTCTCAAAAGTCGCAGTTACAACACACATAGGGCGCACCGCACCAAAGGGCGCACCGCACATTTTGAGGGGAAAAAAAGACGTTTAAGTGCGCCTTATAGTCGTGAAAATACGGTATATTTAGGGATGAACAAGTAAAACTTTTTTTTACCATTAGGTGTGAGAGAGAGAATCCTGGAACTCTTGTATAATTAAATGCAAGTGAAAGGTAGTTCTCCAGAGATTAAGGTTGTAGTTAATATATTTAAATTTGATCTAAATAATGTCCCTTGGGATTAGATTGGTCATACTTCCAGTCTAGACCTTTTACTGCAGCTGATCAACAAATGTCAGCTCCCAAAGGAGGGGTTGGGACATCCAGAGGGGAGGTCACAAGACACCAAGTTAGGGGGTCACAAGATCTTTGTGATGTGCTCCCTGAGGTATATGAAAGGTTAAAATACACTATATTGCCAAAAGTATTTGCTCACCTGCCTTGACTCACATATGAGCTTAAGTGACATCCCGTTCCTAATCCATAGGGTTCAATATGACGTCGGTCCACCCTTTGCAGCTAGAACAGCTTCAACTCTTCTGGGAAGGCTGTCCACAAGGTTTAGGAGTGTGTTTATGGGAATTTTTGACCATTCTTCCAGAAGCGCATTTGTGAGGTCGCACACTGATGTTGGACGAGAAGGCCTGGCTCTCAGTCTCCGCTCTAATTCATCCCAAAGGTGTTCTATCGGGTTGAGGTCAGGACTCTGTGCAGGCCAGTCAAGTTCATCCACACCAGACTCTGTCATCCATGTCTTTATGGACCTTGCTTTGTGCACTGGTGCACAGTCATGTTGGAAGAGGAAGGGGCCAGCTCCAAACTGTTCCCACAAAGTTGGGAGCATGGAATTGTCCAAAATGTCTTGGTATGCTGAAGCATTCAGAGTTCCTTTCACTGGAACTAAGGGGCCAAGCCCAGCTCCTGAAAAACAACCTCACACCATAATCCCCCCTCCACCAAATTTTACACTTGGCACAATGCAGTCAGACAAGTACCGTTCTCCTGGCAACCGCCAAACCCAGACCCGTCCATCAGATTGCCAGATGGAGAAGCGCGATTCGTCACTCCAGAGAACGCGTCTCCACTGCTCTAGAGTCCAGTGGCGGCGTGCTTTACACCACCGCATCCGACGCTTTGCATTGCACTTGGTGATGTATGGCTTGGATGCAGCTGCTCGACCATGGAAACCCATTCCATGAAGCTCTCTGCGCACTGTTCTTGAGCTAATCTGAAGGCCACATGAAGTTTGGAGGTCTGTAGTGATTGACTCTGCAGAAAGTTGGCGACCTCTTCGCACTATGCGCGTCAGCATCCGCTGACCCCGCTCCGTCAGTTTACGTGGCCTACCACTTCGTGGCTGAGTTGCTGTCGTTCCCAAACACTTCCATTTTCTTATAATACAGCTGACAGTTGACTGTGGAATATTTAGGAGCGAGGAAATTTCACGACTGGATTTGTTGCACAGGTGGCATCCTATCACAGTTCCACGCTGGAATTCACTGAGCTCCTGAGAGCGACCCATTCTTTCACAAATGTTTGTAAAAACAGTCTGCATGCCTAGGTGCTTGAATTTATACACCTGTGGCTATGGAAGTGATTGGAACACCTGATTCCAATAATTTGGATGGGTGAGCAAATACTTTTGGCAATATAGTGTATATGATGTGAAAGAAAAAAAATTATTATACCATGGAATAAGTTGATGTAACATGTATTAGCTTATTTAATACAGCATTCAAATTTTAAATATACCAAAAACTGTTAAATGCACAATTTAATTCCCCATTAGTTAATGAAAAATACATTTACAATGATGAATTATATAATGAAATTGCATTTTGAAATAATCTATTCAAAATGTAGTACACATCACTTCTTATGTATGAATAAATACAGAGTGAAGTAATTATATGAATTGTTATGGGGTCACCAGTCAGTCGCTTTGTTGTTTTTGTGGTCCCAGGCTGAAATGGTTGGGAACCCTTGGTTCATTCAAGCAGAACTGAAGGGATCTTAACTGATTTACAGTATATTATGGATTCTACACATCAAGGGCTCTGGAGACACATTTGGTCAGGATGTGGTGTTAAAGTGCAGAAAATGAGCTGCAAATTATTTTAAAAATGTGGCTTTATCTCACTGAACCAAGTAGCATTAAATAGGTTAATTGCATAAGATGTTTTCTGTAACACTCAGCCAGCGTGTGCAAGGGTTAAAGACCTCCACCAAATTGAACTACTAAATGTAGCCGGAATTTGATCATAATATTTAGTGTTTGCTGCAGATTGAAATTACCTTCTCCTTCCAATGATCCACCATGTGTTCACTGGATTAAGCACAGATTAGGAAGGATTACATCAGTGACAGCAGAGCCCCCCTGGAGCAGTGAAGAGGCTGCAGCTGCACGTCCACATTCAGCAATAATAAGGCAGCACAGTTTTCTGTTAACTAGGCATGAATTCTGATTCTTCGCAGTCCCGGAAGTGTCTGTTCCTGTCAGTGCTGTGAGAGCTGCAGCTGTGGAGCCAGAGAGGCTGGTTCCTGTCAAACCTGAGGTCCAGGTGGGGGCAGAGCAGCAGAACCATGACCCGAGAGCACAACGGGGCTACGTGGAGGAGCTCCGAAGGGACCCCATCCTGGACAAGTATGCTACTAAGTACTACTGTGTTTTTAATGGACTTTCACATAATCATTGAACTTTATTGATCTCTGCATTTAACCCATCCCCTTGGGGAGCAGTGGGCTGCCATCGTGGGGTACCCAGGGAGCAGTGTTGGGCTAAGCGTCTTTGCTCAGAGACCCAGAGTGGCAGTCTGTGGGAGTGGGGCTTGAACTCAGAACCTCAGGATTCCACATCCACTCCCCCTGCACGCAAAAAGAACTGTTTGATTTATTGAATTATTTAGAATTCAAATTTAGAATTTAAATTCAGTTAAATCATGTAAATTACACTGCCAAAACTGATATGAAATTAGTTTAAAAAAAAAAACTTAAAATATATACTTACTTTTCATTTTAGCAGACAATAAAATGATTTGCAAGTGGAATTAGTATTTTTGCCCTAAAGATAAGATGGTTACATATTATTCACCTGAAATTAGGAAATTGAGTTGTTTTTTTATTATTTTAAACGTGAATTATCATATCCCTCATGTAAAATGTCTGACTAACCTGCTCAAATAGGGAAAATATGCTTATTTCAAGAAAAAAAATACTTATATTTAACTTTTGCAGTGATCGATTTTGATCTCATGTAATTTCAACTTGTATTTTTCATTGTTTTTCAGTTCATTTTGATTCTATCAAATCATAGTAAATTCAGTTAAATCATGTAAATTACACAGCCAAAACTGAGATAAAATAAGTTTTAAAAAATCTTAAAATACAGACTTGATCTTAATTTTAGCAGACAATAAAATGATTTGCAAGTTGAATTAGTATTTTTACCCTTAAAATAATAATTACATATAATAGTTACATATTATTCACCTGAAATTAAGAAATTTAGTTGTTTTTTCTTATTTTAAACGTAAATTATCTTATCCCTCATGTATAATGTCCGACTAACCTGCTCAAATAGGGAAAATATGCTTATTTCAAGAAAAAAGCTTCTTACATTTCACTTTTTGCAGTTATCATATTTGATCTCATCTAATTTTAAATTTGTATTTTTCATCTTTTTTTTCAGTTAATTTTGATTTAATCAAATCATATTAAATTCAGTTAAACTGTATCATATTAATCAAGCTGAGTTCATAGTTTGATAATCTTTCCATTCAGTTAAATTTGATTTCATTTGATTCTTGATTAATCCTGAAGGGAAATTAGATTTTCTGCTTCATATTTCTTCTGCATTTCAGGAGGAGTGTCAGTGTGGAGAAGGTTCCTGCAGGCGGGAGGGTGTCCTCCCTGAACCCAGACCACCTGAAACCCATGAGGAAGAGGAAGAGGAAGGAGTACCTGAGCCCGTCTGAGGAGGATTCTGACATGGAGTGCACGGTGGGACAGCAGTTTGGTTTCTATTTACACTGCAGTTAGTGTTAAGCTCTCCATTCTAATGAAATTTAAAAGGTTATTTAATTTCTAACTATTTTCTCAAATAAAACTTTTTTTTTCTATAATGTTAGATATTTTTTCTTATCTTCTAGGATGAGAAGATGGATTATTCTAAAGCTGATTGCCGGCACATCAGAGGAGGTTATTGCTTCCTTTCATCTTCCTCTTAATTTAAATCTTCTTCCTACATTTTTTAATTGTTTGCCAGTTTATTTGCTTAAATTGCACAAATAAGTTTTAGAATAGCTACACAGAAACTGCAAAACGATGGGATCAATGAATATCAATACAAGGTTTAAATACTGACTCCTTTGGATTTTCTAACTTCTTTACTTCCTTCCTAGTCCCTGTTTAATTGCATACATAATTTTCTTATGTTACTTCTGTCTATACTTCAATCTAGTCCCCTAAATGAATGCATCAGGGCTGCATAAAGTAACGATCTGATTTTCATTCTTTTGAGAAGGAGGAGACAGCAAGACTGAGCAATGGACGTGGGCTCAGTATCTGGAGGAAACCAAATCTGTTGCTGCTCCTAACAAACTCTTCCATCAGGTATTTATCTTATTCTTTTAATTTCTTGCTGCATAGATACTATATAGTTATCATCCCTGAATTAGGAGGACTTTAATTATCTGTGGTTTCAGCTTTAAAAAGTCCTTTTGGACAGAATTAATCTGCAACTAATGAAGAGAAAGCCTTGTTGAAAGCAGTTTAAACAGTTTGTATAAAAATCCTTTGGATTGCATTTTGCATTGTCATCTAGTTCCTCTCAGTGTGGAAAGTACAATAAAATGGAATAAATATGAACTAAATTCTTTATCAAATGTGTTCAATGATGCTGCTTTGAGTTTAGTTTCAGTTCTACTTACACTAAAGCAAGAGGTTTACCTTAAAACCAAGTCACAATTCCCTACCCAAAATTACTGAATATTTAAGGTTCCAATGTTATCACTATTGATAAAACCACAGAATAGAGAACGCCACTGAAAATTAAATGAATTTAAAAATAACTTTATTTATTCTTTTCACAAAATTGAGTTTAAATCTGAGTCTGCAGGACGTAGGAATAAGTTAGAGGCCTGAATGTGACCATCTAGAAAAGCTAACATTTTGATAGTTTATCCTGTTCTTAAAATACTTTTTCACTATTCTCATTGTGCCTAAAGATAAATTTAGGACAACCTCCAACCCAGCAGTTGATACCTAAGAGAGCAAAATCATGGATTACTGATCTGCATTTCTCAGAAGATAATCCTCAAAATAGTTGCAGTTCTTTAAATGGGAAGAGCTCATTATGAGATTATGCTGCTACTGTAAAAGTGTTTTCAGTTTTGTTTATGTAGTTGTTTTAAAAGTGAATGAAGAGCTTGTTCTCCCCGTGTTCAGGCACAGAGAGTTCCCACCGTGAAGAACGGCTTCAAGCAGGGGATGAAGCTGGAAGGCATTGACCCGCAGCATCCGTCTATGTACTTCGTTCTCACTGTGGCTGAGGTGAGCTGCACTTCCAATTATACAGTCTGTGACTCCCAAAGGCTGCAAGGATTCACGTTGATTAAAAATGCCAGTCATTTCCCAGACTCGGAATACAGGATCAGGTCAGGCAGCCTCTTCCAGCTCCTGTGATTTGTGCTGTAATCACGCAGGTGTGCGGTTACCGGCTGAGGCTCCATTTTGACGGTTACAGCGACTGTCATGACTTCTGGGTGAATGCCAACTCTCCCGACATCCACCCCGCAGGCTGGTGTGAGAGCACCAACCACAAGCTGCACACCCCTAAAGGTCAGAGGTCATGGTGTCTGTAAACCAAAGCAAAGAGCATTCTGGCTGAATATTCATGAGGTTTTGCAGGTTTTTAAGTTGCCTTTTTTGTAAGAACTATTTCCGCTTAACAAAATGTCATCTTCACGGAGCATGAGTTATTTCTTTTGTTTCCATGTTTTATGTAATTTGCTGCGGTTCCCAACAAATGCGCAAAATTTCAGAGGTTTGAAAGGATTTATGTCACATATGGATATGATGCAAGACATTACAATAAGATGGAAGGAAAAATAATGCATGGTTTTAAAATAATATTTGTTTGAATTTCGTGTGATGTGCTGTATTAAGTTCTATTTCATTAGCATCTGACCAGAGCATTTTCCTCCATAGATGTCATTTTCCCCCTAAACTGGAGGGGGAACTCCATCAATGGCTTCCTTCTTTCCCAACTTTCTCTCTTGCTTCTGTTCTGATCTCCTGTGATCGGTGTTGCCCTTACCCAGACTGTTAGATGAGCATAAATACCAGTATAAAATGAGAAACTGATGTTCCATCCCTGTTTTCCCTGCAGGCTGTAAGGAGGAGGAGTTCACATGGAACAACTATCTGAGGATGACTAAAGCTCAGGTTGCCCCCAAAGAACTTTTTGCCAGTCCTGGCAGGGTAAGTGCTGTTCTACGTTCAGTATGAATCAACCCAGATATATAAACTAAAAACATCTTATTTAGAGCCAGGAAACTGGTAGCTACTTAGAAATACAGTTTTTGTTCTGCTTTTCTCTAGTTTCACACTTGTTTAGCTGAATTATCTCATAAATATTCAATGTTTGTAGAATTTGAACAGATGATGTTGATCGAAAGGAAACTGTTTTTTAAAGGACATTTATAAACTAATGATGAATAGAAAATGATGACCTTTGATATTTTAAATAATCTCCGAATTAATCCTAAGGTGTTTAATCTTTAACTAGTGATACTTACTGATTCCTTTCTGCTCTTTTCTTTAGATGGATGTGAAGTGTGGTTTCGAGACAGGAATGAAGCTGGAGGCCGTCGACCGGATGAATCCTTCACTCATCTGTGTCGCAACTGTCACAGACGTGGTGGACGACCGCTTCCTGGTTCATTTTGACAACTGGGATGATACATATGACTACTGGTAAGCCTGGAGTTTGCTGGTAATTTCACCTCTTTGTCTTTTCTTAGCTTTGTGGTTTTATGTGGCTTTATTCACATGAACCAGACAATAGAGAGAAGAAGGAAGACATGCAGAACATGGTCAAAATATTAGGAATCAATCTTAATTGGCTTCACATACTGGCTGACTGCTCTGCTACTACACTACATAATATGAATGATAATATGGGACGAGTTATTTGCTGTAATCTACTAAAAGTTTTTTTTATGAAAAAATACAGACAATTTTATAATAATATAGAGATAATATAGAGTTATAATAATGTAGAGAGATATAATAAAAAAAACACCTGAATGCAGAGTTTTAATATAATTATATTAATGTATTATGTGAAAATAAAGCGATCCAAAATAGCTTGACTCTGTTTTAGAGCGTTATGGTCTTTTTACTGTAATACACGTGGAGGAAACTTCTGCCCTCAACTGGAAATGAGTCTTTAAGACTTACAAGGATTTTTGGCCGTATCCTCTTTTCAGAGTTTTTTTTATATTCATACTCTTTGGATCTTTTGGAAGCATTAATGGGGTTTTTTCAGGACATGCTCTGCTGTATTTATATACAGGCTTTGACTAGGCTCTCCAAAGCCTTCATTTTTGGTCTTTAGGTCAATTCAGTGGTAGACCTATTAGTATCTTTTAGTTATTTTTTTGCTTCCTCACCAAACCGCATTTGTCTTAATTATCATCTCATATCGATTCCCTGTCATGGTAAATGGTAATTGTTAAATTAGAGGTGAAAGACTCTTTATATCCACATAGGACCCCAGTAAATAAATCTTTATTGTTCAAATATTTTGTTTTTAGGCTTTAAACTATTTTAATATTCATTTTCATGTCTTTTCTTACTTACTTCCTTAAAACAACCGTTTCTGTTACCCAGTCACTTGACTTCGGTTTTTGCAAGTTTTTAATCTAAACTCGTTGAATTTGAGGTTTTTCTAATCCAAAGTTTGTTCTGATATTAACCTTTGAAGGTGTGATGCCAGCAGCCCGTATATTCATCCTGTCGGCTGGTGCCAGGAGAGGAACCTCCCACTAACACCACCCCAAGGTGACTATACTACCACTGATCAATAATATTTAGCTATGTTCTTAGACCATAAATGCTTAAAATAGCCATATTTAGCCTGCCTTCATGGCTTTTACATTTATAGTTTTTAGTCCTTTGATTTCATTCTTTTCATGTTTGGACATATTCTTATGTTTCCCGATCTGCTATCAGTTAGAGAAATTATCAGAAGTTGCTGATGTAAATTTTTGAAATATTTTATGCCGGACGAGAAAACTGTTTGCAGGCAGTAAACTGTAAATATTCACAGCTTAAAAAGTGTTTCCCGCTGATCCAGATTATCCCGACCCAGGCCAGTTTACCTGGACGCGGTACCTGGAGGAGACCGGTTCTAAGGCTGTGGCTGCTGATGCCTTTAAAGTGGTGAGAATATAAAAACAAGAAACCTTTTTGATCTGCAGCTTACATAGAACATGTTTGCTATAAGCGTGTTTATGCTACATGTTGCGATGGTCTGCAGAGGGCTCCTCACAGCTTCCAGCCTCAGATGAAACTGGAAGCTGTAGACAAGAGAAGCCCCGGTCTGATCAGAGTGGCCACAGTGGAAGAAGTAGAGACTCATCGCATTAAGGTAATTCTCTTTGTTTGGGTGGTACTCCTCTTAGACCTTGTCTGCCTTCATTTGGATCAGTTTGCATCACATTTACAGTCAGCATATATTCATAGACGGAGGCTCAGCTGTGTGTATTTCATCTCCAAACTAGGCACCAATTTATTTTTCCTTTCCCAGGTTCATTATGATGGTTGGAGTCATGTCTACGATGAGTGGATGGACTCAGATCACCCAGACATCCACCCAGCAGGCTGGTGTGAAGCAACTGGTCACCCTCTGAAAGTTCCCCCTCGGGACACTAAAAGTCAGCAACCGCACGGTAGGACTGGAGATCCTGAGGCTGCTTTGAATCCATCTTAGAAAGCCTGTGTGTTTCTATCATTTGCAGATACCGGTACCCTAATCTTCCAAGTACAAAACCGTTTCCTTTCAGATTCTTTCACTTTTCCCTTTTTTCTCACTCTTGAAGGTTATCAGTTAATCAACCAAATTCGACAATTAGGCAAAGGACCCTGATATTAGAAATGTTATTTCTCAAATAATGCATTTTATCTTATTTATTAAGAGAAACGGTTATCAAAACCAGCACGGTTATACCTGACTTCCTTGTTAAATCGTAACGTAGCTCTCATAAACCACATTTAAGTGCTTTCATTTCCCAGCCCTGATTACTGCCAAATCTGCAAAACAAAGATACAATCAAGACTAAACCTTCTTAAAAACCAACGCATAATGTCCCAGTCTTACATGAGAAACAAGGTCATTCAGACTTGTTGGTCTGAAAAGAGGCACAAAGTTGTTTTTAGGGCTTAAAGAATGAAGTGATTTACAGAAAGAGCCGTTATCCGCATTTGGAGAAGACAGTCGTGAAACTTCCTTGAAGTAATTGACAAAACACAAATTTCTCTAAAAAGCCCATTTCACCCAAAAACCTCTTTAAACATCCTCTAATACTATGCTGTTCCATCAGTTAAGGTCAGAGGTCGTGATTGAATGAAAAGAAAGAGGTAAAATCTGCTCCATGGGAGAGTTTGAAGCTGAAAACCACTGTTGACCTCACAATACTCTGGAAAATATATTTCTTGGACTGATATGATAAAAGTAGAATTCTTTTGAAGATTTTCTGTCCTGAAGCATCCGATGTTGAAGTCGGAGCTGAATGATTTAATTCAACTGAACCATGACTTCTGCTCTCTGGCAGAAAACCCTGAAGGAAAACCCTGTGGCTACAGTTCCATGTGATTATGCAGCAGGAAAGTGATCTGAGCCACATAAGCAAGTGCGTGTCTCCAAGACTCAAAACAGAACTCAAAACAGAAGGTTGTAGAATGACCTAATAAACCTTCGTATGAATCCGATTGAGCTAGAGTGGTGTGACTTTAAAATAACTTTTATTCTCCCCTTATGTAGTTTAATTAAGCAAATTATGCAAAGCAGAGAGGAAAGCACTGATGTAAAAAAATTATTGTCATCACAAATACTCGATGGTAGCCTGTCCTCCCAGTTAACAGCTGCTGATCTCTTTAACCCTAGAGGCTTTTGGGTACCTCAGGGCTGAAACCATTTATCGGATTAATCAATTATTGAAATAACTATCAACTAATTTAGCAATCAATTAATCATTGAATTGAATATAGAGACTATAAAACAGGCCTTTAACTGACAGAGCAACAGTAATTGCACCAAAATTTTAAGAAATAAATAAACATATTACCTTTAAGATAAAGAAAACTTTTCCGTCTGTCAATATGCTCTATCCAGTTTTAGTTTCACCTGGTTTAATTTCGTACAAGGTCTTTTTTAGGGACCTTTGGCTATACGATTATTAATCAATTGATGGAAACAAATAATAACCAGATTAATTGATTTGCCAAATAATCGTTAATTGCCCACCTTTTTTAGTTAGCTTTTCCCTTAAAAAATGAAGCAGATATCTGAAATGTGTTTTTAACTCAGGCTCTCTTTTTCTGATACTAAACTGATGCTCTGAGACATTTAGTTCTTTAAAAAAAAGACAGAAGAAATCTGAAACAGAGCCAACCTTTCTTTTGACAGCACTGGCCTACATCCAGGATCCAGGTTAACGCATCTTAGATTTTTCTCTCTTCACGTGACAATTTCCCCATTTTATTTTGTAAACATTTAGGTGTGAGAGAGCCTCCCACTACGGGCCAGAACCCCTATCCGACCACGGTTCCCTGCAAACCCATCAGCCACCCCAGAACCAACAAGTACAGTTTCCACAACAGGTCAGCATGGAGCTAACGGCTCATTTCTTCACATGAACAAAACCGTACTGGAACACTTTCTGCTAAATATGCAAAGACATATGTGTGCATCTCTGAAAAGAAGTGGCAAACAAAAAGTTTAGAGCAAAAAGGAACATCTCAAAGGGAAAGTTGATCAAATCTTATAGAGTTAGTAAAAAAAAAAAAAAAAACCTAAACAAAATGTGGAAAGCTTAAATATAGGACTGAAATCTAACTCCTCTGCAGAAACTAAACAAAACAAGAAGCTTTACGAAGTGTCAACAAACAGTTTGTCATGAGCTGATATATTTGGAATGATCTGTTTGAATCTTAACACCTAAATCAAAATATTAATATATTTTTTAAGATAAATAAAACTGAATATGAAGCCTCATAAATTCTCTAGATGGTTGATTCTCCTGTACTCCTCTTTGGAACTCTTTCTTTGGAACAGGAAGTGTCCGACTCCAGGTTGTGATGGTTCGGGTCATGTGACGGGCCGGTTCACGGCCCATCACTGCATATCGGGCTGCCCGCTGGCGGAGCGGAACCAGGGAAGGCTGAAGGCCGACCTGTCGGATTCTGAGTGCAAGAGGAACCTCTTCTTTGGCCAGAGGACTAAGAAAGCTCATTACCGTGGCAGGTAAACAAACGCTCACGGCTGCAGATACATGCAATTCTAATGGCTGCTAGATTCCTTTAGTGTCAAACAGATATTTTCCTGTTTTGAAGGATTGGCCGTCCACCCAAATACAGAAAGAACCAGCAAAGGGACTACCAGAGTAAGGTTTCGTCTGTTTTTATATCTATATCACAGCATTCTATTTATTTATTTATTTATTTATTTATTTATCTTAATTTATTTACTAAGCATTAATTTATTCATTCATCTATTTATTTATGAAAACTTTTCAAGACAATAAGGATGTCCTTTAACAGGCCGTCCTTTGTTATAATTTGAATATATTTATAATTTTTACTATATAAGTGTTAATATATTACCAGACAACTAAAACTGAAAAAAAAGGTTAAGAAAACATTTTTGGTGAAGAGCAAATCAGAACACCCACATTTTTTCTTCGTTAAAGTGAAAAAGTGAGTCAAGAGAATATCACAGATTATAAAATGTTACTTTTGTACATTGGGCTGAGGAGAAAAAACAACTAGATTTTTGTTCATTGATCCAATTAGGTCTCTAGAGATGAAAAAAAATAGCGTTTCCTTTTTTAAATCCAGAGTTTTGGGGAGGAACAGAGAGCCTCAGAATCCAGACTATGCTTTAGCCTCCAGACAGTTTATTTTTATGTGGGCCTTTTCTACAGGCATGTCTTCAGACGGAGGCTATCCGTCCCTCTTCGTGTCCGCTCTGAGCGGCCAATCGGACCGAACCCTCTCTCTCTGCTGGGAGCAGCACTGTAAGCTGCTACCAGGGGTCCAGGGAATCCACGCCAGCCAGGTGGCAACATGGAGTGTTGAGGAGGTCAGCAAACGTCACAGCTTTACTTTCCTCTTCATTTATTCCTTCTTCTCTCTTTGATCATTATGTCATTTCTCAACTTTTCAGGTCTTCAGGTTCGTCCAGAATTTGATTGGCTGTGAAGATCAGGCTCGTCTCTTTAAAGAGGAGGTATAACCACCATGAATGATGATATTAATGATGATGATGTCCAACAACTGCTTGGTTAAACAGCTTTTTAAATATATTTTTTGTCCTTTTAAGTGTCTCGGCAGTTAAGCAATGATCAGAACCACTGTGTTTGATAGTTAAAGCCACAAAACAATTACAAAAGGATTCAAAAGCTTTCATGCTTAGAATGCCTTTTAGGAAACATCAAGGTCATTGCGCACATAATGAGTGAAAACAGTAAACCTTAGTTTATTGTTATCAATACCTGAGCTGAAGATAAAAAGTTAAACATTGTAGATATTTGATGTTCATTTATGAGAGTAATCCCTGGTGTTTAAGAAAAAAAATAAATAAAACTAAGCTCTCCTTAATTTTGGACTCTTGTTTGTTCTATTCTCCAGATGATTGATGGGGAAGCTTTGCTGCTGCTCACCCAGACCGACATTGTGAAGATCATGAGCATCAAACTAGGGCCTGCCCTCAAGATCTCCAATGCCATCCTCATGTTCAAGACCACAGATGAGGGGCTCAAGTGATATCACCCTCCCTCACTAGAGGAGATCATCGTGTGCCAAATCCATTCTGTAGCAGGGGGAAAAAAAGAAGAACCCTGAATATGTTTTTTTTCCATGTGTTTGGTGTCTTGTGCCCATCAGAGAGAGGGATGGGGAAAGGCTGGACTGGATCATAAAGAAATAGAAGAAAAAGATGTGTTAGAAAACAGTTATAATCTTTACAACTAATGAGGATTCCTGGGATGTTTGAAAATCGGTGGAAGAAAGCTAGTTTAGCTAAATGTCTGGTTCTTGCCAGCATAAAATGATTGCCTCAGGTGTGTTTGAGTTAAACGTAAGCTACACATCTTTTTTTTTTAGCTTAAAGGTATAGTGGAGGATGTCCTTTTTCCAGGTGGATCATCTAAATAAGTGGTCCACCTCATTGTCAATCATTCTGATGATATGTTTACGTAAGGCCGTCCTACGTGCTCGTCCCCATTTTCCCTTACCGGTGGTGAGTCTGACATAGTGGAAAATCTTCTTTTGGAAAGTAAGCTTGTATGAGCGAAGCAAAAGGCACCTTTAAAACAGAGCGTGCACAAGGAGAAACGGGCTTGTGCACGCTCTTGTACGCATTTAATAGGCATTCCCTCTCGGGAGCGGTAACAGGGTTGTGAATGTGCATTTCTTTTTTTTGGAGAGGGCGGGTCTTTTCAAAAATTCGTGAAAATCCTCCACTATACAGTTAAGATTGGATTTAACCATAATTCGAATGCTAAGGTGCTAAATAAATAGTACTGTTAAACTAGCACTATAAAAACTTTGACTTCCTTAAAGGAAATTGCTGCCTTTAAATGTTCTAATTTACACCTGAGTTTAATAGAAAGTATACAAACCAGCAATCGTAACTTGAATTAACATTTTAACATGGTGTGGAAAGGAGATTTGATTTCAAAATGAAATTCAACAACACAGATAAAGTTATTATAGAGTTACTTATGTAAAAGTGAGAGAAAGAAAACCGGAAAAAGAGATCGGAGGAGTGGACAGTCAAAAACATGGGTGAAAGACATAAAAAGGACGTTGGAATTGTAGTAAACAAGGCCGGATAGTGAGGCTGTGAGCTTCACATTTTGTGCAATAATAAATTCCTAAAGGGGGTTTGTTCTATCTGCTCACAATCAGCTCCCCAACATTTCCATTGTAACAGTGTAGAGTTAAAGAAGTCAAATAAGCTACTTTAGTCAGTCTGTTGGAGGCTTCATGCACAGAGAAACTGACATAATATTCTCATGAGAATCAGAACTGTTTGATTTTGCTTCTGCTTCAGATATATCCTTGCTGCACAATTTAAATTTGGGATTTCCCAGCTCTCCAGTGAGAGACAGAAACCAGCACAGGCTTTGAATTGATATCTCTACTTGAATTTAAAATCTGAGTCTATTCTTTCCTAATGTAGGGGGGGGGAATAAAATCATAATTTTAGCACAATTGTGAAATCTGGTTGGATCTCACCGTATAATAGTACCATAATCCGTCACTAGAGAGTGCAAAAATTCACTTTTAGTACCATAAACATTACATTTGGTATTTTAACAGCTTTACTTGTGGTTGGCACTCCATTTCGGGTGTGCATATGTTTACATGTTGTGTCCGAGGTTGGTTAAATCACTGTATGAGGATGTAATTGTGTGAAAAGTTTTATGTTTTAAGGGCTTTTGGAATATTTGCTCGTGTTTGTCTCTCTGGTGGGATTTCTTTGTATATGTCTGTGTGAGCTGAGTGTGTGTGTGTGTGAGAATATAAATGAAGATTATCTTGATTCACAAATGCCATTCAGTACATTCTAAATAATAAACATCCAAACCTTTATTGTTGAATTATTGACCCATTTTCTTGTCTTATTTGAGGTTTGAGGGGAATCATTTCCTGTCCTCTTGTCCTAGGAATACTATTGACTATAAACTGAGTTTGCTTGTATCATATCCCCCTATTGAGCATATTGTCGTCAACAGTTGGCTGTGGTTGGTGACAACTCCTTCCACGCCCTTTCAGTCTTCTCTGCTTATCGTTATGTTCCACAGAGGCAGCCTGGGCATCAGGTGTTGCTGATAAACTGTTGCTATGGCCGCCTTCAGAGCAGATATTTAAAGCGAAACTAGACTGCTTCACACAGGAAGGAGAAATCCAAACTAACTGCTCTCAAATGCGCAGCTCGAAATATTGATCTTTCTTGAATTTTCGCTGGTCTGTTTATTTTTTTCCCTTTATTTGCAACTTACTGATATTTACTGATGATTTTATAGAGGGATTCCCACATTATTGTCCCCTCTATTGCTTACAATTTACAGATCCTAGAGATCTGTTGTGGTTGTGAAAAGCATCAAAACCTAAAATTATATTTACCAAAATTTTATAATTCTACACCAATATTCAAAGCCAGATGTTTCCAAACAGGATGTTGCTGATGAGCTACTCATGCTGTACCTAGTAGAGAATGAGTTCCTAGTTTGATTCATGGTATTCTCATTAAGTTAAATTTAAAAAGAATCTCTAGCTTTTTATATCTATTATGTTATTATTACCAATCTGGCATTCAGACATTTAGCACAAGGAATAATAAAATTATAACATATGTACATACAATTGAAACGAATCGCTTATTTTCTTGCTGTTTGGTTTTCAAACAAAAAAACATTTCTAGTTTTAGGTCAGTAAGAATTACTGAAACAAATTCCATTAGTTAACTCCTAAAATCACTAGATGGATATTTTGTAAAATCAGCAGTATATTACTTATTTGAAATAAAAAGCTCAGATAATCATTTAATGCCTATTAAGGCTTCTAAAAAGACAAGATGCTGTGTAATAACATTTCTTGGTATCCTATACAATGACAGCTTTTTTTCTCCTATGATGTCAATCTATAAGCTGACTGACTCATAAAGCTACATTAAATTTACAAAATAAAGAGTTTTCCATGAAAATTAAAACTCAGAAAAAAGCAAGCATAAGTAGACTTATCATCTTAGTGTCAAATTAAAGGTGTATTCCACTGCTATGAAAAAAGATTTCATTAATCAAACTATTTTCAAACTATATTCTATTGTAAGTTGATTTGACGATAATTAAAATCAGGTATTTTAAATTTAGAGTCGGATGCACCTTTTTTCCCTTGTTTGCCTGTTGTGAAAAATTTGGGAGAAGTACTGGCAAAGCTAAATTAATCTGAGAAATAGTGGATAGATTATCTAGTGTTCTATATGTCTTTAATTTTAATAGAAAAAGGGTTGCAACGTTGCTGTTGGATACTTAATATGTTTATATACGAAATACAAAAAACATGTTTGATTGTTTTGGGGATTATTTACAATATCTTATCTTATTGGTTTGGACAATCAGTCCATGCTTCAGGTCTTTTATTTTGAAATCCAGTCACAGCCTTAGGAATTACTTTTCTGTTTTCACTGGAGGCGTTTCCCCGCCCCTTTTCTAAACTCTGTAACTTTTTTTATCAATGATTTACTGGGTCAGACTGTACCTGCTGACCTTCCCTCATGTTTTAAAAACAAAAAGCGTGTCTGAGGTGCCTCAGCCTGCTGCAGTCCTGGCAGAGCTCTGTTTTCACTCTCCTCCAGAGTCCTAAACCAGCAGCAGAGGGTCATCTCACTTCACATCTTCTGCAATCCAGGTAGGCAAACTAAAAGGTGCAATTTCTAATAGACGGAGTCTTTTCATTTCATTCTCACATTACAATTATGTTTTTGGGACAACAAGATAAACTAACATTAAATTAGTATAATTCAATAAAACTTTTGTTAGTTTATGCCTGTATGTTATCTGTACTTTTTGCATTTTTGTAATAGCATATCCTCTCCTAATTCTTTTATATATTAAAACCATTTCTAGTATTTACAGTGTTACACATTTTTCATTTTTATTCACCTAAGACATGCTTATCACACTTTTGTTTATACTACATTATTATTAGGGTTGATGGTTTTTGACAATGCTTTAGCATTACAGACCCTGCTTTATTTCCTTACATATCTTACAAGAAGTTTGTAATACTCCTATTGTTTCGTTTTTTCAACTAGATGTTCCATTAGAGATTTTTTTGTGAGGGGAGATGATTGGTTTGCCAGAGTTTATTTGTGGAGGATTAAAAGAGTGTAATACGGGCAAAGAATCAATATCTCCATAACATAGCATAACCTCATTACATTGTGCTTTTATTTTGATATTTATTTCACGTATGCACAGTTTATAAGCTTTTTAGGTGACTTGCATTTAAAGCTATGTGTTGTGCATGCTTCCAATACATTTTATCATTTATGTTTGAAATCTGCAAGGTTACAAAGGTCCAGACTGAAGGTAATCATTAACTCCCACTGCCTCCCTAAGATGGCAGTCACATCTTCGGATGACTTCCTCATAACACGTAAACAAATTCTGTTATTAGAAGCAACACTGGTTTCATTAGGTCAAGCTCATCTTTCTTTATTTACATTATTATCGACTGGCAAGAACACCGTGTACCATGCCTCCATGTAGTTGGAGGTATTTGCTGAGCCTCTGTTGAGGGGGCTGCTGAAACAGAGCCAAATAGATTTGACTTTGCTTCACTGGCCCCTGCCACCTTCATTGTTTTGCTTTGGCAGCAAAGTAAGGCTTAGTGAGCAGATATTTATAGTACTGTGTAAAGGTATTTGCTTCCTCACAGATTTCTTCTGTTTTTGCCTTTTTTAAATGTAAGACCCAAATGTTAAAGATCATAAAATCAACTCTATTATCAGGCAAGATAGCCTGAGTAAATAGAAAAAAAGCTTTCATTTACGATAAAACCTAACTTCTCCTAAACTGTAAATATATATACCGGTAATAAAGTATACATTTAATAGCTTAGTGTGGTTTCTTCCCAGCCTTTAAATTGCTTATCTGTAAAATCAAGAAATCCTTAAATTAGAACCACTGATAACCCAAAGTGGCTACATCTCAAAAACTAAAACCTTGTAACTCTTATTTATTTTAAGTCCTGAAAAGTCATTTAGAGCTGGAGAGGATTCAAATGATCTCTTTCTGAGCTTTGGTACTTAAATGTGAACAAAATTAGAAAAACACGGGTGATTCTTCTCAGGGGTTGTGGGGCCTACAGGAAATGCTTCAAAGGGAGATTTAAAAAAAAAAAACTCTAAAATGGCTCCAACAAAAACAGAGAAGGTCAAAGCTGCTCCACAAGGTGATTATAGAGAATCATTGATGGCGTCTTAAACATATTACCTCACACATCCTGCAGTTTTAAGGTTTATTGGGGGGGTTACTGGTTTAGGTAGATTATATTCCTTCATGTATTCATCCTTATATCTTCCTCATTGTCTTGTTTTGAAACTTCTCCAAAATATTCAATAGTAACAAGTAAGAACAGAAGAAATATTTTAATCTTATTGTTTTGCAGCTGTGTATTTTTGGATATAATGAGAATGCCCACAATGCTCCACAGCTCATTGCTGATTTCTGTTCAGGATATCTTCTTTTAACTGTTGTCAGTCTCTAAAGGGAGTGAAAAAATGTTAAGCCTTGAAAAAAATCTATTGCTGCAGGTTAGGAAAAAAAACATTATTTTAAAGTTCGGAAGGCATGATTCCTGATTAATCTTAATCAATAGCAGGCTGTGTTCCCATACTCTTTCATAAAATGGATGAAAGGACATTTTCTTCTTTTTAACAGCAGCTCTGTAGTATGATCTCCCTTTAGGCTTTAGAGCACATGGCTGACAGAAACAAAGCCCTGTTTCCTATCCTGGAGGTAAAGGCGGTAAGAGGAAGGCACAGATTAAAGTAGTTGGCGTGATCATGTGCTAGAGAAAAACTACTTTTTTTAACAGTTTGTCCCAGTAAGGCGATATGTTATTTTTATGTTAGGGCAGGCTGTGGTTGTGTTGAAATGTGAAAACTTTTCCACTCAGGACATGTTAACTCCACCTGAACTAACTACAAATACATAAAACAATCTGTTTAGGGGTTATTAATCATTGCATTTTCTTTTCCAATAAAAAGGTTAATATCACATTTCTTACCCTCTGCTTGATGTAGCCCACAGTTTCCCCCAATTCCAATTCCCAGAATGCAAAGCTAGTAAAGTTCTGCAGAAGCTCTTCTAAAAATAAATGATGCACAGACCTGTTGCCCATATAGGCATGGTAAACCTGCCCCCATCACATGTTATTTACATTCCACATCCATACAGAGAAGAATAATAATATGTCTTTGGTTTGAAGAAACAAAGAAATTGTATTCTCACCTAGAGCATTTTGGTTATTACAGTTAAAATAAATATATCTGTGTTGATTTTAATACAGGGCTGCACAGTAGAGCAGTGGGTAGCACTGCTGTCCTCAAGCAAGAAGCTTCAGGGATCGATCCCCGGCCCGGGGTCTTTCTGCATGGAGTTTGAATGTTCTGCCTGTGCATACGAGGGATCTCTCCGGGTACTCCGGCTTCCTACAGCGGTCATGACTGTTAGGTTAATTGGCCTGTCTAAATTCTCCCTAGGTGTGAGTGTGTGTGAATTGTTGTTTGTCCTGTTTGTCTCTGTGTTGCCCTGTGATGGACTGCCAACTTGTCCAGGGTGTACCCTGTCTCTCGCCCATAGAAAGCTAGAGATCACCAGCACCCCTTGCGACCCCATCAGTGATAAGCATGACTGAAAATGGATGGATGGATGGATTTTAATACATAGATTTAACCTAAAACATCAAGTAACTCAGTTGGTCTTCATAGGCAACATCCTCTAAGAGAAATATATAATCAGCTCCAACCGATACAGTTCTATGACACAAAGAGAATGAAATTACAAATCTTACAGGTTGATTGTTGCTTTGATACAATGCAGTTAAATTCAGTTCTAAATGCCAACTGAACAGAAGTTATTAATGGTCCATTTAGTCATAATGCTTGTTTATCCATTGAAACAAAAGGTCTAATTTCTTTAGAATAGAACACAAAGAAAAAAATGTTATTAACACATATCATATAATTGTTTTAGATTACATTGTTTATATGATAGAAACACTAAATGTCTTAGTTTTAAAGGGAACACATGTTTATGCAGAATATGATGCATTTTTGCTGTTTTACTCATTTCAGAGTAATACAAGAATAACAAGCTGAGCTGTTTAATTAGTCAGGCTGTTTGCTCAAGTAGCTATTCTGCCAATTTCTGTTTTATGTCTCAGTTTTAAAACCCTGCTTGTTGAAAAAACAGTGATTGGTAGTGCTAGTGTTGACATTACAAATCACTGCCATGTAGTGGCATGGAAATCATAGATATCTGCGGGGAAGTAGCCCTATTTCATCTCTAAGAAATTATCAAACTAATGGAAATGAAGTTTAATCAGCTAAATATACTCAGTATTGACAAGGGAAGAAAGTTACAACTTGTTACAGTGGATTGTTTGCAGCATTAGGTGGGGGAGGGGCAACATAGAGATACACTTTGCTTAGATACATCTAGACACTCTGGTCACTCTTGCACTTTTTTTAGCTCCTCATTAAAATTTGTTTAAACCTTTGGAACAAAACAGTGTGATATAATGTTTTTTTTTTTTTTTTTTTTTTTTTTTTTTTTGCTGTATTGAAACCAAAACATATTTTGGCAGAGCAGTTAATTTGCTGCAGAGTTTAATTACTTTTTAAAGCGGCTCTAAATACAGTCATATATTTTCAGGTTGGCATATTTCTGATTTGTATTGATAACCTTTAATAGTTAGCTCAGAAAGCAGGTACAGCTTTTAATGGAGGCAGTGGAATGTTGTGGAGCGACATCTCCCTGACTTTTTGGAGGAAAATCTCGATCTAGATAGATATGGAGATGAGACTGCAACCAGTGGCCATTTTATATCTCCTGTCCTTGGCACTCTATCTAAAGAAATGTTTTTTTGTTTTGTTTTTACAATTGTTTCTGGTGTTCTTGTAGTTTGGACATCAAAACCACTGGAAATTTGTGACAATATTAAATGGAACAGTGACCAACTCAGCCACAGTGGCCAGCTCCAGACACTCACAACCGTCCCACAGCAGTGTGTGACCAATCTGATGCCCAGCATGGGAACATATTAGGCTGTTACTGTTGAATATCGCAATATTTGGTGAACAGATGAATAAACTGTTAATTTGCATATTTATTTAGTTAATTTTTAAAGTTTCAAATCATCTAATAAAATGAAATATATAGGAGTAAAAATAATAAGCTAATTTGGGATTTAGAGAGTCTTCATGGGAGCAACCAGCATACTTAACTCTGCTGCTCCACCACATTTTGCATATTTATTTTGTTAATTTTCAAATTTTCAAATCATCTTATAAAATAAAATATATAGGAGTAAACATAATAAGCTGATTTGGGATTTAGAGAGTCTTCATGGGAGCTACCAGCATACTGAACTCTGCCTCTCCACCACGTCTCAGTGTAGCATCCTCTAAGGGAAACAAAACACTTTTCCAGTGTACTGTGATTTATTGCCATGAAGTGGCGTTGCCACATAGAAGTAATTTATGTTTCATCATTCAAGAATTACATAAACTGTCAGTAGTTTCCTGGTAGTTTTACATAATCACGTCTAACAAAAAAAGCCTCATTCTACTGTAATTAGAGTTGAATCCTCTAAATTATGTTCTAGAAAAAGAATGCCAGTATCCCAGTATAAACACTGAAATAAAGAATCCCCATGCTGATCTGGTGTACAATGTCCCTGATTGTCTTTCTGTTGGTCCACCATGTCATTCCTGGGAAACAAGAACTTCCAGTCCATCTGGATCCCTAGGCTGTGACACAGGAGTCAGCTGCTCATCATACACACAAAACACACTCAGTCAGCCTGGGATATAAGGGCAACAGGTTCATCTAGAGCTCAGGAAAGAACAAAAGAAGAAACCGTGGAAGGCATGTTTGAATCCTGAAGCCGTCTTGTCATCCCACAGGTTTGGTTAAACTCTGGTGCTCCAGGATCAGGAACACATCAGCCATGGCACACTGTAATGTGAGTGTTATAATGTGCTTGCTTTTATCTCTATTTCAACCAATAGGCTGTTAGAGTGTGAGGCATAATTTTTCACGCTGCTGTCTTTTCCATATGTCTTGATGTCAGTCTGTTTTTTAGATCAACATTTTAGAGGTCTAAACTATCCTTTGGTTGTATTGATGATTATTTTTAGATATAGTGTGCAATTACAGAAATGTTTAATAAAAAATAAACACAAGCTAATTAAAGCAATGATGGAACTTTTCTCTGATAATAGGATTAGAAAGAAGTTATATGACTCAAACTTTTGTGTTTTATTTGCATTTCTAATTTTTAGAACAGAAATGTGTTTTTTTTTTAACATTGTCAATCAAGTCTGTGTTAGTTTCACTCTGCACCATCTGAGTGTTGAAAAGCCCTTTGGTGTTTGCCAAACGAAACAAAGGGAAGAAAGAGATCATATTCTTTCCCTTTATTCATATTACACAAGGCTTTCGAATTAACCTTTTTTGTGCTCATTTAGTTGATATTGCAGTGTCCTTCATGCTTTTATATTGAACTGGTTTACTGTGATGTGGAAAACAAACACCATCATGCAAAGTGCCAAAAAAAGACTGAAATATTTTAGTAATTTCATTTTATGGTCAATTTGTGTTTTTTTTTTTTTTTTTTTTTTTTTTTTATTGTTAGCTGTCCTTATGTGTTTTTCTGCTTTGTTTTTTCTGTCTCTCCAGTTGCGGTCAGCATCCGCCACCTCTCATGACGATGTCAACTTGGGACCTTCAGCAAACCCACAGTCAGTAGCTCTGCTCTCACTAAACAGAGTTTGACTTTCATTGGATTTAATGTTTTTGGGATGAAGGTTTTTTTAAGACTCCATATCAAATCTCAGACTGGAAACAAATACTATCACTAAAGCAGCTATTTTATTTCTGAACATATTTTATATGCAAACATATAACGTCTTGCAAAATGGTTACCATACCAAAGATAGTAGGGGAGCAACGACTTTCTCATCCCCGGATGCCAAAGCAGCACGGGGACTTGCCTCAAAAACATCTTGTTTAGCAGTGATTTTTATCCAATCGATGCAGAGTTTCTATGGTAACCAACTGTATTACCAACCAACAGGTGAAAGTCTACATTGTTTCTTATTAGGTTTTATCTTAGATATGTACTGAAGCTTCAGTTGTAATATCAACGTAGACTCATTTCTTTTTGGTCTCTACAGAATATATTTCCCTGCACAGATTCTACCTGCAGTTTGTTTAAAGCAAAAAACACAGCAGTGTCTGAGGTGCAGGATTTACAATTCTTAAATAATCTCCAGTTCATTCATATTAGTTCAAAGCCCTGTCCAACTATCTGTTGTGCCTTACAACCTTTTTTTTTTTCAAGGAATCTGCATTCTATGCATCCTCAATCGGTCCCTTTTATGGATGCCTATCTATCTACCTGCCTGTTATTCTCCCTTTTTTTTCCCCTATCACCATCTATAACCATCAAAAAACAACATTTATTTTATATAATTTCAATAATATTATAATATATATTATATTAAAATATATATTATAATAATTATATTTTTTGTAAAACAGTTTAAACTCCCTTATTTTGGGGGTTGTCCTCTCACAATCTGCTCCTCCGAGCTTCCTCTCAATTTCTGTTTGTTGAAAGATGCTATTTAAATTTTCTCAATTCAATTCAAATAGAAAATAGTTTATTAATCCCAAACTGAAATTAAACATTGCAGTGACTCATGAGTTATTTTTTGAACAGGTGATTTGGGTGTTGATAGCTGTGGGCAGGAACATTTCTGATCTGAATAAATCTGTGTTTTTTTCCATCTCTTTCATTTTTCATTTTTTTGCTGCTTATCCGATCCAGTTGAGATTTTCACTTCCAGATCCATAAAGTAGTTTTCAGTGCAAAGAAAAGTTTTTTTTTCTTCAGAAATAAATGCAGCAAAACAGATCAAAATCTTGATCCCTATTAGCAGATTTAAAGTAGTGTATAAAGTTCCTTATAGAATAAAGTGATTATTTTTATCCTCATAGAAATTTTCTTCTTCCTCGTGAGTCAAAAAATATTTTTTTAAGCAACCATCAAACTTCTTTATGTAATATTTAACAAGCTGTAGAGGAAAGGTTGTGGAGATTTAATTCTAAAGATTAACATTTAACAAAGTTAATCTCCTCTGGTTGCATTCATATAACCCTGGGCTTCTCCATGACCTCAGGAATCTTTATTCACCTTGCCCTTGGTTTGTTTGCTGGCCACTCCTAGGAAGAGTTATTCATCTCTGAGTGTGGAAAATCTGTAAAGAAAGTGATTTGGAATTTTTTGCAGTCAATTCTTGACTGATAACCTCATACCTTTTTTTTGTTTTGTTACAATACTATGTTTGGAGGATAATAAACATTCAATAAACATGTAGGTTTAAGCTCAGAGCGTATTAGCGTTCTTTGATGGCTGCTGTAATATATGATTCTAATTAGTTCTAGGCCGATACATCTATACGTTTTGTTTTATAATACCTTTTATAATATCTTTTCCTGTATGAGTATTAATAGATTCATGCATGCTTGCGCTGATTCCTTTGTGCATTCGCCAGCTATGCCTTGATGTCACGAAAAGCCCATGCATTTCACCTCCCATCATTTCCTTTTCAAGGTTAATATGTTTTATTTGTTAAAACCTTTTTATTTTTGTTTAAATTTAGATTTTCTGTAACATTTGCTATCATTGTGTCATTTTTAAACATGTAAATGAAGGAAAAGAAAGCTACATCGGCTTCAAGCATCAGCTGCAAAAATCAGCAGCAAATAATGGGGATTGTTTAGACACATATTAAATCAGTATCGGCTTTCGTTCTTAGTAAAAACTTGAATCATTTCATCTCTAATTCTTACTATATCAGATAGGTTTCTGTATATCTTCAACTTAGCTCCCACAAGTTTGCAAACTTTAGTTTCTCAGAAAAACTGAATCAGTTTCTCTTAATGTATAAATGTTAGTTATTGCTGTCTGAGGAGAAAGTCTTCTGATAAAACATATATATTTGCATTTTTACCTGTTTGATTTCCACTTTTGCAAACAATTTAAGGTCATATTATTGTGTAAAAGTTCATAAACATATTTAACACTCTACTTTTCTGCTTTTTTAGCGCCAGACCAACTGACTTTGACTTCTTGGCCGTCATCGGAAAAGGAACCTTTGGAAAGGTAACACTAAAAAGTGACATATTTATATCTTTAATGTTGGATGCATCTACTGGGCTTGACTTTTTGTTCACCTGCCTGGACCTAAAGAAATAAAAGGCCATGCTGCAGGCATCATTTATTGCTCTGGTAGATTAAGATATTTTATAGTTATATGATTTACTTGAAAGCTCAGATTCCACTCTGACCTTGTAAGATAGAAGAGCATAAGAAAAACATTTAGTAAAATAATCACCACCTTCTCATTACTCATTCTACTTTATTTAAAGGCTGTTTTTGTTTTTGTTTTTTTACTTATCAATGCTTATGACCTGCTCCATCACACCAAACTGTCACTCATAAATAATTGCAGCCTTGGAACAGATAACATTTTTAAGTTTCACCTTCTTTCAGTGTTAAACTTGAAATACCTGCTACAGGTCACAAAAAAAACTGTTTTTCTTCGTGTTACTTCTTAGCATCAATTGCTGATGGAAAATTTTTTGCACCTGGTAAAAACCATGATGATTTTCTCTTGTTCTTCTATATGAATATTGTATATTAAGAATAGTCCTCATTAATGTTATTATTAATTAAATTATTTTCTAAAAATGACTGATTTCTCCTTTTGACATGGATATCCACTCTCCAGTCAAACTTTTTATTCTGTAAAGTTTCCAAATTTCCTGTAAACCTTTCCTTTATATCTTTGCTGACAGAAGTAGAGAGGCATTTAAAGATCTCTAAATCCTCTGTGGACTTTATTCTCAGCTGTTTCTATCGGCAACAGCCCTTTTCTGTCTGAGTTGATGTTTAAAAAGACTGTGTTGCAACCACTTTTTGGAATAACACAGCTTGACCCATTTGTCCTTTAAACTCCTCTGCTAAGCCTGGATTTTTATCCTTTATTGAATCTTCTTCCATGCTACTTTCTCAACTCCTTTTTCCATTAATCAAATCAAATGTGGTTCTTTTTCTCAGCAGACAAATAAATTCAAAGTTTGTCCTCCTTCCCTGCAAAAGCTTTGATGACTGGTTAATTTCTTCTTCATTTTTTTGTCCATTTTTTTATAAACCCTTTTCTTTGTAATCTAATGTTCTCTTATTGTGCATCAAATAGATCAAGTCTTTTTTACAACTCAGATCTTTGAATTTGAACACTTTGAGGTCACTCAGATTATCCTATCCATTACCATCGAGCAACCAACTCTCTGTATTAAAGCAATGCTTCAGCACTTGGAAAAAAAGCAAGTTTTAAGAATTATTTGATAAATTGCTTTTATTTTTGTAGTTTAATTACCTTGTTTAGTTGGAATCAATTAGGCCAGTTCACAATAACCCATAGAACATTAAATCAGCTATTTCTTTGAGCTCCTTTCTTATCCTACAAATAATGATACATTTTAATGTGACATTTTTTTTATCTCTGTGTGTCAGTCCTACTAACATTTCCCAGCATTGCCCGTTCCCAAAGATCGCCTGTCTGTGTTTTGTGATTAAATGTCCTGGCAGCAGTGTGTCTAGATGCTGGTGCAGGATATTTACAAAACAAACCACTAATAAGCCAACCATCCTGCAGGTCCTGCTTGCAAAGCTGAAAGCCGACAGCAAGTTCTACGCAGTGAAAGTGCTGCAGAAAAAGATCATCCTGAAGAAAAAAGAGGTAATTTGGTCATTTTTATTGCTCCTGTTTGCATATTTTACTAATGAAAAGGGAAAGCCGTTTTTTTCCAAACAGATCATCTGTTAAAACATCTTTTTATGAATTCAATGTCAAAAGTCCAAATGGTTTCCAATTAAATATATCTCAGCATAAAGCTTCGAACTGTAACAAAGTTAGGCAATTATCCTCCATGATTTTATTCTAGGTGCAGTATAGAGCAAAATAAAGTAATAAATAGTAAAAAAAAAAAAAAGCACTCTCTTACTGTGGGTGAGTAAGTATTTCTGAGTATTACTAGTAAACAGTGATCTGACCCAATAAGACCTCATCTGTATCTTATCTACTTTGCAGCCTGTTCTGTGCAAAGGACACATTTTATAGCTCACAGAAAATAAACAGTGACACTTCAGTGTTTGTTGAACAACATGATGAGAATATCCAAAGAAGAAGAACCACATCCTCCTCTCCTTCATAGTGTTCTGTTTTGCTCAGGTTAAATGATACACTGTATATGGAAAAATATTTGGTTATTTTTATTATTTTCTCAAGGCTTATGTTTCTGAGAAATGTCAATTTTTTTAGCATTTCTATTCAAAAAGCTACTTTTTTCCTCTTTGTTTTGTGTACCTCCCAGTACCGTTTTGCCTGTCTTAGTTTAGTCAAATCAAAGAATCCAAAAATGTTTAAATCAGTTTGTTACATTTGGATTTACTCAAATCCATTGGCTTATCAAAAAGCTTAAATTAAAAAATGTATTGAATTTTTTGTTAAAAGTTTAGTTTAATTCACTTATAAGGGCGCCAGTTCATAAAAAATTTAAATTTAATGACCAAAGAGTCACTAATATGATCATTCAGTTTGTTAGACATTAAATCCACTGAAGCTTTTAATCCGATACACTACAGTCGGATTTAACTGATTATTGAATGTCAAGAAGTCAACCCTCTAAAAAAGCCCAGCCAATTGCATTGAGTCTCAGACTTCACAGTAATCCTGAGCAAGCACGTGATAACAGTGGAGGAGAAAAACTCCCTCTTAACAGAAAGAATATGATAAAGGAAAAGACTGATGACTGTATTTTCTTTTTACGCTGAAACGCAGAAATGAACCATGTCATAAATACAGAACATAAAGCGTCAACAGCTTTATAAGGTGCAGGTCATGTTTTGAAAACTAGCCTCATACGCCAGCTGATGTTATCTGCCCTTGATATCTTACTGTCCGGTGTTTTACTCTGGCAGCAGATGATATTCACTGTGTTTCTCTTTTTCAGCAAAAGAACATCATGGCTGAGAGAAACGTCCTCCTGAAGAGCCTGAAACACCCGTTTCTGGTTCGGCTCCACTACTCCTTCCAGACTGCAGAGAAACTCTACTTTGTGCTTGACTATGTAAACGGAGGAGAGGTACATGTTTTACAAGCAAATACAAAAAGATAACAGGATTTCTTTTATTCTTACTCTAAACTCACTAAAACTTGTACAGAGACTGAGTCATGTATCCTAGACACGATTTAAAAAAAAAAATTTGTCATGATGGGTTCACTAAAAGCGACCCAAGTATGCAGAACACCACTGACGGACACCGGGATGAAAGTTTAACAAGTTTATTTTGCTCAAGCACACAGAATGTACTGGTTCGGGTTCGGGGGCCTGGATACTGGTTCACCGGAGTCTGCGTGAGAGACAGTTCAGTTAGCGTTGCCAACAGAGGTTTAATTTCCTGAAGCCTACTGGTTGTACCTTGAGGGTTCTTGAGGTTTAGCTTTGGGAGAGTCTCTGTTGGATCTGGAGAGGGGTTCATCAGCAGAGTCCGCTAGCTGCTTCAGCGTCTCACTTCTAGTAATGCACAGACCTTGGCTTTAGGTTTTCCAGCTCTTAGCCCTGAGCTGCTTGGAGGTTCTCTAGGATTCTTCAGGTTTGGCTCAGAGGGTCGGCTCGGCAGGTTAGCTCTTCCTGAGCTTCACAGAGGAGACACTGGTTACCTGGAAGACAGAGACAATGGTTAGAATCCAGGCTGGATTCAAAGTCATAAAGTTTCACTGAGGATCTAGGCTTAAGCGCTGACCAACTGGAACAACACTGCGGCGTTGAGGCAAGGTCTGAAGACAGCTCAAGTAGTGGATCCTCTGATGATCTTGATGAACTGCAGCTGTGCAGGAGGCTCCCTCAGAGGATCCACGGCGGACTCTGCTGGAGAAAGGTGGAACTTCTCCAGCTCCCAACAAAATTAAGACTTTAAATGAGAATTTGTCAATATTCTTTTTTTAAAGTATCATTTTTCTTTCATTATTACCTTGATATTTTTCCTTTTGCTTATTTTTAATACCAAACTTTATTATTTGACTGTCTCTACCCAATGTAAGGCTTTTATGGAATAATTCAGACTGAACCTTTTACTTCCTCTGCAGCTCTTCTTCCACCTCCAGAGGGAGAGGTGTTTCTCGGAGCCCAGGGCGAGGTTCTACACAGCTGAAGTTGCAAGTGCTGTTGGCTACCTTCACTCTCTTAACATTGTCTACAGGTCAGATATGTTAGACATGTTGGATTTGTTGAATGTACATATAATCAGTTGATATTCATCCCTTTTGTTTTTGTATCTGTATCTGACAGAGACTTAAAACCAGAGAATATTCTTTTGGACTCTCAGGTAGGCCACTAAAAAACCATTTTGTCGGTTAAATTTTGAATTCAGTGCAGTTTTGGATCGGCTGTGTCTTATTTCTGCAGGGTCATGTGGTGCTGACAGATTTCGGGTTGTGCAAAGAGGGCGTAGAGCCAGAGGGAACAACCTCCACTTTCTGTGGCACACCAGAAGTGAGTGGCAAGTACATACATACCATGGAGTTATCATTTTACGTTAGAGCATTCATTTAACAAAGCTTCTCCATTTAAAGACAATGAAAATGATGTAATGGTGGTAAATTCTTCATCCTTCATAAGTTGTCTTTATTTGTAAATGGATTTCTGCTCTTTGTCTGAAGTATTTGGCCCCTGAGATTCTGCGTAAGGAGCCGTATGACAGGACAGTAGACTGGTGGTGTCTAGGAGCAGTTCTATATGAGATGATCTATAGCCTGGTATGTATGTTTGAGAGTTTTTGGTTAATCCTTTTGATTATTTTCTGCTTCACATATTTAAATTTTAAACAATTCTTCGAAATTCCATCTCTTAATTCATTGTTTTCATTCACAGCATACAAACATTTTATTAGGGACACAACAAGCTAGTTCTTGGCTCTCTGTTTTTAATTAAGGATTTATTATTTGTATTTCTTAATAATTGAAGGTCTCCTTTCACTTTAGCCTCCTTTCTATAGTCGGGACGTTGGTGAAATGTATGACGGGATCCTCCAAAAGCCGCTGCCACTCCATCCAGGGAAGTCGGAGGTTGTTTGCTCCCTGCTGATTGGTCTACTGCAGAAAGACCCACACAGACGCCTTGGGGCCATTGCTGACTTTGTGAGTTTAAGTACTGAAAATTCAACACACAATAAATAGGTTTTTTAAAGAATAAAGACCAGCAGTAATAGAGTTGACATAGCTGAAGAGGCCACTGCTGGAAAGAAAAATGTAAAAATTACTTTTAATGCAATATCTGATCAGCGATTAAATTTAAATAAAGACAGATAACCATAGTAAATTAACAAAATCTAACAAGTCTTCCACTAACTATCTTCCTCTCCTTTATTTGCAGTTAGAAATAAAGAACCATCCCTTTTTTGCTCCAATCAACTGGGACGACCTTTATCATAAGAGAATCACTCCTCCTTACAACCCCAATGTGGTAGGTTCTGTTTGGCTGTCTCCCTGTAAACAGCTTAATTACAGCATAATAAATATCTTTAACGAACTTTGACAAGTTAGGTTTTTTTCTCTGTGTTGTTTCTACAATCTGACTCCTAATATCAAATATCTTATCAATGATACCCCTGATATTTAAACAACACAGGTCCTTCCACACCCAGTGGAAGCAATGTAGAAATGTTATGTAGGTGGTTGACCACAAGATGGCTGTATTTGCACATGATTATGATGCCAGTTCCATTTAATTCAAAAATACTTTATTAATAACAAAGACAAATTAAATTAATAATTACATTACCTATTTACATTAATTAAATAATGTTAAAAGAAATAATAAAATGATAATAACAATAACAAAAATAATACATGATAAAAGCAATGTTAATATTTTTGCTTTAATTCAATAATGTCACTATGACAGGATTCTGCACCAATATCACTTGGTTAATATGCTTATAGAGGGAATATGTTTCTTTTCAAAATATTTTTGTCAACTTCTTTTTTGTCAAACAGGCGATTTATTAAATCAGTTTTTGATTTCAATTTAGTCTATTATTGCAAAGTTCCTGGTTTGTTTGAGGATTTTCTTTCTCAAACCATAGCCCATTTATTTATTTAATTATTTATTTATTTATTTTTGTATTTATTTATTTTATTTTTTTACTTTGTAATACCAGTATTACATTTTCTTTGTTGATCTGCAATAATTAGATCTGCAATAATAAGTGGAACCTTTTGTTTTAAAAAATAATACAATTTGTGTAGCTTTGTTTTCAGAAAGTTACAATGGATTAAAATGTGGATAAGTGAGCAGTTGATGATCAGTTACAAATAATCTGTCTTTCAGAGAGGCCCAGCAGATACCCAGCATATTGACCCAGAGTTCACCAGGGAAATGGTTCCCAGCTCGGTCAGTCGGACCCCTGAGTTTAATGCCAGTACCAGCTCAAACAACGCTTTCAATGGTTTCTCCTTCGTCGGCACAGAAGACAGTTTCCTGTGAGACAAAACGTCTCAAATTGTCAGTGATAATAGTGAAAAGTAAAGGTCTAATAAAATGAGACTGCTGTCCTTCTGCGTTTTCATCCCAGAAATGTAACAGAATCCCGGATGGAATAGCTCAGACATATAGATATCCAGGAAATGAAAATGTTCAAAGTCTGTTGATAACAAAATATATGTTGTTAATTTCATTGGAAGAAACATAAAGATCACCTGAGGCTGGATGTAGATTAATGATATGAATTTTTTTTTACATATTTAGTTGTTATGGTAAAAACTAAGGCACAGTGTTTCTTTAGGTACATCCAATAGCTCTGATTGGATATAAAGACAAACCTATTAATAGATAGTATAAAACAAACAATATATGAGGATCGAATAAGACATTATATTGTCTAAAAGCTTCAACTCTGCTGTGTTTTAGTTTTTTTCTTTTGTTCTTATTTGTATATTTTACACCCCTATGCTGGGGTGACTGTTGGGCTGAATGTATTTTTTATTATTATTTTCTTTTTATATTTTTTGTAAATTGAATGATTTTTCTATGGGTAAATGGGTTAATTGCACAGTTGAACAAAGGTAAAAATCATGCACAGCATCAGTTTGCTTCAGTTTGTTCGGGTTTGGCTCAAATTACTCTATAAAACAAAGATGTGAATTAAGTTTTATTTGAAAATAAATCAGTTTTTTTTGTCTTTAATGCCTAAAAACCCCTGTTTGGAAAAAAAAATCTAAAAGTTTTCCACATTGTTAATGATGTGCATTGATAGTAGTAAACAGAGGGTCATGACGGCAGTGAGCTTGCCTGTTCACAGGCTCAAATGTGTAAAATAATTTGCAAACGAGGTACTGATGTTAAAACACTCTTTATAAAGCAGTAACCACACCGTCAAGGTTATCATGAAGCTGATATTCAGATATTGTAACACCTGGGAAATCTCTGCACATGTCATGTTGATATAACATCACTGTAGCCATCTGTAAATGTACAGTAACAGTCTTTTAAAATAATTATGTAAAGATTTAAAATAATTATATCAATGCAAGCTGTGGAATGCTATTGCTGTAACTGTTTTAGTGATGATTGGTGCTAGGTTTTGGATATGATGTATTATACATAAGAAAGTCTTGTTTGTACATGTAAGATAAAGATAAATGTATTTAAATTGAAATGAGTCAGGAGTTTTCTGTGAACCAATCATCACAGTAATTATCTCCTGGTCAGTCCAGTAAACATGGGGCAAAAATGTTGCATTGACCTTTAAATTATTAACTGTGTTTTTCTTTCGCTCTCTCTTTCTCTCCCTCCTTTTCTCTATTCCCTTCATTTTTATCCTCTCTTCCTTTCTCTCCTCCATTTCTATGTCTGTTAGATCCATGACCTAAATCATTTCTAATAAAGCTAAAGAAAGAAAAATAAATCATTATCTCTGTGTACCAAGGCAGTTCTTCCCCTGGGAGCAGAGAACCAGAAGCTCATAATGTTTGACCCAGACTTCAAGCGACAGATCAGAGTGTTTTCACAGCAAGCGTTTATTTACTGCTTTGCGTACAGTGGCTCATCAGCTGTGGCAGGGTCGCTAGAAGCTCTGTAGAGGTGGAAACTCAGGTTAATGATTACGAAACTCAGACAGGAAACGATAACGAGCATGTGTGTCACTAACCTGGTTAACAGTTCAGTCTGAGCCCAGACAAAGGACTGGAAACCAGAAGGATTATTTCTCTAGAGCATGCAGCAGCCCCCCCTAGAGTCCCAGGAGTGAAGCAGAGCAGACTGACGAGCGGAAGCTAGCAGATGCAGAAAAGCAGAAGTATCCGGAGGGAGAAAGTCAGAGTTGAAGCAAGAGCATGTGTCCAGGCCGGAAGATCAGAGAGCCAAAGAGATAAAGAGGGAGAATCCACGAGACAGATCCAAGGTCGTAAGCAGGCAGAATCCAGGAAACAATCCTAAGACAGATCAGGCAAACAGAGCAGAACACAGGCAAACAAAACTCAGAAATCCAGAGGCTTGTCAAGGTCATGTAATCAGAAACACACAGGTACACTAGAATACTGTCACACATGGCTCAAATAATCTGAAACATATGGCTGGAAACAGGCAGCATAAATAAGAGCAGGAACAGGCTGAACAGATTAGAGCAGGTGAAAACTGGGCGGAGCTAAGCAGGTGGAAGGGATTAACTAATAATCCAGTCACCAGTGCCACAATCTTGACAGAACCTGATGTTATTAACATGTGGATCATGCTACCAGTAGCAGGGCAAAACTGGTTCTGACTTTAAAGAGAACTGATTCTGTTACCATTGTTGGCCTTTAGGGTTTTTTTCTCTGTTCTACTTAAATTTAAGGTTAGTGGCATATGAAAAATCTCATTAAGAAAACACAGAGGTCACCCTTATTTTACCCTCAGAGTGCATTCTGTTAAATGGATGCTGTTGAGCTGTTTGTAGCAAGACTTCCCTGTAGATAACCTTAAAAATACAACATAAGCAAGCCTTTTCGGCAACAATAAAAGGTGTGTAAAAGCACACAGGTGCACAGTTCAAATAAGCATTTTTTGTTTATCTTGGTTCGGACATATTACTATATTGAGAGAAACTAATAACATTTTTAAATCACAAAGGCATAAGAAGGTATGGATGGGTGGATGGATGGAGATTATACAACAATAAAACAATTTAAAAACAGACAGTGTTTTGGTTTAGGATTTTTTTTTTTTTTAAAAAGCCTATACAGACATTTTAAAACAGGTCTTCTGTCAATTTTGAGTTTTTTTGTTTACACAAAATATCATTAAATGCACCATAAAAGCACAGCTTGCAACAACACTCTGGTTGGAGGGACTTTCCAGAAGGTTCCAGTTTGTATTAAGCAGCATATGGGACCGGCTATTTGCTGCAGGTAGCTAGATTTGGAAAAGTAGACTTAGAAGAAAATGAATGGAATAAGCTATGCATAAACAATTGTATTGTCTAAATAAATGGAATATAAGACATCGAAAGTAAAAAATTAGGTGATTTAGGATTTGCATATGTGGTTCCAAATGCTCTTAATATGTTTATTCATCTTTATGTAAGCACTTGATATGTCCACCTAATATCAGCTAACATGTAGGCAAGGCAAGGCAAATTTATTTTTATAGCACAATTCAGTACAAAGACAATGCAAAGTGCTTTACATGATTAAAATACAGGAAGATAAAACAGAATCAAAGCAAGTAGGAAAAAAATAAATAAAATAAAAAATGCAGAAACAAAAAAGAATATTAAAAACAACATATGTGTATTTTTTAACTATCTGCATCAGAGTTACACATCAGCAGTTGATTACTACATTGCATTTGTAATTATCAACCTGGGAAAACATATATTGTTGCCACTTCTGTTTTATTAATTTGCTGTTGGACCATGTTCATCTTACATTGTGTTATCTCTATATGATAATTTGGTAACAAAATAAAATCGGAAATTTAAAACAATCATTACAAAATAGGCAAATCTTTTTTCTCTGGTCCATCAGTTTTAGCTTAGTTCTACGGCGTTGGATCTGAAAACTATGGAGCGGAAATATATTATCTGGCTTAAAATCATCTAAAAAGAAAGAGGCAAAAAAAGGCCTTGAAATAAAATTAAAATGGAGTTTGTTTAAACTTAATGATTGTTTTAAAGTAGTTTCAGTTTTGTTGTCTTCAAAACAGTACTCAACTTGCAAATAATGTTATTTACAAGACTGGACAAATAAAACACCTTTTTGTGACTTTTAAAGCCTCTTATTTTCCAGCAACTTTGAAAAAGTTATTTTATTTTTACCCATAGCTTTAAAATGATCATTTAGGAGACACCCGTGTTGTTTCACTTAACTGGACAAACATTACACACCCATATTCAGTAGAATATGCCTTTCCTCTCTTTTCTATTGACATTTAATGTAAAACTACAGACTTAGAGCAAAACTGACACACTAACAACATGGCAATTCAGCACAGCACAAAGACACTAGACTTTCTCACAAACAGACCTCAGTTAGTCTGGGTCGGACAGAACACCTCTGATGTCATCACCCTAAGCACAGGCTCTCCTCAGAGCTGCGTCCTGAGCCCCCTGCTGTTTACCCTGATGACACACGACTGCATGACCAGGTTCATCACCAACCACATGGTGAAGTTTGCAGACGACATCACAGTGGTGGGTCTCATCAGAGACCACAATGACCTGGACTACAGGGAGGAGGTGGTGCAACTGGTGAGCTGGTGCAGAGATATCAACCTGATCCTAAATATGGAGAAGATGAAGGAGATCGTCTTCAGGAAGAACGGCATGACATCCTTCCACTACTCATTAACAGCTCAGCTGCAGAAGTGGTCAGTAGCACCAAATTATTGGGGGTGCACATAACAGACATCATCACCTGGACTGTAAACACCACCTCGCTGGTCAAAAGGGCACAAAAGCGCTTGTACTTCCTGCGGAGGATAAGGAAAGCCCACCTGCCCCCACCCATCCTCACCACCTTCTACAGAAGCACCATAGAGAGCATTCTGACCAGCTGTCTCACTGTGTGGTGTGGAGGCTGCAGCGCCTCAGACTGGAAGAAGGTGAGAAGGGTGGTGAGAACAGCAGAGAAGATCATCGGGGCTCCTCTTCCCTCCATAAAAGACATTTTATTCAAGCAGTGCGTGTACTGAGCCCGTAACATCACCAGTGACCCCTCACACCCCCACCATGGACTGTTCTCCCTGCTGCCCTCTGAGAAGACGCTTCACGCTTCAGATGCAGGACCAGCAGATCTGCAACAGCTTTTTCCCCACTGCCATCAGACTGCCGACCTGTTAAAAAAAAAAAACATACATCATACACTCTGTGTACACAAAATGACAATAAAAATTGTCTAAGTTTAAGACACATTGGAAAAACAGCTCATCATAGCAATTTGTTAAACTACTGGCAAATAGAAGAGGGAGGCCACATTAACAGGCAGCTAAGTTAAACAGGATGCACAAAAAAATATCATACATTCAAACTGAACCAAAATAGTGAAACAGAACATCAACAAAAGAGTAAACTGAAGCAGAATTATCATTATGTTTTACCGTATACCCAATGTTGCAAGTTACATAGAAAGGCACAAATGTTAACTTAGACGATGGGTGGATATTACATGAACACAAACACTTTTGGTCCAATTGGAACACTGTATTTTAAATGTTTAGATGATTAAAAAGCAAGACTTTTAATATTTTTTTCCCTCCCCAGACAACCTGAAGAAATATGTTAAAATAAACCCTTAGAAAACCCTTTGGACAATTCCACGAAAGTTATAAAAAAAAAAAAAAAACTTTAACCTTCGCAGTTTCAGTACAGTTGATATTTGCCTGAATTTAACGTTAAATTTGGACATAACATTCAAACATGTTGGGGATTCTTACAATAGCAACTTTTTTTTTTACATTATGGTGTATATACTAAATTATCATATGTTGCAAAATCATAAATTAGAAAAATAGCACACAAGGTTTATTAGAAACTTTTAAACTACAAAAGATTTAACAGTTTTAGTAAAATATAAGCACCACCTATATGGTCTTTAATAAAACTTTTTATAACGTATCAATTTTTGCAGCACCACATTTAACTGAAGGTTATTGCTACACTCAGCTAATAGTGAGCTAGCTTAGCTGTTCAGCTTCTATCTCACACAAAAGTTTTACTCTCAAGTAAATTAAAGGATGTGAGTCTGTTGAAATGTTGTTCATGAACTACATGGCATCAAATTAGCATTTGAAACACTTTTAAATGAAAATGTTCAGCACAAAATAATTTATTGAGTTGTTTCAAAGTGAAATCTTTCACAATCAGAACTCAACCATTAGCCGCTAGCACGGATTGGGTTCCAACCGTTGGTCACGTGGCTTGTTTCCGGTGCCTGTTAGCTGTGCAGGAGCGGTGCTCTTGAACAGAGCTTTTATTTTCACTCGCGGGTAACTCTTCACTCGTTTAAGACTGCATCTCAGTTTTGTTGTGTTTCAGTTATCTGATAGGCTTTCTATTTGTTATCCATAGTTGCTACATCTTTTATTATCTGTTAGGGTTTGTTGCAAATCTTTGCTCCTTTCAGACTGCCTCTGATCTGCAGCCTCGTAGCAGACAGACTCCACACACAGAATGTCGCGCGGGTAAGTGTGAGAATAGTAATCTGTGTTAATATACACTGTTGTGGAGCAAAATGTGTGGTTATGAGCTTACACGTGCATTGTTATGACACTTCCG